ATTTAATGTGTGCTCTCTTACCGATCCCGTTAGACATCTACTATGGTAGATGACTAATATCTGGGCCGAAAGAATTTCTAATTTAAAATTACTGTGATAAATCATAGTTTTTATTAATTATCATAGCGTATGTATCTGACCTAAACTCACTCAGTAATAAGGTTTGTTGTGTTTATAAATAAAAAATATAATTTTAATTGACATTGTGAAGTGCTTAATGGGATTATAATTGATTTTATGAATTAAGTGACACGTTCATCTATTGATGTCGAAGAAAAAATGCTGTGACAAACATTAGCGAGTGTTATTACGTAATAAAATATTTCTTTTTATATCATTTAGATGTATTTGGTAAAAAATCTCGGATTCCCTTATTATAAGAAAAAAGAAGAGACAATGACGTTGTGATATTGATCAAAAGAGATTTTACTTTTCAATACATAAAACATTTCTTAAAGAACAAAAAAGTGCGTAAATTATTATATCATAATACGATATTTTTTACGGATTTTTGTAATTTCAAACGGAACCCTATTAATTGTATAGATATATGGATACATATTAACAAATAACCCGAACAATAGTGAGCGAACATTACATTTCGGGTAAACGCTAAGCGTCTATTACTACCTATATATGATGCAAAATATTCTCCCAAGCGTGTAGTCGCGTCGCAAACGTCGACAAGTACGTTCCTCGCTTCATACATTTGTTTACGTGTACTCATAACAGGAAATATATTGTCAACATGGGAAAAAGTAAGTTTTATTATACAATATATACTTATTTATATCCACCGATGAGAAGTTTAAATTATTTAACCAGTATCAAATTTAATTATATATTTTAATTATTAATTACAATGTCAAGTATGTGAAATCATCTCGCTCGGTTAATATATTCAGCAATAATTAAAATATTTATCGTTTTCACAACACTATGTAACATAGGAAAAATGCAATGCTATGAACACGCGATGTTTAATACAAATTTAAATTAAAAGAGAGTAGGTTGATTTGTTAAGCATAACTAATTTACATTCTATGTAATATGAAGGGTATAGAATAAGTATTGTACTTTTGTACTGATTTAAAAAAAGATAATTATAAGTTTATATACCTATATAAGAAGTTGATATGATTTATATTTTTTTATGTGATATAATATCACTAAAGTAATCATTGCTTACAAACTATTTGTGCTTATTATTGCTATAAAATTTACAAAATATAGGTAAATTTATAATTCGACAAAAAGTAAAAAAAGAATCTTCCAATTAAGTCAACCACAACATTTTTGATGCTCAGAATCATGTTTGTGAATTATGTTCAAATAATTGTATAGCTTATAGAATTAATAAGACATTTGATATTTTTGACATTATTTATAGCAAAGTGTTTATATAGAAACCAGGTAGCTCAAATTCATTACTAGTTAAGTGGCTTACTTAAACCTTATTCATCAAAATAAATCGTTTGTATGGCCATTCTTGGAAAGAAGAAGTAGAATTAAATTTTGTGTTAAAAATATACCTGTAATAGGCAATATGGGTATTTTTTAAATGTATGTCGGAAATTACCGGTGCATAAATTAAAAGTTTTTTTTAACGAATGATTTAGAATCAAAATACCAAACACAAAAAATAACTCAATAACAAACTAACAGTCTAAAAATGTACATTTCTTATCTGTATCATTCATTCATAATATTTTAGGTATTTAATCCATGCGTCTATTTGGATACAAAAATATATATAAAAAATATTCATTTCTATAAAGATAAGATAAGATTCATGTCTATTAAAATAATTTAATCATCTTAGTTCATGTTTTAAAAACATGTTATTTAAGAATTTACCTTTAAAACGATCTCACTAATATATGACTCATAAATAAACAGCTGATGTAAAAATATTAAATGTACGAGCAATACTATTATTTACTATGTATAATTGCTATTCAACAAATATAATGGATGTACGGATAAATACATATATAATATACAAAATCAATGTAAAAATGAATTATACTAATTTTGAACGACATATTCGCGTATTAAAAATTATATGTATATTTCTTCGTAATAAGATTTTTATAAATTTGTAATTGAACTTCAAATAAAACTATAGGAAATTATGAAATAAGTATTACTGATTTAAACAAAAAATATATGAATTATTCTAATTTTAATAACTAGTTTTTTTTTATCGATAACTGATAAATATTATTGCCTATATCGAATATACAACGTACATTAAATTCTTACTCATTTGTGATGATAACTTTGTTAGAATTAAAAATCACTGGAAAGAACTGTCAGTGGGAGGATTGCTTTGAGGAAATTATGGCTTTGACGGCAATTAAACCTTCGCATACATGTTTTGATCGCGAATGTATGAAAAAATACCTAGAAACTGATTCAAAACACATTTCTGTTAATTTAGTAATATAATTGAATAATCGAGTATAGCTTTCCTATAACCATGAAAAATATTTTGCGAATATAAGTACTACTCGACTTTATTTTTGATAAAAACTGCATACTCAGTTCACATCTCGTCTGCCCGTGATCACGGTTGGTGTAAGGTAACCGAAACGTCGGGAATATGTAGTTTTTATCAAAAATAAAGTAGCGTAGTATATCCGAAAATATTAGTTTCATTTAAATGACTCGCGAAAATCTAAGATCTCATTCCTATTACCATTTTTAAATATTTTTTTTCTATAATAATCATACCAGCTACACTATTTATTTATCTATACATGTATGCAATCTAAATATATTTACTTTGTTATTCTTATTACAATTTCCTCAACATGAAGGCTTTGCAAATATTTACTGACGATTTTGTCTTCACACTGAACTTAAAATAACAAACAAAAAACATATATATAAATAAATATTAACGAAGTTCAAGTACAAGATACATCCTGTATCTGAAGTGGATTATCTCATGTTTGGTTCTAAAAATAATTTGGTGGACCATAAATTATTTATATAGCAATTATTTATTTTGGTCATTGAAATATTAAAAAAGGTCGGTTTGAAAAAGTTTCATTAACGAATGGTTTATTTTTAAATCAATATTGATCCTCTTTAAGTCTCAATGGATATTTTTTATGGACATATCAAATAAATTATTTTTGATGACAATGCTTTTTGTATACGATAATGTTTAATATATTAGTTTGATATGCAGAATACATTTATGATATTTTTAACTTAATCTCTATAGATATACACATAGAAGTATCTGGTAGAGATTTGATCACAATTCACAAGTTTTTTTTTTACCATTTATAGTTCTTGTATGACAGATGAATGATTTCTCAAAGCGATTTCACTGAATGAATGTTCGTTTCACTCTCCGTATGTTTAAATTAAATCATAAAGTACTCCAAAGATATATCTATGTATATCTTATGGCAACTTAAACTTTAACAAAAATAAATCTCAGTCGTGATCGTAAAATCAAAATGTTGAATATAAACTTTAAATATAAGTACGAGGTTTCTTTTCGTATTTATTTATAGCCGTTTTTAATGATCAATTTAAACATCTTTACTCGACCAATAAATATGTACATACAGCGGAATTGAAAAAAAGAAGGTTCTTTATAGGGATAGAGTTACGAAATCTAATTTATAAGATTTTATAATACTTACAATATAGACAATGAGATATTAGACTTTTCATATTAACTATATTCAAGTTTGTTACATATAAATTTTCTTTAAAATTCTCCTTTTCAATTACAAGGAATCAATCCCACTCAAAGCTTTAACGCTATTGGTAAACTAATAAGAATATACCTTACATAATATTCAGCCATGTTTATCATTTTTTTAGTAATTTTATTATGATAATGACAATAGTAATAATGATTACGTTTCGTAATGTCGTTAAGTGTCTTTGTATTAAGTTTTTGTGTAAAGAATAATAATGAGGTACATACAAATATATACAAATGGTTTGTCTGTTTTTGTTAAAAAAAACTTATTTTCACTTACGTTAAAGATGGTATACACAGCAATTTTTTTCAATGTTTTTATTTACATTTTATCTTAAAAAACGCTGGACCGATTAATATTATACTTTCACTAGTAAGTAGCTGATTTAATAAGAAGTAACTTAAACCGCTTAAAAGTCGTGGTGCCCAAGTGGTTAAAAGCCGGCCTCTCAACTTGAGGGCGCGGGTTCGATATCCGGCAAGTACCAATGTGATTTTTACGAATCGTATTGACTTTCTCAGAGTATTTAGACGCCATTGACAGACGGTGAAGGAAAATAGCGTAAGGAAACCTGGACTTATAATTTCCAATTATAAGTTTGAAATCACTTGAAATCAATAAGATTAATGTTCAAATCTTCTCCATGTAAGAAGAGGCCTTTACTCAGCAGTGGGCTCTGATAGGCTGATGATGATATATTCCTATCATTATGAATACCTGAACAATAACTTGTATTATTTTGCGGACGAAGTCGCGCGCATAGATAGTTAACAAATCATTAGGTATTGTAATCTCGTCGTATGGTTTTAATTTAAATAAAGGTCAAACATATAATGACGTTCAATATACAGGTGATTGAAAAAGTATTCATATATCAAGTTTTTATGTAAATTTAGTTTAATCCGCGATCATACTAACATTACCAAACTTACGGAAACGGATTATAAAAATTTTTATGTATACATATATAGAAATTTATAAATACTTTGTTTTCCTAATGTTTTCCATAAACGCCTGTATCTATTATTATTAAATCTTCATCAGGCCTTTTCTAAATAGGAGAAAAAATAATACTTAATCTTCTTCTTCTTCTACCTGGCAATTTTCCCAGCTTAAGCCAGGGTCTGCCTTATATGTTGTGAATAGTTTTGGCTAATTGTTTTTACGACCGGTCGCCTGCCTGACATCAACCCTCTTTGGGAATAAATATATAAATAATATAAGTCCATAATCTACAGTTACAGTTTTTATTTACTTATTTATTTCCAGTATCGCGTCACATGTTATCCGATGTGAGCACACTGCCTTGTGTGCAACTTGGTGACTATCTTCTACAATTTGAGCTCGAGGAACCAAAAGAATCTGTACGAGAGATAGCTAGACGCGAACTACGTGAGACTCCAGAGATCGTCAAACCAGCGGTCGAAGAACTGAGAAGCCTACTCGAAGGTAAGGATAATAATTTATAACGAACCAAATGTTTATGACGTCATATTTGTTAATTATACACACGTAAGTCGAATAATATTAAATTATACACACGTAAGTCGAATAGTATCCCTACTAATATTATAAATGCGAAATTAACTCTGTCTGTCTGTCTGTCTGTCTGTCTGTTACGCTTTCACACCTAAACCACTGAACTTATTTTAATGAAATTTGGTACATAGATAGAGTTGACCTTGAGAAAGAACATAGGATAGTTTTTATCCTAGACTCTTGAAAGGTTCTCTTGGAAACGCGATATAACCGGTCTCCACGCGGGCGAAGCTGTGTGCGGAAAGCTAGTAAGAAATATTTGTGACAACGACCCAAATTTTATTTAAATGTATCTAAACTAACCCTAAAAACACTATTGAAAAAGGAAATGAAACCTTTAAATGCTTTTATTGCTTTAATACATACTGAATTAATAAACTTTTTTTAGGATTATTATTTATGTTAGTAAACATTTGATTAAACTAGTTTGTCTCGGCAACAGAATTATAACGACTTGTTAAATATTATAATTAGAACTTGTTTAAGGAAATCTTACTTCTGTTTGTGATGAATTGACCTAACGCTGTCATTTTTATGAAAATTGACAGTGAAGAGCGGGTTGATAAAAAATTAGAGAGACTACTAAAACTTTGAATTTCATTTAATGTTAGTATCAAGTTATATAAAGAGGAATGGGGACTATGCAAAGAAAGTAATATCACCTATACGCTATAGATCAAAAACAAAATAAATTCTTTGATCTCAATCCTCCCATTTATAATAGCTATTTGGACCAGGATAAATTAGCAAAAGGCCTTAAGTTTTTCCTCACCTAGTAGATAGAAGAATTAATAATTTTTTTATACTATATATTTTTAAATTGAAATCTATTTTTTTATTTCACAGCCGACAAAGACCTTTGGGTTCCTGTCGAAAACGACGCCTGGCTCATCAGGTTCCTACGACCCTGTAAATTCTATCCTGAGAGTGCTTATGATTTAGTAAGTTTGCTTTCATTATTGTTATTATTTACTCAACATATAAAATAAAATATATATATCTCAATGCATAGAGATTCAATTAAGTTTTGACATCTGTCAATCTGACAGGTAATATTAACTTAATTAGAATTAAAGACAAAACGTTGACATTGCCAAAATTTTCGACTATTGTAGTAGGAATGAAGACATAGCGTAAAAAAGAATTAAGGACAAATCGTTTGACAGAACGATCGGTGTGTCCATGACACTGATGAAATGATTGGCAAATTTGAAATCAGTTTAAATAGATATCATGAAATAAAGAGTATAAAAAAGAGGTCGACGTATAAATAGTGGTAATTAAAATAAATTTACTAAAGCACGTTGAACTGCGAATGACATTTTTCTTAATCTCAAGGAACTTACAAGGGTTACTGATATTAAATTTATATAAATTAATTTTAAAGCAGATTCCACATTATTAAATATTTAAAAATAATTATTATTATACTAGTATTTACAAAAAAAGCAAGTTCTTTAATTATATTCAGACAGAATATGCTAGGTACTTATATGACTGTTTATTTTCCAAGTTAACCACGTCATAGTTTGTCTTCAATTAAGTACCGTTACTCCGTAATAACCAAAACATCACAAAAACTCCGATGACTTCATACCGAGTTGGTTTTTATTGAAGGTCAACAGATGATTATATTAAAAACTTTTTGTGATCTATCAAGTTTTTGATTATATTAAAAAAATATGTATATCAAAAATAAAACACTCATTTTATAATTACATTTTCTTAAAGAGATCTAAGACTTTCCCGAGTATTCATTTAAATTAAACTAATATATTCTTATTATTACTCGTATTTATTATTATTTTTAAAAACTACATACTTCCACGTTTCGGTTACTTTGCACCAACCGTGATCACAGGCAAACTCGATATCCCATCTTTAATTAGATATAATTATTAAAAATAATAAAATACGCGTAATAAACCGCAAATATTAGTTTCATTTAAATTCTCTTTATATATCAAACCTTAATACGTGTTCCAGATAAAGAGATACTACGCGTTCAAAGTAAAACACAGCAAGCATTACGAGGGTCTGACTCCAAGTCAAGAGCAGAATGTGTTCAAACAGAATGTTCTACGTGTCTTGCCTAACAGGGACCAACTAGGACGAAGAGTTCTAGTATTGGAACTAGGGAGTAAGTTATATTCATAAACAAATAACTACATATTATACCAGTAAACAAAATAATACAGTATTTTCGTGGAAATTTCCCAGCTTTAGCCAGGGTCTGTCAAAAAAATAATACGGTATAACAATCCTTAATTATAAAACCAAAGCCAAAGTAAATAATTTCATAACAATAAAAATATTTAATTCAGTTATCACGAAGAGAACTAATAACGTGTGATGTGACCTAATACATATCTATTTTTAGAAAACCGGTATTATTAATTTTTCAATCGATTTTTATAACTGAGTTGGGATTTATATAGAATTAAATTCGCATATTCTACTTAGAGGCTAATGATGATATAACTAATAAATATATTACTAGCATTCGCATATGGAGTTCAGTTATATCGCGTTTCCAAGAGAACCTTTCAAAAATCTAGGATAAAAACTATCCTATGTTCTTTCTCAAGGTCAACTCTATGTCTGTACCAAATTTAATTAAAATCAGTGCAGTGGTTTAGGCGTGAAAGCGTAACAGACAGACAGAGTTACTTTCGCATTTATAATATTAGTAGGGATTAAATAAAACTTCAATTTAATATATTTAAAACCACATATTGTATCTCAAGTAATATTATTATCTATAAAGATTTAATGATTAATGACTTTTTATAATTACGTTCCTTGTAACTAATAGTTTTATGGCCACTATAAACTAGTAAATCTCTACATACAGACAGACAGATATGTCACGATATCTGATTTAAAATGTAAGATAATTTAGAAGTATTAAAAAACTACTCCAAGTCAAATTATATGGGAATTTTTCATATCCGTTTGAGTTAAGTATAAAGGTAATTGACCAATTATAGTCTAAGTACACAAGTTTTTTCTTATCAAAAATAAATTACTTCACTCCGTCAAATTTCTATAAAATGAAGTTGTATATTAACTTAATGTTACTTTAATTATAGTTTACATCAATGGAAAAATTCAACGAAACAAGATAAAAAATGTAAACATTTAGTTTAATTTGATAAAGATATCTATAAAAATGTTGCTCAAATGAAGAAAATCTGGTTTTAACCGGTTGCTATCATAATATTGAAACTCTTTTAACAATTTTATAAAGTAATTAAAGAAATTTACAATTTGTCGACATTCTTAATAAATATACAGGGTGACTGGTGAATTACTATCAATATTTAAGGAGCATACTCGGTACATGATTCTCATTCGAATTATGTAAAAAAAATAGGTACTTAATTTTTGACCAAATTTCCGTATAAATAAATAAAGTGCGTACACGCTCCAAGTGTGGACGCGTGCGGCGGCGTGCTGATACAACACTACGCCGCCGCCGCGTCTGTGTGAGTGTGTGTGTATACCTAATCTGTAGGGTGTTCATACGATGCGTAATTAATTACATAACTTTTGGTTAACTTTACTTAGAAGTTTATTAATATTTATGTTATATTAATTTTTATTTTGTCATATATGATCGTCAAATATCACGTCCTCAAATATCGATAGTAATTCACCAGTCACCCTGTATATTTTTTTAATGTATGTATTAACCAAAGTATGTTGTACACATCTAAATATGTGAACTCACAAAGAACATCATGCTATATCGACAAGGACAAAATACATTTTTTTGGTATAATAAAAACGATCAATAATTTTGTACAATCAAATGATCGTTACTTAGAATCGTTAAATAGAGATTTATTATATATTATTTTGTATATAGAGATATATTATATATTATTTTATGCAAATTATTACAGAATTTATATATTTAGTATATACAGTTATGGTTTTGATGAAAAAAAATGTACTAAAATGTAATTGTTTCATATTAATGAGATGTTTAGAAACCGGTGAAAATCGAACTCAAAGATTCCGTTACATACATACATACTAAAGCTAATATGAGCGTGTTAAAATTACCTTTTACTATAGATATAAATTGCAACAGTTTTAAACTAGGGTATTACGTAATACACTCATGGGTAAACAGAAATAAAATGTAACAGTACCTAACTAGATAATACGGTGAAAGTTTTAAATGTTATAAAAAAATTCCCGCTTCGTTGCCCATGCGGTAATAGATTTTTCTATACTTATAACATAATGATATTGTGACAAAAAAAAATCGAATAAAAAAGTATGACTTTTTAGAATTCATTAATTGATTAATTTAATTCCAAAGAGCTGGTAATAAAAACAATAAGCCAAAACTACAACATGTTACACAAACTCTGGCTAAAGCTGGGAAATTGCCAGGAAGAAGAAGAAGAAATTGATTCATTTAATGAAATCTCTCATTCAATATGAGGACAATCATTAGAAAAACGTTCATTGATTTGTCGATATTATATTAATTAGTTTTATATTTATTAAAGTTATTGTATCTGCAACTCTCAACAGAAAAATGGAACCACAACAAATGTTCGTTGGATGAAGTTTTCAAGGGCTGCGTTTTGTTCTTGGAGGCAGCGATGTTGGAGCCTGAGACGCAAGTCTGTGGGGCCGTCGTTATATTTGACATGGACGGACTCTCGCTGCAGCAAGTGTGGCAGTTCACGCCGCAGTTCGCTAAGAGAATCGTTGACTGGTTACAGGTATATAGCCAATATTTCTGATAAAATAGTCATCATACTTATTTGAATATAGAAAAATGACAAGATTGTAAATGAATATTTATATTAGCAGTGTTAACTATTTAGGTTTTCTATCGGATTATTCTTATATTAAATGAAATTGATATTTTCTGTTGAACAAAACTAGAAACTTTATTCTTCACACATTAGCAGAGAGCATAGATAAGACACACAAGTATAGACTAAACTAAATATACATAGATAACAAAATTATTTCTTATAAATGGTCTCCTCAAAACAAATTTACCTTATTTCTATATGCTAAATAAAATTATATATTCAACAAGCAGAATTAATATCTTCAAAGTCCTACAATACTGACATAACTGTGTAAAACAATCTAATATGCTGACAATGGCCTATATCTATAATATTGAAGTTAATACTATCGTGATGATGAAATATTAATCATATATTTTTCTACAGGAAAGCATCCCACTCCGTATCAAAGGTTTCTATATAATCAACCAGCCATACATCTTCAATATGGTGTTCCAACTCTTCAAGCCATTACTGAAGGAGAAACTTAGATCTCGTATTGTGTTCATGGGCAGTGACAGAGAGATGCTCTATAAATATATAAGCCCTAAATGTTTGCCAGATTGCTATGGAGGAACTTTGACTATACCTAATGTTTCTGGACCCCAATGGTTGGAACTACTGTTAATATGTGATAAGGAATTTATAGGTAATAATTGATACATAATCTTTTAATATAATGCTCAAAAAGAATATAATATTTTTGTACAGAATGCAATTAGTCCTATACATAATTATTTGCGAGAAAACCTTTGCTTAGAACAATTATTATTAGTCTTTAATACTTATACTAATAAAACATTTCTTTTGTTTCAGCTATCAATTCGTATGGATATAAGAAAAAGTAGATTTAATATATTGTTTAAGTTTAGTAAGAAATGTGATATTTAATATGTAATCACCTACATGGTGTTTATTTTATGCATGACACGGTTTACTGTATTTAGTAGTTTGTTATAATAATCATTATTTCCATACATAACTTTCTATTTGAAATTAAATATTATTGTATATACATATAGTTGTAGGGGTTTATATTGTATGTTGCAAAAGACAAATAATATTTAATACAAGCTGTATATATGTTATTGTTACTAGAAGAATCACTTAAAGGACTGTGATATTATTGATAATGCACAATGGATTTGAAAATTCAACTGATGCCTTGTAACATTAGTTTCGTTTTTAAATTTTATAAGTTTATCTACTTAATAAAACACTACTGAAATAATATGCACAAAAATATGGATTTTGATACAAAATTTCAACTTAGAATTCCGAAATTAATAAAAAATATAAATTTATTTCCTAATTTCTGACATATGTCACAAGTTTTTCCAACAAGATTTAAAAATTTAAATCTCTTTATATGATTAAATGTAATTTACAAGTGCGTTAACTAAATGGTACTACTACAGATATCATAAGTTGTTAAATTAATTAAAGTTACATAAATGTATGTTTGGTATTGTATTATAAGGTTAATTTTAATTTCTTGTAATGAAAGGTAAAAATCTGAAGAATTTTAGCTTAAATGAGCGGCACAAATAGTTGATAACGAAGATCTACCAGACCATTATTGGAATGATTACTATTTGTATTCCAACTTCCAAGTACTATATCGTCATTAAAAGTACACGCAAATGTGGTCCAAATTATTTTGGAGATCTTTTCTTTTATACTTAGGTAGAAGTCCTTATTATATATATTCATGTTTAAACCACGTTTTTATAATAAAAAGAATAAATTTATCACAGATTTTTTTTTATTTGTCATGTTTTATATTCAATTGTAAATTAATTTGTACAAAAATATATATATTTTTATTTCTATATTTAAACCGTTTTTTTTTTCGTGCTCCCATACATCAGATAAGATCACTAATCTAAAGTGAGTTATGTTTATTTATTTCTTGATTTCGTTGTTATTAGTCACGTAACCATAGGAATTTGCCACTGAAAATAAAATGTAACAAATATATTAATAATATAACTAATTAAAATGAGAAATCATATTGACAATATGAACAAATCTACAATTTATTAAAATTAGGAAGTAGAAAAAAATCATACTTAATTATAATAATAAATAACGTCTTTATAAAGATTACTAATAAATTGGCAGAATGCTTTAAGATCTTAGTCTGTCCAAAAGGACGATTTGAGAAAAAAAATAACTTACGTCTGAATTCATCTTCATAATGATTGAGCATCTTCCACAGAACTTCACCAGTTATGTCATCATCAGGTAAGTCTCCACCAACCCTTTTCATCAAGGAACTAGTGTGGATATGTTTCAATAAAGACTCTTTGTCGAAACCATGAAAGAATATTCTAGATCGTAACTTTTCACGTAGAAACGGTTTGAATATAGCGAACAACATATTGAATATATAAGGCTGATTTATCACGTGTACTCCTTTCAGACGAATTGGAATGCAATCCTGAAAATAATTAAACAGAAATAATCATATAACCTTTCTTAAATATGTATATGTCAAAATTGTTCCGCCATTTTGGATAAGTAAATGTTATTGTATTTTTTTCTTACAGTAAGTATTATAAAGGTGTATAGTCTTTGTACCAAGAACAGTAATTATAAGTTTTATTACCCATAAATTATATAACCTAAATTAATTTGAAATTCGTATAAAAGGTCACTAAACCCAGTTCTCGTTGCGGTCAATTTTGAAATGCCTCAAATATTTACACATGGTTTTGCTTAACGTTAAATAATATACCCAGTTATTATGTAAGTAGTCAAGTGACATTTGAATTTGCTATCCTTACGATCTTTGTTTCGTAACCGGTAGCCTATAATTTTGGTTTTATATTAATGAAAAATTAGTTGATAATTTCCCTAATAGTATAAGTCAACCTTTAAAGGATTTTTTTTATGCCAATAAAATTCATATACACCCTTGGAGCCGCAAAAACATCAACAAAAAAAGCTTGTCATAATTTTTTAGTGACTCAAACGAAATATAAATTATTGTTTTTGTATGTTTTTTATGTTAACTATGACAAAATTGATGGAAGAATAATCATGATAGTCGAAAATTCTAAAGTTGACAAAAACAATTATTCGTCCAACAAATAAAAACTTTGAACATTGGCAAAATATTCCACGCTTGCAGCGCGAATGAAGCCATAATAAAAAAAGTAATCACAATACCCGTTCTGTCTTTTTATTATTATTATTATTATTTTATTCTTCATCTCATTCTATAACGCCTAGTCTAATATTTTTTTTATTTGTTTTTTTTATTTACCTGAATCCAATCAACAACCATTTTGGCAAACGAGGGTGTGAATTGCATTATCTGTGAAAATGACAGGCCCTTCATGTTAAGCACGACCGCCACCCCACAGACTTGCGTGCGTGGTTCAACCATCGCCCCCTCCAGACCCAGCTGTATACCTCGGAAAACTTCCTTTAAGGGTACTTCACGATGATTCCAACGTTCTGGAAACATTAAAAACAAATATATTTCTGAGTTAGCTGGCTTCTTGGATGAGTAAAAAAATTATTAAAAAAAACTCTTTTAGTTCTTTTACTGCTTTGTACTGTACTTTAAACTGAATTTAGATTTTTTTTTGATGTTTTATAATATAAATTTAGACACACAAATATAATATTTTTAATAGCACAATATATTTTTGACGCTACTAATCTAAAGCAACAAGTAAATAAGACTAAACTTTGAATGATTTTTGTGATTTATTAAAATTTGACAAGTTTTTCATAATTTACAAAAAAGACTGTGTATCCTTGTAAAAAAACCTAAAACATTATTTACTTTTGATAGGTTCTATTAGATAGTAGGTATGTACTAGTTTCGAAACATGATTTCTCATAAAAGCTATCTACTTGGATCTTTTCGTAGTATGTTGAACAAATTAAGGTTTATCTTAGAAATGCCAAAAACTTATAGAAATATGTTAAATTTGATTAAAAAACAACGTAAATAATTTGAAAATCAAGAAAAATAAATCCTTACATCTACACTAACAATATATGTAAGTCGCGACCTTAAAATATCTTAAACAAAGAATGAATGCTAATTAAAAAATAACTAATTTAATACATCCTTCCTGTTAAATCATGAACAAATCGTTTTCAAACATATACCTTGGTTAGCGAGGCATAAAGAATTATATTGTATCTGCATACACTAAAGTAAAGAAAGGAAAATAAAAAGTACATTTATATTGCTTTTATTAAATAAAAAATAAGTTAAATATTTTATTTTACGTAACTTATTTGAATAGAAGTTTATTTTTGACATTTCTTATGTAATATTTGATTTGCCTTATTAACATCTTTATCGAATTGTCTCGAAAAAGACAAAAGATATTTCTTTGAGATGTTTTTAATCTTGTTATATTTCTTAAATATTTTTAAACAATGACGTATAAATAAAAAAAATATTAAATATTTTATATGTACAAGGAACTAAATTTACTTAAGTTAACTAATTATTACTGACGCCACAAACACAATTACTAAAACTAATTATACAGGAGGTGTAGAGGTTCCTACATATATCTCATAATAACAATTATGCAATAACTTAATATAACAGAATTATATTAAATTTATTAAGAAAATAATTCCTTATTTTTAATACAGACAAATTATATAATACCCGCTTGGTGTTATGACATTTTAATCAAGTTTTTTGAATGGATATATTATATAATATATGTACTTAGTCTGGCAGACCCTGGCTATAGCTGGGAAATTGCCAGGTAGAAGATATGTACTTAGTTTGATATTAAAACAAAAACTAAAATGTTTCTCCGCTTTGAAAATTCAATTTTTTTTATGAGATCAAGATTTAATTTATTAAAGGGTCTGATTATAGGTTTTTAGATATTATAAAGTAGGGAGGCAAACAATATTTGTCAGACTGATTATTTTATAGATTCCATCAAGTAAGTCTTTTAAATTCGATTGTAACGGAAACGATTTTCTTAATAAAAAAACTATATAATTTTAAGAAAACACGCACAACACGTTTTGTTCTTCTATTTATAATTATTTTATCAATTATCCTATAAATTATTTTTAATTACTATTTATATATAAAAATACGTGCATTACATGTATATATTTTTTTAATGTCCTTCAATTTTGTTCTACGTCAAAATTTATTACACATTCTACACAAATAACCTGTAATTGATTTAAAAAATGTAACCCTAATATTATCTTTAAAAATTATTTGGCGTAGATCATAAGTATAAAAAAATTGTCGCTTTTAATCTATCTTTTATATATCAATTAACTATACATAGTTGCGAAATGATTCTTCTCTAATCAGGAATAATAAAAAAAATTGAATATACGCGACTTTATTTTTGATAAAAACTTTAGATTCACATTTCGTCTGTCTATGATCACAGTTGCTGTAAAATAACTAAAACATCGGGAGTATGTACTTTATAGTCAAAAATAAAAATCGCATAGTAAATCCGAAAATATTACTTTCATTTAAATGATTCGCGAAAATCTTTAATCTCATATAATAAAAAAATGTTTTTCACTTTCTGAAATTGAACCACTGAGTAGTTAGAAATTATTTACATTTAATGTCAACATTTTTCGATCGATATGAGTTGATCAACTTAAATCTTGATCGATTGATAACATATCCTACTATGTAATATTATAATTGCGAAAGTTTGTGAATGTGTATGTATGTTTGTTACTTCTTCACGCTTAAACGGCTGAAACGATTTTGATAAAATTTTGTATACAGGAAGCTGACGTCTAGGAATAACACATAGGCTACTTTACATCCCGGAAATCCGCGGGTAACACCGCGGAGAGCAGCTAGTATAATATATTGTTTTATTTACCGCCAGATTCCACGTATATGATGCGGCGGCCATGTTGATCTCGAGGCGAAAGGATGGACACTATGGAATGGTCGAAGGCCGAGCGCACTTTACTCGGATACAAGTCACAGCAGTAGTCCTTATGAGAGAGTCTGAACTTGTAATATGCTTGTATCTAAAAATATATTTATATATTGAAATTATGTACTTATACTATACATATTTATCTTATTTATAGCTTATGGAAGCTAATTTAAGCGAAATTTGATTTTCAAACTAATAACGATGTTTTCCCTTTATGACTAAACAACGGTTTTGACACAAACTTTAAATTTATATTTTAACAGTATGTAACTTAGTTTCGATTGGGTGTAAACATATTATGTGTTGTAGTTATGCATACTCTATTGACAATTGGAGATAAAAAAAAAATTCAGTGCCCTACTTATTTTCATAATTTGATGCCCACGATCAAAAATATAATAAAAACCGTAAAAGGTAATAAAATACTAAAATTACTATATAAGTACATAAATCCTATTGATATCTAAATAATTATCTGGACTTATTTAAAGTTATAGGATTAATCGCAGATTATCTCAAAACTGTATGCATAGTCCAAGTTTTTTAATGTCACAATACACCCGAAATGCGAACATTTTACCGTTTTTCATACAAAACCCTACGTTAATACTATGATGTGCAAGAATTACAAATGAAAAGCCTTGAACTGTGACGATGCAAAACTTAGACTAAGGTTACAGTTTAAATGTAAAGTTTATCCTGTATTTTATAGTACCTTTTCTTTTGAAGGAATTTCGATACTTTAATATATTTAATGACTGCAATTAATCTGTTTTTCGTTACCAGTCTTGCATTTTTCCGGTAATTTTCTTTTTAATCAATGTTAAAAATTTACAACTTAATTATTAATTACAAATTTTGTGATTAATTGCCTTGAAACCTTGTAGAGGCAATTAGTTGAGTAAACGCGAAAGTTGTCTTAAGGGATTGTTTAACTACTGGATGTTTTTTTTTTGAGAATATATCTCATAGATTAGAATCACATGAAATGTTATTACTACTTTTGGTTCCCGGGGTACGTAGTATAACAATTAATTATATATCATACGGTAGAAAATATTTCACTTCCACAAATTATTCCACTCTATAGTTATATTTTTTATTATTCTAAAGTATACATTTATAATTCGTGTCAATCTATAATAAAACGGGATGCATGAATGAGTAAATTTGCAATTAATATCAGTATATTTTTCAGATTTTATCCTTTCTCCAAATAGCGACGATATTTATTTCTTACAAATATTTTCTATTTCACCTTCTTAGTAGTTTAAAAGCAAAATAGGCAATGTTTTTTGTGAACATTTCAAATTATTATTACCTTAAGTGACAAATTATTAAGAGGATCTAATATTCTATTCAATTCATTACTATAATTGATAGCCTTCATCTGTACATAATATATTCCCGCTAATGTAATATGATAATAACACTAAAGAGACTTTAAATATCTAATTAATTTGACTTAATTTGACAATATTTATTTTAATATATGCAATTTATTTAACATTATTTGAACATAACATAAAATCATAATTGACGACGTATTTTATGTATCTTATGTGTGCATACTGCTTATAAAATTTAATAAAAAATGATAATAATTTTAACTCACCCGTTTAAATGCGCTCTCCGCGTATAATTTTGATGGACGCAGGAATTTCATTAGAAACTCATCGCTGTCGAATGGCACCAGAAGATTTGATTCCTCTGAAAAGAATATTAATATGAAAGATTTTTAATGTATGTATTGACGATGACAAATACGTATTAAGTACAGCGTCAAATAGTGAGATATTGTTAATAATATTAATAGAAATAATCAAATTTTCAAGAAAAGCTTGAAAATCTTCATCTCGTACCAAGAAACCTTTGTAAAGAAGTTACAGCAATATTTAAACACTTGAAATAAATGATAAAATTTAACTATAGTATACACACAACTATAAAAAATTATTTGGAGATAAAGTATTAGTGTTGGTTGAAAAATAAAAATCTTAAAAAGTCTAAAATTACACGCCGAAAGAATCGTGTATTAGCTACTGAATGAATCACACTATTTAAAATTACTATCAATAGTTGGTAGTACACTAAATACGCTTACCACAAGTGTGCAACTATTTACATACGAAACGTAATGAGTTTCACTTTCAATAACCTTACTTTATAGTCCAGTCATTTAGTGCAAAAAAATTGGGTTACCTGGAAAATTTTCCGCGAGTGTTGAGATTTGGTGGTATTATAGATTTCGGTATACTTTTCAGGTAAAACTACCAAATGACTAGATTATGAATACTATAAGTATAATATGATAAGATTCATGAACGGTTAATATTTGTTATGTAGTGTAAAACTCTAAACTCGTGGTAAACATAATCATTTTCTATTTAGTAATATTCTCTTTCATATTATATTATAATATTAAATAGACTTATAGCCAATACAATAAAATCCAAACTAAGACAAAAGTCCTACACACTACAAAGAAAACTAAAATTACGTAAACATGTTCAGATAAATTTTTCACCTAAATTCAATAAACGTTGCTGATATAGAACAGATTTCTAAATATTTGTAAAGCACGGAGAGAATATTTAAATGAACAGAATTAAGTTCTTATTTTCAATATAAGCCTATATTTTAATGTATAAATATCGACTAAGTAATTTAAAATGATTTAAAAATACAACATAATTGAGACAAATATCTAAATGGTCGTCTTTCATTAAACAAAGTTCTTGTTAGTCTCGTTCATTTTATCAAGAATTATGAATAGGCTTCATGGATCAATTGACCCAATTGACCACAGACATAATATTAGCTACCAGACTACATATCACATATCATTGCATCAGTAACATATCTATATATAATATATACAGTTATGAATAACTCTTTTATTCAATATACACTTAGTATGAACTAATTTTGTCTTCAAATGAAACGAGAATATTTCTCGAGTGTTTAAAAATCAACCTGAAATTAATAAAGAAACTTCGTACTAAGGATAATGACTAATATTATGGCATAGTCAACAAAATATGCTTAATTAAAATTTAAGTGCAATTTTCAAAACAATTTATATGGATATACATTATATTTACACAAAGTTGTTTAAAAGAAGACGAGATAACCGTTTTTTAATAAAGCAAAAAAGGTTTTTTTAAGGATTTTTTACAGAAACAATGATTTAAAATTTAAATAAAGAAATTATGAACTATGGACCATCGAAAACTTCTCGAACTTTTTAAAATAATACAGTACAAACAAAAAAAAACAGGTAAATTATATTCAAATATCAAAATTTATTCGACTTAAAATAAAGATAAATAAATGGATAATTAGATAAACAATAAATTAACATATTTTATGTTTGTAAAACAATTAATTCATTAAAAAACTTAGCAAAAAATCGGTAAGTATGAACAAAATATTAACCTATTTTCATATAAAGATATAAAAAAACAAAGTTTTCCTTTTTGCAGCGATTAAGATACACAAAACAGGTTTCATATTACGTCTGTATTCAATCTATAGGTTTCCTTACGTCATATAATTTATATTTATGTATATATAAAAATATTTATGTTACTATATCAATAAAACAGTTTTTATACTTGATAAGCATAAAATAATTTAATTGTCAGTAAAAAAATCTTCTATCTATATTGTTAATTCTTTATATTTACCTAGAATTAATTAAGACTAGGACTTACGTTGCAATAGTTCCCTTAATTCTTTCAAAGCCTGTTCAACATTTTCCTCTGTTTCTCGTAATTCAGTTCTGGCTTTTTCTACATAGAAATCCTCTGTGATCGGAAATTTTTCCAATTTGACCTTTTCATTACCACACATAACGTACGGAGTTCCATCCTCTTCGAATTGTAATCCCATTGTGATTGAGCAACCTTTGTTTACAATATCTACTTATCTAACGCAATCTTAAAGCCAACTGGAATCTAAAACCCAGCGAAGTGGACCAAAGGCGATAGACCCTTCACTAAGATTTTCGCTCGTTAAGCAACTTGGCACGGATGTTGCTGTTACAACATCCTACTAGATTTCATCTAAATATTGAAAACACAACACAATTTAGAGTTATATCACAATCAAATTATTTACAATGTAATCTTTGTATAAACGAACAGATAGTATTGAAGCCCGTGGACGACTGAGAAGAAGCAGTGGTCGGTGTTAGCGTAACGGATACTGTGTTGTACCACCACCATCACCAACCGACCATTCACTTGTGACACTTATAGAGAAAACGGTCAAAACAACGTGTTTTTGAAAGCGTACACAAATAATACTGATATACATATTTTGATAAAATTAAACTGATGATGTTTATTAAAAATTATAATAAATTAAATTATTAATTAACATAACCCGTTTCATAAGGCGTATTTAGATGTATAATATATTCAATTTTAATAAACATAAACATAATAAAGACATTTAAATAACGACAAGAGTGTATATAAGTCTAACGTCGGTGTCTGTGTATGTATGTTTGGTTCATATCTTTCCAGCTAACAGAGTATCAGCTCATTTCCAAACTAATGTAAAGCATTTTTGAAGTAAAGTTACTCTATTAAGCGCTTCAGAGATACTAATATATTGTTAAACGACAACTAATGAGTAGGAGTTTCTATTATTTAGTTAAATCTAATATAATAATTACTACACATAAACATTGGCATCCAAACTCCGAAGTCCGCATAACATTACTCCAATTAAATTACATTTTGTACGATAATATCTTTTTTCTTCGATAATAATTTGTCAGATTATTTTTGAGCTGAGCTGGTGCAATTAATACTGAATTAATTGATAACTAATGATTAGATAAATATGGTATCACGACTATATACACGATGTTACTTTGTACGTGCACTGTTATTATTCTAATTTATTATTCTTTGTTTAACAAACACAAAGAACATTAGGAATTTTTATATAAATATTATATAGCAACAAAATATTGATTTTTGTGACATATTACGTAAACCACAGTCTTGGATTATGAAAGGTTCAACGACTTATAATGATTACATAAACGTTTATTCTCAATGGAATTTACCAAATGACTTCAAACCAGTTAATATAGTGAGTTCTATAGATTATATATAAATACAGTCATTTCACAAATTTTCTTCCTAAATGAGTAGGTATAGCATCGGATATATAATTTGCTAAAATCTTAAAGTTACGATTCGTTCGTTTTATTTCTCTTATGAAAATTTTCTATAAGAAGCAACTTTAATTTTGTCCTAAAGTATGTACACATTTATCGACATTCGTTAAAATATGGTACTTTAAAAACTACAAATGTTAATTTATGATACTAAATAGGTAAATATTTTATTTTATAACTACAAAATAACAGTTACTGAATATTTCAGTTTACTATGGATATATGACATTGTTTTTAAGCTACATTTCATAAACACAGTACGCTTGATAAAAATTTTCATCGTCAAACTCCATACGAAGTATTTTTCTTTTCTCATTCAATAATCTTAGTAAATACTATAAGGTGCGATGATTTATGAATGAAACATATTTAACTCTCTGTATTCATTGTGAAAGTGTATACTGGTTATAAAAAGTACACCAAAAGCCACAATAATTATTAATTGGGTTCATTTAGACTTTTGATATTTTAGCTTTCGCAAAAGGTATCACACATAAGTATTAGATATTAATTTCAGTTTAATATATTATGGGTAGACGGACGATAAAATCCCACTTATTTTATAAATGCGAAAACTTGTTACAATGACAGCATTTGATGCTGTTTTTCGTAATAACTTCTAAAAGTAAGTTTATTAAATTTGACAATAATGTAGCTCAGTTATTGAAATAAGACATAAACAATAACTACTTTTACACTAGACTCAAAATATGAAATAAAACGTGAACTATTTTCCAAAGAACAATCGAAGTACCTTTCAAGATTTATAGCTATCTGCGTCTAAATTCAAACGAATGTAGAATCTAAACATAACAACCCGGCTAGAGTTATAGATGTGATAGCTTCTATATGTATGTATCTGTTTGTTACTCAATTAGGCAGCTGAAGCAATGATTAAGATGGCATTGTATGACACTAGACCATACGGATAGAATATCAAATATTTTAATTCGTTTTCAATGAATCATTAACACTAAGTAAGAATTAAAAGGATGTATGGATCAAACAGACAAATGAAATCGAAGTAAACCAAGTGAAATATTCTTAAATAATATTATAAAATATAAAAAAAATATATTTATTTTTATTATCATGATTAATTACTCTCTATGATTGTATCAAATGAATAACATTTGTACTTGGGACTTTGTACCTATATTAGCCTATCTGTCAAACGATAATTTTATGACAAAGAAGTAATTTATATAAATTACGTAAGTGTATTTAGCAATAATGTTCATAACACTTCTCATATAAATTTAAGAGAAGTTTTAGAGAACCATTGTATTCAATATACACAAGTGAAATCTCAAAGGTTTGAAATAGAAAAAATTACGAGTCTCTCCAAGCGACGAAGTGAACTTCGTAACGTCGGAATAAAAAGAGGAATAGATAGATATAGATTTTTCAGGAATTTTTAGTGTTTCTTTAAGATAAACTTTATTAACCTTAATTACAAGTCTCAATTGATTGGCCATGCGTTCGAGCGCCACACATTCCCTCCCCGTCTATCGGAAGTCGCATAAGAAGTTTCACCTCAATATTAAGGAAAACTGTGTGATTCGTAACATAATGAATTAACAAAGCTTCATGACCGTTATCATAACCAAATAACTATATTTAAATTTTATCGAGTAATTAATTGAAAATTAAAAAACTGTAAAGTCAGGGCAAGTAACATTGCAGGGACCAAGATAGCGGCTATTTACCTTGTTATGAAAAAAAGCAACCTCGACAAGTTTAATTTGCTTACAAATTGCAGCGATCAATTGAATAGGCGCTGGCTTGTTTAAAAAATGTCAGTACTTAACCACCCGATCTTTGCATCACGATATTTATTTATATATATCTCTTCTCCATAATATTTTTAATGTTTAATGCTTCTCTAGTTATAATTTATATGTTTATTAAATTTTATCCATGTACATATAAAAGTTATAAGGAACTGTACATTTGTACATTACTTTTACTTACTAAATAATGTATAGGTATCATCATAACAGCCTTTTTTAAGGATTGGAGTAGTGAATTATTGCTTCTATCTTACACTAGGGGACAAGTTAGGAGGTACTCGTAGGTTGGATTCCAGAGATAGGACCAGGATTAGCAACTATGTACCTCCGAATGTTAGACTCCCTGTCTTTACAAAATTACTCTGGGTCACATTTGTATTCTTTGACTTAGGCCTTCGACAACATTTGTCAATACGTACCCCGAGATACCACCAAACTGACCAAGTCTTAAATCCATGTAGTAGGTCTATGTGTCCCCGGAGCAATTGACTGTAGCTCGTCTCAAGGCTAAGTGGATTAATTCTGCTCTTTTAAGAAACTTCTCATTGCTGACGACGTAATAACATAGCCCTTTCGATTACCATCCGAGTGACTTTGAGTTTCGTAATAAATTCTCGAACGCATAAAAATATCCAGGTAAAATCGATAAAAACACGCATTACCGAACCATTTTTCCTTGGGACACTCTCAAATTCAAACTTACCTAACTGGATGTTTCGCCAAGGTAGAAGGATTCGTTTATAACTTCAAGAAAGTATATAGATAACTTTGCGTAAATTTAATATAATATGAACATCATGCATTTTACAGATGACCTATTTGATGCAAGCAACCATTATGATAATGCCGTTTAAATGTATCTAGTGTAAAAAGCAAAAAATCGCTATTGTTTGTGACAAATTCATAGAAAAAACCAAACAAAAATACAATCTATACTTGTAATCTAACATTGCATAAAAAGTTGCATCTATGACAAAATCCACTAATATTATATCGGCATATTTTTTTGTTATATTGGTTAGTTTAAAAAATACTTAAAATTAAGAAGATTTATGCTTGGTTAACATTGGATTGTACCATATTATGATTATTGACTTTTTGGACTTAAATTTTATGAATCATATTTTGTTACTCTACTATAGTATAACACTATAGTATAGTAGATATATCTTGACAACAAAGGAATTTTTCCCAGGACATATTTATATATGACGAGTAAGGGTTTAAAGCATTAAGATAATTGCTTAGTAAAATGTTCCATTTTTACAGTACATATGACTACGTTCCTAATTCTTGTATAATGCCCTTTACTACTACAATATATGAACATTTATGAATGAAAAACTGTTATGTATGTAGTGTTACGATACAATCTCACGGTAATCATAAAGATTGGATAAGACTTACAAACATGCCACCGACTTATACTCCATAGTTAATGACGATACAAAAATTTAACTAATATTAAAGTTAGTGTAAGAAGTTCTAGTGATTAGCTCACAATCTAAACGGATTTCTTAAATAATTAATACTTTGATTCAAGATATAGCTAAAAATATAATATTTAAAATAATAACATTATGTATAGGTTTAATTTTTTATAATTACCGTAACCCAATTAGAAAAAACAGTATATTTTACACGTGACTAGACTGTTCCAAATAATCTAGACTCAATGTTTTGATTTAAACAATGTATTAATTATCCTAAAGAATAAGATAAAAGACAATATTTTCATTCATGTAAAAATACGCTTTATTAATAAATTCATCAAAATATCTAACGACAAACTTCACACATATTAACGATATACATACATTTGAGCAAGTTATTGTACAGTTTTTTGGTTCACTAGCCAATATCAATTGGAATGTAATATCATTCTTATAGATTATAATTCGGTTATTTTGTCTTTGGGGTAGTTATATTATCAAATACGTAAAAATGGCTTTATATTAAACACATACAACTTCAACAAAACATGCTTCGTACATTCACAGCCTCGATTGAAATGTAACAAATATGAATATTTATTAAAAATGTCATGAATTTCGCTCAAACAATACAAAAAATTAAGATAAGATATATTTGTTCTTTCCATTTGTATTATTCACACTTATCATCAAATAGATATGAATACGGATTCGCAAACGGAATTATTGTTTTTAATGTTTATTTATAAATGACGTACGTGATTTAAGATAAAAAATATTATAAACAATTAAAAATAACAAGAAAGTGAAAACTGTTACCGAGCGGCACTTCTATAAAGACCAAATCACATACTATAGTGTTCTAATTTAAAGCAAACTATTATTTTTCGAATATACTACGAGACTTTATTTTTGATTAAAAACTACATACTCCCGACGTTTCGGCTACTTTTCGGCAACCGTGATCACGGGCAGACGAGATGTGAATAAGTCGCGTACATCCGAAAAATATTAGTTTCATTTAAATGAATAGGACTCACGAAAATCTTAGATCTCATTAATAGTGATCTAACTTTATTAACACGCAATTTGATTAATAAATAGTATTTTGATTTGTACCATATAATAAAATATAAATGTCAATACATTCAATACACTTTAAATCTTAATATAACTACATCTATTATAGCTTATAAATGTAAAAAATTCGTTCAAACCTCACGAGGCAGACAGTCATCAGTCAAAAACTATATACATAGAAACTAATTATTCCTTCTTCACATAACCGTATGTATTCCAGTTCTGTATGTGTGGGAGCACCTCGTTGACAACGGGGTACCAGTCGGCTCCAGAATAATCGATGGGACCCAAAGCACCGTCGTAGTCCGCGGGCAAATGACTAGGAGCCAAATGCTTGTGAAGAGATGACATGTTGCTGCCGTGGAAGAAGATCTATAGACGAAAATAAAGCACTTTTATTATAAAAATTTACACATAACTTGAAAAATTACATACATTTTCCATTATGGAATTAAGTTAGATTATTGTGTTGATATCCTGACAATACTAACACATATATGGGAATACATATGTGTCTATGTCTGTCTGAGTCTGTCTGAGTGTGTGTGGCAAAAATATTTTTTTATATACGTTACGTTCTAAATAATACTATTAAAATGTTAGGGATCTAAGAGTTCTAAATGTAATCGTCATTTTGCCAAAAAAAAAAATAATTACAAACGTACATTTTTCTACTATAAACAAACTATCCTCATGCTTACCCTGCCCTTCAACTTTTCCCTGATCAAAGGCTTGAACAGCTTCCAAACCATGTTGAAGATCATGGGCTCCTTGACGAAATGCACCTCCTTCAATCTAAGAGGTAACGCGTCTTGGATGAAAGTGAGCAGACGTTTAGAAAACGCGGGAGTTAGACCCATCGTCTGCAAAAAAAAACATTCAAATTATATACAAATAAATCATATAAATGGCTTTCCTATAAAAGTTAGATATATAGAAAATACTTTTATTATTAAGGAAGTATTCGATACCTCTATCAAACCTAACATAGGTATGTATAAGTAATAAAACAAACAATTGTATTATGTGTTATTATAGTATTTAATATTATTGCCATAGCTCGATTCAGCTCGTGTTATGTTATTTACACGTGGTTTTAGTTTACAATTTAATCACGATGCAATTTAAATGAAAACGATTACATAACGCAACCAATGTTTGTGAGACTTTAAACATAGAAATACTAGTTGCTCTTTCTAAATTTAATTATGCTTTGGTTCCTGGAATACATTTGACAATAATTCATTTAACAATTATTGCTTATGTCAATACCTATAGGCTATAAAATAGTCTAAAATGTAAACGATAGTTCTAAAATACATATGTATGTAAATTCTTATTGAACACTCGAGTAAATTACGAAAATGTTTGTGCTTAGGAAACTCTCGTTCTATAACGAAAATACAAATTCTTTAAATACAATTAATAGATGTCAACTTTTATTTTAATTTCTAAGTGCTGTAACAAAAAAGAATTCTCGAAAAATATTCGTTGTTCAAATAGTATGAAATGTACTTTGTTATAGAATGTCTAAAATTTAAGCCTTAACCATTAATTATAGAGTTTAAGTAACTTTTGAACTTTCTACATCATTAACTTTTTGTCTTGTTGATTTATTATGTTATGAAAATTTAAACTTTAACTATTACTTACTTATAAACAACCAAATGTTTTTAATTTTACTTAGAAATGTGCTGACGATATGAAGAAATATCTTATATGATGTTTTTTCTACTAGTTTTATACTTAGATGAAGTGGAACGCTTCATAACTAAGTAATAAATCATACAATTAAAATGCATTGTGATATATGTAACTGTAGAACCAATTGCGGTGATGAAAGGTCACATCAGGGCGCGGATCAGATGAACAAAACGACTTGTTTACTACTTGTGATGCCAAATATTTGCTTACGTCCTTACATTTCAAGGAAAATCTATTTCCTTTTCTTGTAACGGAAGTTTGGTTAGAATGTTGATATTTTAGGACGAGTTAAGAATAATGTATTAGATATACCCGTGCCATTTTAAGGCTTAAGGAAATAAACCGAGGTGAAGTGTCTGCGCTGAATTGGCTTAGATTGATTATATATTATGTATATAACTCAGACCACGGGATGAGTGGAAGACGTAAATGATCAGACTTCCACAGAATACAAAATCATTTCGACCTCAAACGTGAGGTCCCTTGAGCTGAAACCTTGTCAGTATTATCCTTACAGGCTCTACCTTCATCGATGTTTGATGGTTTACAAGTTCTTGTTATAAACGATAATACGGAAGCCAATGTTATATTACCCAAACAATGAGACAACATTGCAGTCTTGATAAATTAGTTTTACGACGCATGAAAATAACCTCGTACGGATAACCACATTTTGAAGTTTGCGTCGACATTTTTTTTTTTAATATAGCATACAAACATAAATTATTGCTACCTCATAGATTCATTATAATTTTTTAAAAGATTAAAAATATTATTGTATTTTATAATCGTACTTTTTATCTATAATCCAAGGTTATTATGTATCAGATCCTGTTCGATATTATACGTAATAGAAAACGTTGTTCTTAAATATAAAACATATTTAATACTTACAAAAACCATTTAAAACAGTTTATTTATAAATATTTTGTAGAATATTTTAAGTTTAAATGTATTTCAGAAATAAATCAAACACGAAGTCAAGGAAAATGCCCTATTTTGAAATAAATCAACCCACCTATTGTGACAGAACTATAAACAAATATATCATTCTTTGTATTAGACAATCTTTTGTTGCATTTATATCTTGTACTTTACTCGTAAAACTTTGTCAAGGGCCTGAGTCATCAGTCAAAGGGCGATGAATTCACAAAAGATACGACACGAAGACGTGACACATAAAATTACAAAGCAAGTAATGCGTTTTAAATATCCGAAGAAGGGAGGAAATATACTAAAAATATATGCATAATTACTTTCACTAACTACAACTATAAGTATAGTAGCATTATTTGTGGAAATTATTCGTGAAGAAAATTAATATATTTATCTTTTATAAGTTGTCTAATATTAGCATGTTTAAGGGTCAATTTAATAATGTAATTGTATGAAACAAATAGATCATCCACAGATGCCATTGAAATTTATTTACGATTTATTTTATTAAAATCACTAACCAACTCGCTACACGTGGATAGCAAACGGCAACACGCTACACAAGCAAATCAAATCTTTTGCAATCATGCACGTTATGCGCACGCGCAGTGAAAGTGACAGATAATCTATACAATGCTTTGACAGCACACAAATTTTAAAACTTTTACTTTGTTTTTCGTAATAACGAAACAAAGGTTCCAGATAATGAAACAAAAGAAATATAACATATATTATTCCAAGGATACATTAATGATAATGCTGCATTGTGAAAACAGTAACGTTCAATGTAATTAATATCTGAAAAACGACGAATACAAATTAGTGTGCCAAGGTAGCACAAAGCAAATTCGATCTTATTGTTATAAAGGTCAATGACTTACATATTTCATTATTTGGTACAATGACATAAATGTTAATATTTTTTCGGTTGAATTGGCAATCCTATATTTACGTTATAACGAAAAAAATTCTCTTTTCCCGATCTTTGTTTCCTGTTAACAAAACTTCATATTTATATTCTGTTAATAAAAAAACTGCAAAATCATTTTTATGAGAATCGTATTATAACATAGCATATTACGTATATACATTGAAATGTAAAAATAATATAATTACATACATTTATGTAGGTTTTATATGAAAATTTTTTCTTGTATAGGAATACACATACCTGACTCATGCCCATTTTGTAGAAGTCCATAATGACGACGGTTCCTCGGACTTGAGACTCTGGTTCCAACATAGCAGCTTCGTGGATTAAATAGAATAATCTGAACAGCTGGTCTGCCGTCACCTTTTTGGTGTTCCAGCTACCTATAGAAGAAAATTGTACTCTTAATATAGTAAAACCATTAACTCATACCTATTTTTTTGTCGAATAAATCAATTATCTTTTAATTCAGTAAGTGTTTATTAATAAATCAATTGTTTTTAATTTTCATCCAAGAAGTTTTATAAAAATAAGGTTTTATATGTACTACAATGAATAATAAAGCACAGATTAAAATAAATCCTTATAAACAATTCAATATTCACAAGTGCTTGTTGATTGAAAAGAACGTAATCAATCTGTCCCCTCGCAGACAATACCGCATGTACCTACAATAATTATTCACTAAAATAATATTTACTTGCAACATTATCATTCCGTGCAATGAACGAAAACGGAATATCAACAATGGTTTTACACAATAAAAATTTATATTCGTGACTTATAACTTACAATTGTGATAAAAACATCATACATATATTTCTAGAAGAATCTTTAAATGTTTCTTTATAATTACCTCCGACGTTGACAATGAGAACTCTTCTTCCTTTATCATCACGACCCTTCATTACATTTACTACTTTGTGCTCCAGGAAAGCTTCCTTCTCGTGTTCTGGCAGTAAACCATCCAACAAACTCGCGTTGTCGCGCTTAAAATCTGCAGCCCGACGCATCTAAAGCAACATAAACGTTATTAGATAACTTTAATAAAATATTCTTAATTTTTCTAACAACACGTAAAATGTACTAATAAAATTATTTACTTTCCTATCACAATAACTCTGTAAATCTTTTTTTAGGTACCTAACTGTTAAAATTCCTAAACGATTGACAAAAGATGTATATTATGTATTTTAAAGACGAAACTCTTTGTAGTTTGTTATAACAAAAATTAAAAAAATATAAACAGTATAAAGACGAGCAATTCAGAGTTGTTTTCATAATATATGGATAGTTTACATTTGCATGTCATAATGTTCATCATTTCCTTGTTACAATAATATGAAACTTGTAATGGTGAAATAATGAAACGGCCATCATTTATTTTACTTACATTACAAATGACAATGACAATGACAATGACATCCATGACATCACTACCCTATTCAATTAATAACAATCTATATATAATTTTCACAAATCAATTTCCATATAAATTATTAAACTAATTAAAGTCAAAATATTTAAAGATTCCATACAATGAATAAAAGGTGTTAAATATGTAATTTAACTTCATACTTGCCATATATATGCGAGGTATAGCAACAGATAACAAAACTGATTTTTTTAAAAACAAATGCATCACATTTCTTTTTTGATACCAATAATGGAATTTATGTTTAATATAGGTACAGATGTTCATAAAATTAAAGATAATAGGGTCAGGTGGGCCAATCCATTTTAAAATGGTGGCGCGTACAGAATGACCTTGAGCATATGCAAGTTTGTTTTATAATTGTTGCGGTAGTTGTATTTTAGTCTGTCGACAGTTGTTGCATAAGAGCAGGTTAACGACTGATTGCGAATAAGCAACAAGCACGTCCCGACCCTCCGTTAGACTCAGTGGATCTCGTAACGCTATTACTTGTTTTATTAACATCCAATTTGTATACGTTTGTATATCTGGATCACGATCCAAAATCATGTTTATATCGGACTGGTCGCCGTTAGAAGCTCAGTCCAAAGGTTCCTTTGTTATGACTAACCGAACAATAACACTATCAATCATCACTACATAACCATCGTAAAACACTTTTCCTTTATAGTTTCTATTAAATCGCTTATATTGATTTATTTGCTGAATACAAGTGATAGTATTCCGTCTATTTAAAGAAAAAAAAAACGCAACTATACGGTCTATTACTAGTCATAGTGAAATTGTTTTTTTTAAATATCTCATTTAATCTATCTCTTTTCTAACTTTATTTTAACCAAACATAAAGTTGTTTATTCCATATACGTATTTTCGGCAACTTGTGAACTTGTGTTGAATTGATCCATCAATCTCGATCATATTTAAATAATGTTGAAACAATTCATTTAACAGACGCAAGAGCACGTGACATGTATTTAATATTACTTATTTTATCACACAAACATGTACATCTAATTCATTAATGTCTTTATAGGATTAGAAGCATGTGAATGCATAATGGGATTCTGCGAAGATTTACCTAATATATATTATTTAATATATTTAAAATATTTTAGATATTAGATGCAAACTGATTTTATCCTGTACTTTGCTCGCGTATTTCTTACTAATCATCAAGCTACGTCTATTTTAAATATATAATAACCAAAAAAAATCTTGTTTATTCGAAGTTTTATACCTCCATTAAAAGAAAATTCGCACAAGTTAAAATCGTACATGCCATACAAAATGTTTCCCTTTTCACCAAATAACCTGTTAATTCTATAAAATTACTTTATGAAGTGTAGTATGTAGTGTACGATGTAAATTTGCATACAGCATACCGAAGTTTTTAAATGATGTAGTAATCAAAAAATATATATAATATAATTTATCACTAATAATTATTACAAGACAGACTAAATTAAGTGGGATTTAATAAATCAATACAATTACAGTATTATCAAATCTGATACATTGTTTCAATAAGGCATAGAAGATAATATTTGGAATGTGAAATTTAATCTTTGTTTTAAATAATATTAGTGCCAAGATATGACAAAAAAATATATCTGTGCTCAATTTTAATAACAGCTAGGATAGTATTATCTTGAACATTGATTGAATTTAGTATTACAAGAATGTGTTTTTTACATTAAATCCTTATCTTTAGGTAAACAAAGAAGTAAAAAGTCTTTATTATCTAAAACTATTTACCGGATCTAAATTATCAGTCAAACGGTCAACTAGCATCGGTTGAAGATAATAAAGATATCATAAGTGTTCAAAGTGCAACAACTTTACTAATATTATTTACAGATACTAATTACTCTTATCATGTACATTATGTGTTGACAACCATTGATAATCTTATTGCTAACCGCCCTTAGACGTTGGCAGCAACGTTTAAAAACGGTTTGATTTATATATTTATATATACATATATGTGAAAAGACTACATACCTAAATAAAGTGATTATTAAAAGCATTGAAATAAAAATTATTGCATTCATTGGTAAAAAAGGCGTCCTATGAAATGTTACATGGATGTACAATGTACATATATATTATAAGAAACATATTTTCATTGAGGACTAGTGTCATAATATATATATTTCTACATAAACATGCCTACATATAATGATATCTAAGATTTTCGCGAGTATTCCTTTAAACTTACATATAATTTTGATAATGACTTATTTAAGAACGATTTTATATTCGTTTAAAATATAAAAGGATTTATACATTGCTTAGACACTGTGGACTACACAATTACTATTTTAAGTATACTTGTTACTAATAGCCGTGTTATTATTGTCATACAAATGGAAAAATTCAAGCTAAACAAGAACGACGTTTTAGATAAGTCTGTTTATTTATATCCGTTGATGTCACGCCGGGACAGCTTTATCTCTAATTATCTGTAACTGATATGCAGTGCCCTTTGACACGCCCATTAGACCCCATCCACACTACCATACCCGTCACATTACGTGTTCGTTCCGATAGTGTAGATAGGTCCTTACCAATGATAACTTCATATAGAATGATTCCCAACCCAACTGACCTTTATACATGGTTATATCTGACAGCAGGAAATGTCCTGTAGCATATATATTACGTCCATTTAACACAGATAACGGAATCAATGTATTTATCCGATACATATTTATAAATCAAAAATGTTATTTAAAACAGTATTACACCGAAATCAGTTCTGATATAGCGACTGTCATCGCAATCAGTCATTCCGATGATAAAAAATTATCAATAATTTATTGGTTATTGATCTTTGACTATATTTTTATTTGTTATAAAATATATCTCCTAATCAGAACACCCTGTAGAGTGCAATTAGAGTCGATCCAAACGAGCTCTCGTGCAGGCTTACCCTATAATATAGAGGAAAGTATGAAAGCTTCTTACTTTCTAAACTAGAGAGAAAAAAGGCTATAATTTGCATATCTTGCGTCCTTTACGCACTTGACGTCTACAGTTAGCTTAATTCAAGAGTGGACCCGTCCTGTTTTGCAGGCTCCGAGGTTTTTGTATGCATACACTATAATATTACAGAATAAAACGGTATCTTGAAGCTTAAAACATTTCAACGACATATTTTTATTATTCATACAATAAGAATATTCTAAATATCTATCCTGTGTACCTAAAATATGTAGGAGTTTGAGAATAGATAGCTGTTACAAGAAAACCAAATCAATTTAAATCCTTTCGAAGGTAGTTTTCTGCAACCTTTAAGTTCTTTGAATAAATAAAATTATATTCTAAATTTCCTAAGATTATATAAATTAATATAAATTATTTAAATGACTTAAACGTTCATGTACGTTATGCAAATATATTATGTGTACGAAACGTCGAAATATTATATAAGGTATTATGATAACATTTCATAGAGACGTTATTAAGAGGTCTAGGACAAACCGCCGTTACTCGTCTATTATGATTGCTTAAACTATGCCATCATTTACCAACACTTTAAGTTACTCTTACGCAAGTAGATCATGCCCGTGGTTTGCAAACAGCCTTATCTTCTTAACAACTACTTTTAGTATGAAAATTGCATAAAATTGCAGCTTAATAATGCTAGATTTGTAATCTTATATGTATGAAATAAGTGATTTTTAACTCACCAACGCCAGAGCGCTTTCGGGGTACCATTTGCAGGGTCGGAGGAATATCGTCAATATCTCGTCTTCATCGCCGAAGTAAATGTCTTTGTTCTCTTTCAACAGTTCTCTAAGTCTTTCCAGAGCTTCCCGAACACGTTCAGGAGTCTCCCGGAGTTCACGTTCAGCTATAGCCTTCGTCTCCTCTGATAATTCGACATTTCTTTCGATTCTAAAATCGCTAGGGCTGCTCATCTTGGGAATTATATCTGTAACAGTTGTTTATTCTGATTCGCTTTGTTTGTCACTCATAATCTAATGAATATTAATCTTCTATATTATGTTTAACATCATTTTTATAATCAAATGACACAAAAAAACACGTACACATATTTATTGCTTACAAAGTATTGTATTAACGCAATAGGTTAATGCCATTTACATATTACAAATACGATAATAATAGACGAAAAAATGAGTAAATAGTACTCAAGCTGACATAGCTGTTTACGGTTTACCCTCCATTGAGAGTTGTTGATAATTATTGTTACAATGACTTTTCGATTGATACTATCGTAAAAGACAAGGCTATGTTATGGATTCCCGTCCAGTTTTATGTTTTCAAAATATTCTACTAGCAGTCATTAATATGCGTGGAAATAAGCCGCAATTTATTTAAACTTTTTTACGTATGTATAATTAATGTAATGTATAAACAATGGAATAAAATATCTATTGAAACATGTTCTTTTAAACAAAAAAAACATAAGTTATTTTATAAAAGTCACGACACATTGATAAATCAGTAATTTTAAGAAAAACCAAGTAAGTATTAAACCTTCGTATCTGTCAAAATCAATTCCAATATGATTTGCGTCAGTAATCACGAAACTTATCACGCTAATTAATCAATAATTTCTTTTCATTCAATATTCACTTTCGTCCTTATATCTTAATCACATTATATAAGTATGAATTAAATAAGACAGTAAAAAAATTATATACTATTATTGTAAGTTAAATACCTCACGATTTAACGTTAATATAAAAGAATATTGTTTAGTAGCTACAGTTCTTGATAGTAATTTTTGAACAAGAAATAGAAATCTCCCGGGCTGCTAGAATAATTTACTGTAATTAATTGGAATAATTGTCGGTTTAAAATAATTCAGAAAGTTAAACTTAATATCGCTTAAAAGTCACAATACTTTTATTTGTAAGTATATATAATCAATCAATCCTTAAAATAATTTTAATTATTAAATAAAATTACATACAAATAGTTATACTACTTTACTATTAAATGTATGTAAATAGTAACAGGCTTAATCTTATCAAGCTATTGTCTTTCGCAATTCTGTAATAATAAATAAAGGAAGCACTTTGTTTTTGTTATTAAACGTGTAACAAGCCTTTGTAATTTTTTTGTACTAACACAATAAACGAGTCATTTTTTTTATAAATATGTAATCGATACATTTGTTTTGTCTTACCGTATCGCTCGAAAAAAACAAATGAAATAACTATTTTTACAAAAAAATAAAATAGAAAAAACACAACACTATCAAAACCGGTGAATCTACGCTCCAATTTGCTAATAATGTAATTGACGGAATATTGTGAAAATACACACTAACCTCACTCGCGCGTGGAAATACGCGCGTCGGTTATAATATTACAGGGGCTGAAGATCGTGAGCGCGGTACAGGCCGGTACGATGCGAGTGTGCGCCCGCGCAGCTCACAAGCTCTTATATAGACTCGTGATAACGCTTTGTGCCCCCAAGAGAAGCGGCTCTTTGTACGAAAGGTCGATAAGGGCGGAAATTGACAGATATTTTTTTGGTACAGCAAATATTCTTTAAACACTAAAAGACTATACGTTGACAGTGTTTGCTAGTCAAATGTTTTTGTAAGTCAAAAATATTTGTGGCAGAAATCTTCACTTCATCTCAATATTTGTTAATTGTTAGAGAAACGCTAGCCTATTTTAAGTTTTAGACGCAGAACTATTTATAGTAGATAAAAATACTGATAAATATGCCAAAACAGTCTAACAAAATATGACTATTAAGTATTAGATATTCATCGTTTTTTGTTACATGATACTATTTTTAAAAAAGAGCGGTGAGAAGGATTTTTTTAACTCAAAATAAACTTTTGTATGTTCAATAATCACATATTTTTATATATAGATATACACTATACATATTACATACGTTTAGCGCTTTCATCATTGTTAAATAAATAAACATATCCAGGCTTTGTTTTAAACCTTACATTTCTGAGTGACGCATAAAGAATTTCTTTGTACCTAGACTGTGCAAAATAATACCTAACTTTGTAGATTGTTGGTTAAGCATTTTATACATAGTTTAAAGTTTATTTTTATCTTCCAAATAGTAACCATTATAATAATAATACTAATTATTTTATTTGACCTAGTAGAGCCTAGTTACAAATATTGATTTTTAAAGATGCAGATGGACTAACAATAGAGAGAAGCATGTCCGCCAAAGTGCCTTATAGACTATTTATACACTAACTGATCAATAAAATAGTTTAATCATTATTTTATCGGTTTAAAATAAGTCAGAGCCGACATTTTTATACTTTAGTTCTAATCTCCTATCTTATCCTTCATAAACGACGTATCCTTAAAAAACTCTCCTCTATAATTTTTACCATAGATAGAGCAATGGCACTTTAGTTTTTGACTTTCGATAAATAAGGATATCACAAAGCGAAATTATTTTTTTATACAATCTACTACCAAGCCAGAATATCTTATGATTAAATATGCGTTAATTATTTACTTCTTCTGTGAGCGATATGATCGTCAGAAAGCAGGGAGAGATTAAAAGAGTAGAGTTAAAGATTAAGCTGAGGCCTATGCTTTAGGAGAAGCTTACATCTAGCGTAGAAATAGACACCGCTGGTGATTTAAAAGTAGAAAATCCCACTTTAATAAACCAATCAGTATCTGGCTTTTAATGTAGATATTCAAGTATCATATTCATACCTTAATCCTTTTCTTGGCGCTGGTAAAGATTTTATACTTACTCTTCCGACTAGAGGAGGAGTAAAACCCAGCCGTTACCCAAATCATCTCAGAGAAAAGGTTGAAGATCGCTTTCGTATGCAACTGTTACGCTCCGACGGGTTATCCAATACTTTGGATGACTTAAGGCTCGTCATTAATACCTACTCTAAAATAGTTCATAATGTAACTCGCTATAAAAGCCGTTACAAGTATATTTATTAATAATTTTGTTTAATAAAATTTGCAGTGTATCCGAAATTAGTATTTTTGGTTATATTTTGTAACATAAACGATACATCTAAACAGTTTAACATTTTTGGTTGTGATTTACAGTAGTGGTAGAGGAGAACTTAAAATGTTAAAAAAATTATTCAACTTAATACTTTGTGCGCAGTTTATTTACAACAATGTTGTATTCAACCACAGCTACATTGCAAGTAATTTATAGGACAGAATTGTTCCAAAATATAAAAAATCCTTAAGGAACGTTGCATATAAACTCTACTTTTGAATTACCTATCATTAAGTTACAATTACCTTTAAATTAAAATACAAATATAATATTAAACCCAAACTTTAAATGTTAATAACTTTCAACAGAACAAACAATATGTATATACATTTTTCACCTACTACTTAAATGAGACTCAATATAGTTTAATTTTATTTTATTTTACTCAGCTTCAATTCTCAAGCATAGATTTTTATGGGATTGCGTTATTATTTTTTTCTTTCCCACGTCTATATTTTTAATGCACTGTTGTTATTTAAAAGAAAAATGTAAAAATGAATATTTATTTCGTCCAAGAAAAAAAGGGTGAAAACTTAAATAAAAGTCCGGAACAACTAATTCTAATAGAGTCAATATTTTATGAGTTAGTGACCAAAATTTAATTTAATTTTACTAAAATTATAATAAAAAAATTCCCAAATCTAATTATTACCAACAATTGTTAAGTCACAGAATAAAAATAGACCACTTGTTCAATTCCAGGATTTTCATATCATTATAATATGATAAATATGGAATTTGTACTCTTATTTTACCGTATCTACAAAAAAGCTATTATCTCCACGACGTCATTTATTTTAGCGTTTCCAAATATCAAAAAATATTTTTTTATCTATCGATTGGAGGAAGTTCTGACACATTCGTGACATTTCTGTGAAAAAATAACACATACAAAAAAAACGTCCAGATTCATTCATCCAGGATATAGTTTGTAATTTTTTTTCTCACATCAACACATATTTAAAACTATACATAAATATCCCTCAAAATTTTAAAATATTCAGTAAATAAAAAGCCATTTGTTTTATATCATGTATTAATAGATTCATCAACTTCAGCGACAGAAGCATTCGCTGTTTCGTCCGCGTCATCAGAGCTACTCTCGCCGCCAGTACCAACCACATCCTGCAATCGTAGTTATCAATTTAAGCTAGTTAACTTATATTTGTTAAGTGAAACTATTTACGCCACTTCAAACAAGGTTGCGTTAAAAGTTTAACACTACCATGGGGATGAAACACATTTTCAGATTTATATATGAAATAAAGATTATAATCCTACTCATATTATAATTGCGAAATTTTGTGAGTGTGTGTGTATGTTTGTTACTTCTTTACGCTCAAACGACTGAACCGATTTTGATAAAATTTTGTATACAGGAAGCTGACGTCCAGGAATAACACATAGGCTACTTTACAACCCGGAAATCCGCGGGTAACACCGCGGGGCACAGCTAGTTAAATATAATTTTAATGGTATTAATCATAGTTATGTTATACCTCACACTTAACACGATTAGTAGATAGTAGGGTCTGCATGACGTATTTGAAGATGTGGTCCCGACAGAGCTGGTCCGTGTCTGGAGGCAGCCAGCCGCGACGCTCGTGACACGTGTACCCGGCTGGCGGGGACAGAGACACTAGTTCTTGGACTTCTGGCAGGTATACATCACAATACTGACAGGGGAAGAGACAAATATGTATAAGCTGTTTGCCATAGTAGGGAAGGGGGATTTGAAGATAGCTCAGTCCAGGGGAAAAAACATATATAAAACTACAGTTTTTAATTTGATAAACCTATAAAAAATATATACAATAAATATTTTAAAGTGACATAATTATTTAAAAATGTAATAGAAGGATTATAAAGGATTAATTTGATAACATTATGACCCGCTGATAAATAAAGATAAATTAATTTCAATAAACGAGTCCCAAAGAGGGTTGATGTCAGGCAGGCGGCTGGGCGTAAAAACAATTAGCTAAAACTATTCACAACATGTAAGACAGACCCTGGCTAAAGCTGGGAAATTGCCAGGTAAAAGAAGAAATGAGTCCATTATTGACACATTGACAATATATTTTACCTGGTAGTATATTTGTCTCTGAGTTGGGGCCATTCCAGGTCTAAAGTAAACAGCGCCTTCACATACCGTGTCCTCTACTGAGAGGTCATCGATAGCACTCTTACTTAAATTCTTAATTCTATCTTTCTTCTTGCAATGAACAAACTCATCACGAGTTGTCACCATAGAGTGGACACCGGCTGGAATTGGGAGAAATAAGTGTAGTTAGTGCTTATACTGATACTATATTAGACATATATTTGAAGATTAATAAAGAAGAATAAAGATATAATTCGCCAGATTAAGTTTAATCTAGTATTTCTTGTGTATAAGCCCTTATATTGCAGACTTATGATAAAGAAGAATATTTATATTTTGAAACATACTTAATTTAACTTTGCACATCTTACACAACATGTTTATAAATTAAGATATATTCAAGGTTCTATAAAAAATTATGACCTGTACATTAATGTAAAACAAAATTCAAATAAATAATACTCAGAAGTGATCTAAGATTTTCGCGAATACTCATTTAAATGAAACTAATATTTTCGGATTTACTACGCGATATTTTATTTTTGACGATAAACCTGTGACCTGTTGACCTGTGACCACCGTTAGTAAAGTAGCCGAAACGTCGGCATTATGTAGTTTATAGTCAAAAATAAAAAATCGAGTAGTAAATCCGTGAATATTGCTTTCATTTATATACTCAGTTAAATTGAAAGCTACTAGAATGTTCTATTCCGGAAATTATGGTTTCATGACCTGATTAAATCAATGAATTACTATTTAAGTACTAATTTAACATTATTATTTACATACAAACCTGCATGTCTCATCCTAAAGTCTAGGGTCTGGTAAATCCTTGCACCCGGTTCTTTTCTAGGGTCATATCCAAATCTTGTCCACAACATCCTCCAAGGACCTTCTCTCATGTATAATGCGAGACACGGCATTATCACCTTAAGAGATGACACCTTTATCTTTGTATGAAACTTGACTAGATTCAACGACCATATCGGTCTTTCTTCAAAGAGCTGAAAAAGACAATTTATATAGATCCCATACATAATGAAAATAATATGAATTTAATAAGTCTCAGATAATATAATAAGTAACAGATTCTCAACCTTTGCCACTGTATTATATTCCTCTTCCAAACAAGGATTCAAAGCTTGTCTTGCATTTCTTAATTTAATATAATATTCATTGGGTTCAGTCGGTAACTCTTCATTCAGTGAAAATATAAATCTGGGTAAATGCAAAGACCTCTCCACCCTCGTCTTATGTACTTCGTCATTTGGCGACTCGCCTTTCATCATATCCTTTGTCACATAGCGTTTTTCTGTGTAGCAGTATGTTATTGGTTTGTCTGATCTCGTAAAGTTTGATGGTGTTATAAAAAGAGGTGTGGGTTCCCTGAACATAACAAATTTTAAGTTTTATAATAAATCATATTTCACTTTGTATATTTCGACTTACTAAACACAAACTTCTACATTTTTGATTAGAATAAAAAGTAAATATTATTTTATATTATTAATATGATGTAATGTAGCTTTTTATTATAACTACTTTAAATTTTTAACTTAACTAATAATTAATAAAATAATATAGAATTGAATTGCAAAGTTCACTAAGCCATATCTTTTTTATTTAGAAATGACTCAGGGTAATATGTACATAATATACCTACAATATTGAATTCAGTTCATCCAGGCCCGAAGGTATAATTTGTTCTATAAGACATTGCGGTTTATCACCTTCTACATGTGGTGTTGTGAGTGGTAAGTATTGGAAGTCACACATTGCTAAAAAAATATTAAAATTTTCTATATAGTTCCAAATTTAAATTATTTATATCTTTCACACTGTCAGTTAAACTTACATTCAAACCTATTAATTTTCTTCACAGTTCCAACAATAGATGTTGAAATGACTTCTTTCTTAACCTCATTACCCGATCTAGTTTTCTTAACCTTTATTTTAAAGAGGACACCGGCGCTGGGTTTTGCGTCAGCATATATTTTCTTCATAAAAGGATTATCTGGTTGAAAGCTGAATCCCAGTCGTTTTTTATTAGCTTGAGTGTAATGCTAAAAACACACTAAGATGAAGTTAAGGAGTATAGCTTTTGCTAATGCTGATACCTAGAAAAGGTCTTGGTTTACCTGTGAAAGAGCCTTCATACCACCCATACACTGTATAGCCTTTTCATCATTCTTAACAATACCAGGAAATAAGACACAATATAATTCTTTACGCAAATTATCATTATTTTCCATGTTTATATTTTAACACATGCTAATTCTGATGCCTTATATCATATGGTAAACAAAATATAACATGTCTGAAAATATGTCAAAATAGATCAACGTCAATGTCAAAAGTGACTACTTATTGTTCAGATACTAAATGTATTTACATTGTTATAATTAAGAAACAAAAATCTACTATTCCTAAGTCAGAGTTGTAAAGAAATAAGATATTAAATTTTAACATTTTGTTAGTTCTTTTTTCACTGCTCCTCAATTTAGTATGTCTACAACTTTGGAAATACATTTATCTGAGGTGCCGAACTCATCCTTGCCACAAGTGTCAATTCAATCGCAATTTACATATTTATTTTATCAAAAATTTTGTTAACTTTTTTCTAAAACATTAGTTGTAGGCCGAGAGCCAGGTGCAAATTTGGTTAATTATTTCTTCTCGTTAGATAATTGGGAATACGCATCAGACAACAGTATCATAAAGCCCTATGACCGTCAGCTGCGGCGCAGTGGGGGGGATGAGCAGTTGTAACCTCCCACGCTTGGAGAAGAAAAAAAAATCCAGTCATTTCCTCTCGGCTAAAAGTTTATCAAGTTATAGCTAACCCAATACCTCAACAAAAAAAAAAGTCAGCTGGCTATAACATAGTGCATTGTACGTCAGCTGATGGCTAGATCATGGGAAAAAAATCTTCACTTTCAGTGATATCTTCTCGGCTAAAAATTTACCTGTTGATAGCTTATATGTAACTATTGATAAATATATACGTCAGCTGGCTGTATCTCGGTGGAAAAATCGTCAGCTGATGAATCAGAGAGAGATGGTTGTCACTCAAGTAAAAGCGAAGCCGAAAATGATTAAATAATATTATCATTTGAATTGTAATTTGTCATATTTTTTTTATAATAAATATTTTTTATCAAGTAACTAGTTAATTTATAAGCAAATTGATTATTGAAATATTGGAATATATCTAAAATTATATGATTATATACTTTAGACATAAATTATATACTTTAGACTTATAATTCTAAAAAATATTAATATGGAATATTTGTTTCACCTCAACACCCATATTGCTATTGCTTAAAAATTCATAGAACAAGGTTTAAGTATTAAGATTACAACATAAAAGAAATGCCGGAAATAATAAGACATATAAATTTCACGATTTCTTTATTATTAAAATAAGACATTTAGCTTAGTTTTAGTTTATTCAAGTTATTTATCAATGCATGAGGACTTGCATCTGAGCAAGCTGGCTGTAGGTGTCGCCGGGCATCCTGTACGCGATGTTCCCAGCAAATGTATTCAAAACCTCAGCTTGTTCTCTCAACCATTCTAGTTGCTGTAAGATAAAAACTTTAACTTAATCTATGATTAAAAAACAACATTAAAGTGCATTACATTACATACATCACAGTACATTAAAGTGCCTTCCAACACAATAAAAAAATAATTAAATTGGTTAGTATAATAATTTACCTTATTAGCAGTATGTGCACTTAGGGTTGGCTGTGCAGTACGTAACTTCTGCCTCATAGCAAGCAGTATGTGACATAGCGCTCGTAATACAGCCGGGAGTGCTCGTAATAGTTCGCCTCGAGCATTTCGCGCTCCAGCCACTCGAGCCGACACCTCGTCCGAGCTTAAAGGTACCAGCTCACAAGCGCGAATCGTCTGTAAATATATAATTATATATGTTACACTTAAGGTTCGAAAACTTTCAGTGAGCAAAAAAATCGCGTTCTAGTGAAAGTAAAACATCGATATTGCGAAATTCGTGTTATGACTCTAATGAAAACGCGTACCACGGGTTGTGGTAATCTCAGAAAGATCAAATATTACATGCTATCCGATTACAACGCGTTTTAGCATCAACACAATTAGCATCTTAATCATTGATCTGTGGTTAATTTTTGTTAGTAATTTTATCAAAAACTAGATGTACCGAGTTTTAGTAAAAGAAACTCTGGAAATTAACAAAAATTTGTTTCAAAAAACAAATATAAACACATACCTCCAAGGCACCTTCGTAATTTTCAGCATGGAACTGATCGAAGAACGTCATCAACTTGCACAGCTTATTGTAAGCATCAACCAGGTGGGAAGATGGCAGTTCCTCTGAACGAAGGCGTCGCGCCACATGTTCAGACAAGGAACGTAAACGCTCTCGTAATGCACCACCGCTACTCACCACTTGAGCCAGCAATACACAAAACAACTCCAATACTTTCTCCAAGTTCTGTAAAGAGGTTTTATTAATGTTAATTTAATTCACATTGCATGTGGATCTTTATTGAGTTGTACTTACTCCAGCAATGTCATAAACTATTATGGCGTCTTCAAACAATCCTTTATTCACCAGCTGTTCGGCTACGTTGAGGGCAATGACCTGAAACATAATGTTAAATGTTTCATTTGAGTTACATTAAATAGTCTAGTCCAATAGGTCATTTGATCATACTCCTTTTAAGTGAGAATATTTTTTATATATACATAATTAGTGTATACTAAGGCTTGAAGTGATTCTAATAAAATTTTGTAAGATGTTAGAACCTAGCTGTGATCGAGTAACTACAATTCAAACATAAGCTGGCTCGACCGGGAAATACCATCCTCTCACAGAAGATCGGTGTGTAGTAGCCTTTATTTGCCGTGTTTCGTACGATGAGTAAGAAGGCTGATTTTCTTATTTCCACCCTTTCCTCACTCTTTTCTCCAATCATGATTGTCAACGCATCCGCAAAGCTATGTTGCAAGTGTAACTACCTCGATTAGGCAGCCGTCTGCCCGTTTACGCCCTTTATCATAGAAAAAAAATAGTCTGTATGTATACCCACCGTGTTATCAATATTAGGATTGTTAAACTGGTCTAATAGTCCGGTTGAACGAAGACCGGTCGCTGGATCCATTCTTCCAAACAGCAATTCATAGTCTCGGCTCTCCAACGACAAGTCCGTGCAACAACACATGAACAGATTCTTACCACTGGGGTCTTTCAGATTTCTGGTTAAAAAATATTTTAAAATTAACATAGTGGCATAGACAATATTTAACCTATGATAATTTTATGTTCCCATACAAAAAAAAAATGGGCTCATAGACACAAATATTTTGCGGTGGAATTAATAGGTATAATTATAGTTTATATTAACAGATTTATTAATGTTGAAACTTCATTAATTCAGTAGTTTTTTTTTATATTATCTTTATTTATATTTAATAAACTGAACATACCTCAGGAAGAAGTAATAGTGGAGAGCATCTGATGGATCGGATAATTCAAACTTTCTAACATAAAGTAAAATAAGTCTCGCCAAGTTCAAACGCCTGAGAGGTATAGGATCATCTGTATCCACTGACACTGAAATAATAAATCAATAAATAATAATTTTCAATCTATTATTATCATAAAAATTTCATAAGAAATTTACTGTTAATGGTAAATTTATGATAGTAGTTTTTTGACCTAAAATGTATAAAGAATAGTTTATTCAGAACATGAATCTAAAAATGATGTATAAATATATATTTACATAGAGGCGCCTGTACATTTCTTGGGGTCCCCAACATATAAACATCATGCAAAGCTAACGCCATATGCACTCCATGAACTTGGTATCTGAAAAACATAAAAATGGATATATTTTTTGGACTATAGAAATTACTAAGTCATGTTGGAACAAAATAATTATCACTAATTAAAATCTGTACCTTGGTATTCTTGATAAGAACTCAATTGCAGGTTCAAATTGACCTGTTAATGTCAACACTTGGAAATATACGAGAGGCTTTTCATAGGCGTGGTAATGGGTTTCTCCTGTAATGACATGAAAATATATAAATATAATAAATTATATGTATAATACAGTAGTATAATAAGTCAAATACATCATGTTTTACCATATTCTTCCAAAATCATTTTCTGTAAGTCCGAATAACTAAATGATTCAGATTCATTGTTAGGGCGAGTCTTAATGATGGACAGTTTAAGCCATAGATAATCATCTGCTGTACGAGCAACTTCTGAATGTTCATCACTAACATCACAACATCCAATTACACTATACACCTAAAAAATTATGCATAACATATTTTAAGTTGTATATTTAGCCTTAAATTGTTTAAATAATTAATATGGCTTATTGCTTACAGCTCTTTTGTAAGGATCTGTAGAGTTGCGAACTTGAATTCTGTATTGGAAGTTGATTGCTGTCTGTAACTTATCACTTAACGGTTTCTCAGGTTCTCTTATATATTCTTCTAGAGCTGCTATAAATTCTTCATGGTCTCGGCTAAAATAATTAACATTTTCTTTTAAAATGATATCAAGGACCTACAGCATAATACAGGTATAATAATTATCAACTTTGTTCCATATTATTATTATATAGTAACTAGAAGACCCGGCGAACTTCGTATCGCCCTATAGTCAAGAAATATCTGTTACGTTTTTTTTATTTATATTTTTGGAGTTTACCTATTAAAGCCATAAATCTCCGTGTTTTGAAGTGCGACAGAATGATTGACATATTAGTTAGTTGTCAAATCAAATGTAAAATACACATTCACAAAAGAATTATATATATAAAGATATACTTACCCAGCTTTCCTCAAACAGTGTAGTGCTGCATTAGCATCTCCACTTCTCAAGCAATAATACACCATAGGCCACAATGGCCGATCATCAATCACACCATCCGTCAACCCTTGTGTGTTCTGTCCCTGGAGACGCAGCCCTACAAAGCCTCTTACTAAAGGAAATGTTCCCGGCTCGCCTCCTCTCATTGCTGCTCCAGGGTTAGCTCGGACTACATCACTCATGTACTGCTTGTATCTTAAACATTACATATTATTAATTTTACTGATATTTTTTTGTTTAATCAATAAGCACACTTACAACATACATATTGAAAATTTACAGTTAGGAAAGGTGACTATATTATAACATCAGATATGTACGTCAATGATAAGTGTACATAACATTTACCAAATACAAACAGTGCACAATTAAAAAAGTTTACACACTAGTTTCAATATAGAACAAAAACACTACGTAAAAATAACAAAATTAAATTAAAAAAATATTATATGAACTTAGGAAAACTTTGAATTAGAAGAAAATAAGGAATTATCAATATTAGATAAGGTTTTCTGCATGTATTTAAACTTACCTCCTCTCTAAGTATTTTTTGCCTTGACTAATCAAACATTGCTGTATCGTGGGATTGCCTCTGGCTTTTAATGGATCTTCGTCTCTCACAAGAGCAGGGATGTTGGCCATTGTTTTTATTATCTCCCACATTTCCTTGACTTTCTATAATTTTAAATAAAATCTTTATGCAATTCTCTTATTTAGGATTTAAATTTTCATAGAAATTAGTGTCACAAAGTAATACTTATCAGTTAATAGTACATACAAATTAAAGATTTATATACATAAACACAAATTTATGAACACATTTCTAATTAGGTTTATAAATTACTAGCTTTCCGCCCGCAGCTTCGCCCGCGTGGAGTTCGGTTATATCGCGTTTCCAAGAGAACGTTTCAAAAGTCTGGGATAAAAACTATCCTATGTTCTTTCTCAAGGTCAACTCTATCTCAGTACCAAATTTCATTAAAATCAGTTCAGTGGTTTAGGCGTGAAAGAGTAACAGACAGACAGACAGACAGACAGACAGACAGACAGACAGAGTTACTTTCGCATTTATAATATTAGTAGGGATAATTTTTTTTTCTGCTATTAGGGCTTATTGAATATTTTGAAATCATCAATTGAATTCATTACTTTAATTAAGATTACTAAAGGATATTCAATGCCTAGATATTTTCTATTCTTTGTGGTAACTTAGGAAAATTAATGATACTCACAGGGTCATTAAACTCTTCGGCAACTTGTGAGAACTTCTGACACAAGGCAGTCTTAGATTTAGCACCTTGAAATACCAGTTTATTGTACAACTGAACCTGTCTAGCATACGCTGCTTCAATATTATCCAACATGGAGTGACCAAACTTCTTTGGTGCATCAGCAATACTTGGCTGTTCTGGTGCTCTTTTCAAATCAAGCCAGTTCTGAGAGGGCCCAATCATAGCATTCATGAGCTTAATTTTTTCTTTGTTCCACTCCGATAACATATGCTCCCATTTTTGATCCTCGGTTGTCTGTAGTGACTGGAATAATATGAAATAATCAGCATGTAAATTTTCTCAAAAATGAGTCCTTATGACAAAAGTATTCAATTTACACTCACATTTTTGTTAACTTCATCAATGAGTGATAAAATAGCATTTTCCCTTTCATTCTTGAGGAAGCTCTCAATATCAGAATCAGCAATAGGCTGTAGGGGTTCAAAGGTCCTTTTAGATGACAATGTTTCCAATTTCTGTGATATTTGTTGTAGGTCAATGCCTTTTGATCCAAATAGCAGATGGCTAAAAAAAATAAGAAGTTTTGTTTAAAATATAATCCATTAAAGTTTGCCAAGTGATCGAAAAACTGTTTAATAACATATTCTTCATATTTGTTCAAATACTTTACTGCGATAATCTTAGAATTTAGTCAGTTGTACTATTTTAAATAGTCAGTTGTGGCGTATCGGTTGAAGCGTCGCCTCTCGTGCACGAGGGCGCTAGTTAGATCCTGGCACGATGCGATTTTTCAGTCATATGTACTTTCTAAGAGTATTTAGACACCACTGACAGTCAGTGAAGGAAAACATCGTGAGGAAACCTGAACTTATAATTTCACAATTATAGGTTTGAAATTACCAACCCGTCTTGAGCAAGCGTGTTGATTAATGCTCAAACCTTCTCCATGTGAGAAAGAGGCCTTTGAATTTTGATCAGCAGTGGGTTCTGATAGACTGATGACGACTATTTAAAACATGAATGTTTACTTACGCTTGAATATCATTGGCGCCGGATTGTATTACTCTGGAATATAATTCGTGCGAAGCTTCCAACACCTGACCTAAAGAGCGTTCCACTCTTGGCAGCTCTTCATTTCCCTCTATCTCAGTTGTTAATTGTTCAGCTTGTTGTAAAAGTTTGCTAAAATCCTCGTCGGCCATGGTTAAGGTTATAAAAAATGCCGAATAAAGGAAAATGGTGCAAAAGAATGTAACTGTAATGTTTGGGTAAGTCAGAAACAATAAAGCATTTGATTATATTAAATTTCTTTTATAAAAATGAAGTGTTATTTTCGAAACTATATTCGAAATAGAAGCGCGCTATCAGTTATTGTTTGAAGTTGACATTACAATTTGACAATATAATATGAACTGGCATAAAGTTAAAAATTTGTGTTCACTTAAAAATTTTTGAATACTATTTAAAACTTAATAATAATTTTATCTACTGCTTTCTTTTTCAAAAAATATCTCAATTTAAATTATAATATGATTGAGTTATGATTTGAATATATACTATTTTAATGAGTTAAATAAAAAAGCGATAAATCGGAGTTTCTGTTATACTTCAATATTAGAAAAGTCTTAATAGTAAATATAGTAAAAAAAAAATCTTTTAAAGCGGTCAGTATACATTGAGCAAAAATAACGCTTAATTCTTCTCTATTAGAAATGTTTGTTTTCACAGAAACCTTAAAAATCAAAGTCAATAGACAAAAAGGTCTTAATCGAACTTGCACTGCCTACGTGATTAAAGTATGCTATGGGGTAACATACAGTGGACCCCCGGTAATCCGTCCCCTGTCTAATCCGGCGCCCCCTGTAATCCGACATGACAGAATTATGTTTGACAATCTTTGCTAATATACATAGTTTGAACAGGTCACAACTCGTACGCGCCACCGCTATTGTGTTCGACGCGTATGCATTGTTTTACTTAGTTTGAATTTGACTACTAGTGATAGCGGTACGGCCTAGCGTACGTTCATTGTTTACTATTTATTCATTGTGTATTAGGTATATGTAGTATCTAGTAATGTCGTCACAAACCCAGAAGCGAAAGCACAAAACGTTGACAATTAAAGAAAAATGTGATATTTTAGATCGCTTAAATCGCAATGAAACTTTCAGTAGTTTAGCAAGTGAATACGGCGTAGGCCGATCTACAATTTATGACATTAAAAAAAACCACGAGAAGATTAAGAAGTTCGTGTCAACTACTGACTGCGGGCCAGGCAAGAGACAAACACTCAAGAAAGCTGACCATCCAGAAGTGGAACAAGCTTTGTACATGTGGTTTCTTCAGAAAAGAAACAGGCATGCACCAATTTCGGGACCCATGTTGGCGATGAAAGCTAAGTTTTTTTATAAGGAAATAACAAAAAAAGATGATTTTGTGGCCGGCAAAGGATGGCTAGAACGTTTTAAAAGTCGTCATGGCATACGTTTAATGACTATTACAGGAGAGAAACTTTCTAACGATGCCACCTGCATAGAGCCCTTTAAATTAAGATTTTTGCAAAAGGTTAACGATTTAAATCTTGACCCGTCACAGGTGTATAATGCAGACGAATCAGGGCTTTTTTGGCGTGTGATGCCTAACAAAACTTTCGTTTCTTGTAACGAAAAACACGTACCTGGACGAAAAGTGAGTAAAGAGCGTGTAACCATACTACTATGTGCTAATGCTGCAGGTACACACGCGCTTAAGATGGTGGTCATTGGGAAATCTAATAAACCAAGGGAATTCAAAAACATTGATTTACCTGTACACTATTACGGACAAAAAAGTGCATGGATGACAAAAGACGTTTTCAAAAAGTGGTTTGATGAATGCTTCGTACCTGAAGTTAGAAAATGGTTAAAAGTTCATAATTTTCGTCAAAAAGCGTTGTTGCTTCTTGATAATGCTCTCGGTCATCCGTCTGAAGAAGAACTGACAACTGAGGATAAATGCATCACTGCGATGTTTCTTCCGCCAAATTGCACTGCACTGATTCAACCAATTGACCAGAACATCATTCAGTTTGTTAAGCAAGACTATAAAAAAAACCTACTTTTGAGAGCCGTATCTAAAGACCAACCAATAGAAAAAACTTTAAAAGAATTTAATATGAAAGACTTGGTTTTTGCTCTTAGTCATTCGTGGAGTGCGTTACCGTCATCAACTATTAAATCGTCTTGGAAAAAGTTATGGCCAGATATAATCACCACTCCTAGTAACGATCCACAAATCAGTGTAACTTCGGAAGTTATAGAACAAGTCTCTGCTGAAACACAGATAAGTCCGGAAGATTTGGAAGTCTGGTGCCGTGGAATGGATAAAGAAGAAAATGTTTTTCTTGAAATGTCTGACGAAGATATTATAAAAGAGGTTTCTAATAATACAACAAACGATCAGGAAGATAACGACGACGTGATTGCAACTGCTCCACAAGTCACAGATCAAGACGCAGTTAACGCTTTTGAGCTAGGTTTACAATGGGCTGAAGAGAATGGTACATCCTACAACGAACTTTTACTTTTGAGAAGACTGAGGGACAAAGCTCTGATCTCGCGTTATAACAACCTTAAACGAAAAAAAAATTGATGAATATTTCAAAGCTTCATAATTTGATATAGTATTCAGTACATGATTTTGATTAATAATTCTTGATTATTTTGGTAGATATGTATGTGCATTTATGCTTAATTATATAATAAAACTTAAGTTCTCAATTGTTATTTAATTTACTAAATTCGACTTACATAAATTGAGTCTGCTTTATACTTCAAAGTACATACATAATATGTACGTATAATATATAGACTCTCGTCATTAGATATGTAATTTGTCGGATTAAAAGGTACTCTTTCGTAAAAAAATCCGGACTATAGGGGTCTTAGACAGTGCTCTATAATCCGACAAATTCGATAGTCCGACACTGCCCTGCATAATGTTTGCCGGATTACCGGGGGTCCACTGTATAGCTGACAATTCAACCGACACAGTTCATGTCTCGATATAATTATTTTTTTAAATACCACATTTAGCATACGCAAAATGCATAATACGTGTAAATGTAATCAAATATTGATATAAAGGAAGGTATATACATATATGATATAAGGTAGTAAATAATTAAAATATAGATAAACAACTCTACATACTCTCACGATTATTTTCCTTTTTACTGACTTGTCTGTCAAGAATCGCTATGAGATGGAAATTCTAGATACACATAAACATTAGTACGTAACATATGAGCCATCTTTTGTAATGTGTTTTTTTATACCATACTTTTAAATATCAAATACAAACAAAATAGTCTAATTTGATCAGAATAAATAAAACAAGAAATAAATAGCCAAATAAAGTTTACTACAATAATAAAAATTTCAGATTATTTAAATTTCTTAGGTCCAAATATAAGATCTGCATCCGGTGCCCCTTTAGGGTGTTGATACTTTTGTCGAACGTGCTGCCCTCTATTGGGGTTGCCACCTCCACCAGAACCTCCCCCACTCTCCGCGCTATATTCCTCCTCTTCTTGGCGTTCAGAAATGTTTAATGTTAAACTGAAAAAGAAAAAAACAATTATATATACCACATCAAAAAATTAAGATCAAAATAGTTTCTAAACTTTAAAAATTACCGTTTAACTCTTTCCATTTCTTGTTTATCTGCTAGGGCCTGTTGTTGTAAATTGCTCGCGAGCTCCGGTGGCGCGTTGAACGACTTGTATTGTGGCTTCATACCCTTTCTCACCATCAAAACAAATTCTACTCCTTCTTTACCTTGCTAAATAATAATAAACAAAATTGAATCTTTATCTAATATTTGTAAAGATTTAAGTAAAACATATTGTATTATAATCTTCTATATATATAAAAATGGATTGCTGTTCCTTAGTCTCGCTAAAACTCGAGAACAGCTGAACGAATTTATCTTATCTTAGTCTTGAAATGTTCGTAGAGGTTCAGGGAAGGTATAAAAGCTGAAAAAAAATTATTCATTACTGGGGAAAACCATAAAAACAGCCCTTTTCTATTTCCCATACAAACGTTTTTTTTGACATTAGATTTGACAACTAACTAATAAGTCAATCATTCTGTCGCACTTCAAAACACGGAGATTTATGGCTCACAGATAAACTTCAAAAATATAAATAAAAAAACGTAATAGATATTTGTTGATTATAGGGCGATACGAAGTTCGCCAGGTCTTCTAGTCTATACTAATATTATAAAGCTGAAGAGTTTGTTTGTTTGTTTGAAAGCGCTAATCTCCGAAACTACTGGTTCGAATTGAATAATTCTTTTTGTGTTGAATAGTCCAGTTATCGAGGAAGGCTGTAGGCTATATAACATCACGCTACGACCAATAGGAGCAAAGATATAGTGGTAAATGTGTAAAAAACGGGAGAAATTATTTCATCTTTGAAGCCTTCCGTTGCGTGCGCCGTGAAAACGGTTCAAGATACACAAAAAATATGTATTAAAGAAAAATAGCTCTTTTAATGATCTAAAAAACAGTCCGCGACAGTATATGTCTATCTTTTAAGATTAACTCACGTAAACCGTTTTTATGGTACTCATTTGGTCGAAATAATTTGTTTAAGTTGTATCAACATAATAATATTAATCTTTATTCAATTAAACAAAAAAATATGTTGTTGGTTAAGAGTACTTCATTGTGAATTAAAAAAAAACATAGGTTTTATTCTGAAAACTCTACGGGAACTCGACCATTCCGAAAACCCCGCATGAACGAGAACTATGCGGGAAGAACCAAAAATCTGCCGGAAGTAACTATTTTACGCGGACGAAGTCGCGGCAAAAGCTAGTATATACCAAAAGTTAACTTTTAAATGACAAAGTATATAGTGAAAAATTTATAGATTAGTTTAAATTTTAACTCTGCATTGCTATAATATTAAAACCACAATTATTATAAGAAATATGAATGTCTTTATGTTTTGTAACTACCGTAGATGCATTTATACTATGTCATATATATTTCAACAGACGCCTTTAATCTTACAAATCTATTCATAGTGTTATTAATGTGAGTATTTTGTTCATCTTTAAGTTCTTACCAGTAACTGTTCATAGGTTTTTTTAGTGGTCTGTCTACATGTCATTGGTACAGCTATATCTCTTTGCTGTGGCCTGTTCTCGCGTTGTCTTTCCGCAATATTTTCCATAACCATCTTCTCGAACGCCGATTCAAATTCCACATCTTCTACCTATAACAAAAAAATGTTAGCTGATTCAAATCCTTACTTATATTATTAATGCGAAAGTAACTCTGTCTGTCTGTCTGTTACGCCTAAACCACTGAACTGATTTTAATGAAATTTGGTACAGAGATAGATTTGACCTTGAGAAAGAACAGGATAGTTTTTATCCAAGGATTTTTTAAAGATTCGCTTGGAAACGCGATATAACCTAACTCCACGCGGGCGGAAAGCTAGTATGTACATATATTAAATAGTTTCATAGAGAGTTATAGATGCTTACAGGTTTTGCAGCTGGCCGCCTCGGCTCGATGGGTAGATCTTCTGTCTGTACGTCGTTTTCTTCGTTTCCAGCACTTTCCGTGATGGGGTCTTCGTCGGAGCTTTCTTCTGGCATGTGTGGATTATCTGTTTCGTCATCCGTCTCAATGATGGTGTCTAAGCCATCAGCAACACTATCCTCCCCTTGGTCATCGTTCTCAAAATGTTCGTCTTCACCCAAATCTGGGTACAATGTCTGTCTTATCTCCTCTATAGCGTCCTTACACTGTTGCCAGCTAGTAAACAACGTCAGCTTGGGCCGCAAACTGCTCAAACACTCCTGATATATGTATTTGACGTAAATCGGAAATTTATTCTCCTCGGTCCAGTAAGGATCACTGTATTTGAACCAATAGTAATTTTGGAAGAAAACCAAAAAGTAGTCCAGGCGTTTCTTACTGGATCCACTATTAAAATATGCGCCACAAGTTTCTAGTAGCGCGCAAACTAATCTTATTCTGAAGACGTTATCGGACGGATCTAGGGGAGAGACGTTAGAATGATCATTGGATATACCGAATGTGATAAAAGAATAGAGAACCGTGAAAACGTCTCGGGAATCCAGAAGCTTGTAATTATAGAGTTCTCCAAGATATCTGACACTAGCTATTCGCCTCTGATTGTACTTCGGATGAGGATCTTCCATAGTAACTCTAATTTCCTCCAGTATAGTGTCAACAACAGCGGGGGCCACATTTTCTTGCCAGGCAGCCAATTCAGCTGTCAGACGAGCCAACGCTCTTCTCGCACTCGCCCTGACCCTCCATCCTCCAGCCAGATGTTGGATTGCCACAGCCGCCACTTCAGGGTCATCCCAATTAAGTTTCCTCATAAGCCTCAAAATTTTTTCCTCATTACTCTTTTGTAGATCTTCGTGAAGGATTTTTCTAATGAACTGATGCATGGGAGGCTCTTCCTCTTTCGGTTGCGCTGGTGCTTCGGGTGGACATACGTAATAAAATGCGTTTTCGATTTGGGTCACGTAGCGTGAATCGAGGGCTGATACGGTCTGCAAGAAAAAAGCTAATACAGTCAAAATAATCGACAAACTTAGGTAACTATATTAATTAACATACAAACAAAAGGGATCTGGACTTCAAAAAAACATGGAGCTCCAATGTTTTTGTGTGTTAGTCAGGTTAATTATAATTTAATATTATATTAACTACAACAGTTACTAATGTTTTCACTTAATTTAATATAATAAAGCCAATTTTTGTACCTTTTTTCTCATCATCTGCTGTAAATATATCATTGTTCTTTGGTGTGTATCAGGATTGCAGTACAAATATCTTCCACAAGTCTCCAATAAGTTACAAGCCATTTCAATGTGATGATGTTTAAAATCGTGTAACAGAACTTTCAGACAATACAAAGCTTCCATTTTGGAGTAGAGACCAAATTTAACAAGTTCTCCAATAAATCTTACCACTTTGATCTAAAAACATGTTAATTCACACTTTATATATGGCAAAAAAACTGTTGAGTATGTAATTAGGTATTACATCTTAATTACCTTTGATTCAATGTTAATTTGATCCTTCTTCCTGACATGATACTTAAAATCTTGTTTTAGCATTTGACACAAATCAACACACACATCAGGTAAAACTGGATAAAGTATGGAGGCAAATCTTGAGTAAAATGGTAATAAATCTAATCTTGTTCTGGCCACACTAAATAGGACCCGTGTTAATTTCTTTCTATTATTTTTTGTGTTCAAGTTCAAAACAAAGTCTACAGCGGCATTATCAATTAACTCTCTATTGATACAATTCGGCAATTCATTTAAGAAAGCATCAAGGGCATATCTGAAATATAAAAATCTCATTAAATACTTTAACAACAATGAATTTATAGTGTAACTATATATCTTGTTAATAACACTTAACAGATGACTGGTAGTAAAATTGACTATTGATCATAAAGCATTTTAAGTATACATACTAATTAACCAGATTAAAAAGATCTTTATCTTTTAAAGAACATAATTATTTAGGTACTTGGACATAATTTTAAAAAAAAAATATATTTTGACCAACTGATTCTTGGTGCAACTTCATATCATCATCCTAGGATTCTATAGCAATATTTATAAAAAATGTAGTCATGACTCATAGTATATGTGTTAAAACTAATACTAACTTATTTGATACATTAGCTGGTTGTGCCTCTTCTTGCTCCACATCAGCAACAACAGGTGCTGGTTCCTCATTGTCACTGAGCTCATCTTCTTTGAGATCCTCGTCTAACATCTCTTCGGTAACAGTTTCTGTTTTATTTTTCACAGCCTAATATAGAAGTAAAGTTATAAGAAATAAGTTTGTAAAAGGAATTAAAATAGTAGATGTTTAATGTATACTAAGTTTTAAATGCATTTCTATAGCTCACCTCTTTCAATTGATAATTCGGCATAAAAACTTTCAAATCCGGAAGGCTGGTATAGAATGTTCTAGTGTCTTCATCCTGCCAGGGGTCAGTACCAGCTTGCATAATGATCTCTTCATTCCCACCAATGGTTACCGTTCCCTGAGTCTCAATAACTGTCATGGACAAGGTCAAAGGTTCTCCGGCCTCACCAAGATCTTCACCCAACACTTCAGCAAAATTCTGAGCTCCTACAAGTAGTTTGTCATATGTCGCCTAGAAGTTAGTTTAATTATTACATAACTGAAACAACAATCGACAATTATTGAAGTTCGTCTGTCAGTTACCTGGTGTTGTTCTAATTGGTCTTTCCGTTCTTGTGATAGCTCTCCTCTAGTATGAAGGGTCCTCTGATTTGCCGCATGCAGTGCTTGAAGCTGAGCTCGTTCAGCCAGTAAATGCTTTGTCAATGATAAGAAATAGTCTTTCAATAGACTTCTCACAGCTGTTTGCTTCTCTGCTGGTATGAAAGTATTTCTTGGTACTGTCACATTAAATTTCTGTAAAATTTAACAAAAAATTACCAAGAGATCACACTAAAATAGAAATATATATATATGTTTTTAATACCTTAGCAGAATCTTTAATTTTCTTCGGAACTAATCCTGCATAGTCCTCACCGCAATGTTTACAAAATGATAACAAAATTGGAATATTGTTATGCTCTTCTTTATCCATATTGATTAAAACTGTGAGCACAATACCCAACAGTGGTAGACCAGTCTTATTAGTAAATATACCAACAGCAATAAGTTCTGCATAAAATCTTAAATCCACCCTTAACTTTGAAGAATTGGTTATCTTATCAGTTGCTTTGAAGGATAGTATCTTTTGCCAGTTCTCAAAAAAGAACGAACTAAATTCCGAATATGTTTGATGCAATGTAGAACACAGCGTGATTGCAGCTGATATATCTGACATCTTTAATTTTGCTTCTGCGATGGCGGAAGCGACTTCAGAAATATATTTCGTAAGATTGAGAGTACTTAAATCCTTAGAAAGAGCATCTAGTTGTGTGGCACTAAAAGATTTCAGCTTCTTAACGAAAGTTGTATTTTTTTTTAAACCGGAATCAAGTTTGGAAAAATGGTTGTCTGGCGGTCTGACACAATTAAGGTTTTGATTTCGTAGACCTGTTTTATGTTTGATTCTTGCTTCTAGGTTAGATATATATTCAGTAAGAGCAAGTTTGTCATTTTCATCTGTATTTTCTGTTGAAACTTCATCAATACCAGACGCATCCTCACTTTTATCAGCTTCCTTCTCATTCGAAGTCATCTTCTGCACTTTTAATTAGACACTATCCTAAATAGTTAAATATTTCTCTACTAGTAAACTACTACGGACAGAATTAGAGAAATAAACAAAAAATAATGTGAAATCTGTCATAAACATCAAATTACATAGATTGTGCAACGTCAATCGTTCTGACTTCTGGGCCAATGATTATATTATTGATCAATGATAATTAAAATTAAACCATCTTATACAATACATGTAAAAAAAGGCAGTAATAAATTAGGGTAGTATATGTAGTCTACATATACTGCCTTAATTATAGTATATATTTTGTGATCTCATATGTTTGTATAAATATAAATATTATTTATAAAAAAGCGATATTAATTCTAATAACTAGCCCTCAGAAAGTAGAGCTAAGAATATTTTTGGATGTGCAAATTAATTATACTTTAAAAATTATTAACGAAAAATGCACATAAAAAACATCAATAGCAGAGGACTTGAAAACAAAATATTGTCTAATTAATTTGTACTAGTCATAAAATATAAAACAGGATTTGGGTAGACTAAGTATTCAAATAGGAGACATGCTCTGGGAAATCTGACGAAAGGTCTTTTTGAATTGTCCGCGCTCATTGAGGTAAGAATTTCCGAAGTCGAACAGCTGTTAATTCAAAGGAGTAAAGTATGAAGCCAAATCGATATATTATATGTATCCTCATATATGTAAACGGTGGTGGTGCTTCAGCCCGATTGAAAATCTGATTGCAAAGCGCAGATTGTATGTAGTAAGGAGAAAAAGTATGCAAAGATAAGCAATAGTTTAAATGATTAAAAAAAGGTTAAATAGTGACCGATATGAAGGATTAAAAATGTTAGGAAAGATTTCAAGGAATATATAATACTACATCCTGTCCATAGTGTTTTCAGGTTTGTCCTTAAAAATAGAAATGATTTAATAAATAATGTTAGTTTAATTCAATAGAAATGTTAATCAACCCCCACTGTCGTCTGAAATCCTTGTTACCGAAGTTTATACAATGTCAACTGTTTTAATATGTTCCCGTCCAAACTATACGAACTGAAGAGATAAATTATAAGTAGCCTACACTTATTCTGACGTCTAAGCGGCCTTAAAGTGCAGTTGAAATAAAACCCGTTCAGTATATTTAACGTAAAAGAGCAGTGAAAATCAAACCATCCTCATCAACGATCTCTTTAAGTAATAATATTTGTAGATTTATTGGTTTTATAACTTCAAATCCTTAGTGCTGCCATATCTATTTGATAAAGTAGAAAATAAAAAATGGCAATTTAGTTAAAAAAAGTAAACAATACAAAATATCTCAATTGTCAACTAAACTACTGTCGTATTGATAATGTAATGACATTTGAACTTTGTCAGAAATCAAAGGAAATATTATTTGATGAAAAAAACAGAATTAATGAATTGAATATAATAAATATTTGATTTTAATAAAAACCATTATGTGTGGGATATTTTGTGAGATATATTTTACTCAACGGACTATAAGCAAAGTTTGTAACCTATAATTTCATGCCTACTTTACGAATACCATATTTTTTTGTAAATTTAAAGGTATAATTTATTTTCATAACTGATCACAGGATGAAAAATTGTTAAATTGCATAAAACGAAGAGGTCCAGATTGTATTAAAGAAATCGATATAGAGATCAATAAGAATTTAAGATTATTCATGTGTGGCTGTGTGTTATGGATGCAAGGAAAAGAACCAACAAAACAACCTCTTGAAAGTAACACGGGTATTCTACTCTTTAATGGAGATATTTTCAATAAAATTTGGAGTGAAGATAGTGATACAGAAGCCCTATTAAATATTTTTGACAATGTTAGTAAATAACCAATAACTTTAAGGTTTTTCAAATAATAATGATGTAAAATAAATTAATACTTCCAGGCCACATCTACAGATCATCTAAGATCACAGTTGAAAGCACTAAAGGGCCCATTTAGTTTAATCTATTACAATAAACACACCAAAATAATATATTTTGTAAGAGACAGGATCGGAAGAAACTCATTGCTTTTTCATAAATCTAAGACTTCATATGTCTTGAGTAATATCTTAAGTATGTTTTTATTTAAATTTTTTACTCATAAATAATTTATTTCAGCTTCTTATTGTTTACTTATTTTTTAAGGTAGAAAATACTTGTGTAGTGAAATTCCTGCAAGTCATATTTATGAAATGGATATTAATAAAAATTCAATTATTCTGCACTCATGGGAAACATATGAAAACTCTCAGATTCTTACTCTAGATGATTGGATACAATCTTGCCAAGAGCGACAGAGTCTCCCAGATGAAGAATTTTGTTTTGATTTTCAATCTTCTCTCAACCTTAATGAAAAGGTAATAATATATAAAAATAGCTGCAGTAGAAAAACCAACTAAACACATTGCTTGTTATAATGACGAAATCTTTTGTTTTTTTCAGGATTCCGTAATTACACACATAGAAAACGTCTCTTTGAATCACAAAAATAAGCAGCACATTTTTGAAAGTTTGTTAGATAATGAAGTTATTCTAAATACTGTTAAAGATATATGCAAATTATTAGAAAAGAGTGTCCAAGTGAGAGTGCAAACACAACCTAACAAGTGTAAATTATGCATTTCTAATGAGGAAACTTATTGCAATCATTGTACAACAGGCATTCTTTTTTCTGGAGGCTTAGACTGCACCATTTTAGCATTTCTAGCAGATAAATTTTTACCCAAAAAACAACCAATTGACCTTATTAATGTTGCATTTAAATCAAATGACAATAGTTCTTATGATGTCCCTGACAGACTAACTGGAAAACAGTCATATGAAGAACTGCAACGGCTTTGTCCAGACAGGTAATAGTGTCAATAGAAAACATGCATATAAATGAAGATTTTAATTCACAAAGAGATTCAATAAAGTTACATTCAAATATATTGAAGCGAACTTAAGGTTAATTTAGATTCATTGACTGATTTAGATATGAGCTACATTGACTTGGTATTTTTAAATAATAATATGATGTCAAGTATAATGTAGGTAGATCATTTTGCTATATTAGATTCTGTCATTGAGTTTTGCTATCCCACAAAATACATATTATAGTACAAATTTAACATAGTTTAATATTGGATATGAAATAAATAATGTTTTATATATTACTATTATATTTTCAAGATTGTGGGTCTTTCATGAAGTTAATGTTCCAAAAGAGCAATTAGAAGAGTATCAATCATTAATCATAGGAGATTTGGTGTATCCAAGAAAAACTATATTGGATGAAAGCCTTGGATCAGCTTTATGGTTTGCCGCTAGAGCTGGGTCATTATCACATTGTAGGGTAATCACATTTACTTATAATAAGTACAGCTCTAAAAATAAAAAAAAATAACATTGTCTATAATTTGTTTACAGATTTTACTGCTTGGTTCCGGAGCTGATGAATTATTTGGTGGATATGTGAGGCACAGGAATGCATACAAACGACAAGGCTGGCTGGGTTTATCAAAGGAGTTATTATTGGATTGGAAAAGAATATCATTCAGGAATCTTGCAAGGGATAATAGAGTGATATGTGACCATGGCAGACAGCCCAGGATGCCTTATTTGGATGAGGATTTAATTGATTATGTACTTAATCTCAAACCTTGGCTAAAGTAGGTATATCTCTTTTATATATATGGACCTCTTAGTATCAATTTATTTAATATAAAATTTATTTTCAGGTGTTATCCAAGCGAAACCTTACCATGTGGAATTGGTGATAAATTAATTTTAAGACTTGTTGCATTTCAACTCGGCTTTGTTAATGTGACATTTCTACCGAAACGGGCGTTACAATTTGGTTCAAGAATTGCAAATAAAAAAGAAAAAGGAAATGATATATCAAAAACATTTATGAATACATAACACGGGGAACCAATTATATTTATTATTTACTCTCCCAGCAATCAGTGATAAATAAATTTATTACTATAAAGATAAGTTTTCATTTTTATTTTCTTAATTTACAAAATCTAATATAGAAGTGCCTTTAATACATTTTTTTATTATGATAACAACTAGCAAGTGTAAAAAGATTAAATACTTTTGAACTATACAACCTCAACACAATTCGTTACAATTTGTTTAGAAAATGATCTTACTTTCTTTTTTAAAAAAAATCATAGAAATAATTTTTAAGTTCATATATACTCGCAGATGTCTCATCTCACATCTGACTGTCAAATTTATGGTGCACTCACCGTAGATACGTCTTTAAGAGAAAGACCATATCCACTTTCAGTATGCAAAACCCTGAAAACTTAATCTATACTTATAACATATCGTGCTCTTCTTATCATGACTGTAAAAGTTATGTATAATTTATAAATTCTTTGAGATGTATAGTTGTGGGCTTTCTGCTTTAAACATATATACGCCCATAGACATCATTACTGTCAGAACGTGACAGTAATGACAGTTATCTAACATCAAAGACAAAACGTACAAAGTGAATCCAATAGATTAGTTCAATTTTGTAATTTACATATCGAAAATGGCTGCAAGCCGTCGCAAACAAGATGATAAAAATTTAGAAGTTTTACGTGAACTTATATCTTTGAATGGTAACAAATATTGTTTAGATTGTAATCAGAGAGGACCTACCTATGTAAATACAACGATAGGATCCTTTGTGTGTTCAAAATGTTCGGGAATGTTGTAAGTATTTTTTGCGTTATTGCTGGTGAGTGATATCAACAAACAAATACTTTCAACATTTACCTTTCCAGGCGTGGTCTTACTCCTCCTCATCGTGTAAAATCAATTTCTATGGCTACATTTACACCTGAGGAGATCGAATTTATTAAAGTAAGAGGGAACGACTACTGCAGGCGTCTATGGCTGGGCTTATACGAGGGTGAAAGTGTGAATTTTACTGATGAACAAAGAGTCAAAGATTTCATGTCTGATAAATATGAAAAGAAAAGATACTATTTAGAGTCATCAGTTAATGATACTGCAATGACTAATGGAAATTCCTCAGTGAAGAACAAAGCGAAAAGTAAAGTATCCAGTAATGTAGGAGTACCAACTCCTTTGATATCAATAACACCGCAGCTTTCTAAGCTGAATGTGAATAATAATGTGGTCAACACAGCGAAAGTAGTTAGCAATGTTAATGATACCAGCTGTAAGTTGCCTCGGCCAGTGAATAACTTTTCTCAGCCAATGCTTAATAAAACAATTCCTACAGTAGCAACAAACCCAATCCCCGTACCTGAGTAAGTATATGCATATAATACAATAATATAATTTCTCTTATGAAAATAATTTAATTCATAATTTTTTCAGTTTTCCTGTTGATTTCTCGACTGCAAACATTTACAACAGTTCCCAGTACAACAATAATCTGAACAACAACATCATGGTACAGCCATTATCATCGAATACTCAATCTTTCAATGCATTCAGTTCCCCCACCACAGCATCAAGTGAGAGTTTTTACAACACACTTTCTATAATATATTCATTACAAGTTTCTTTATAAATATCAGAACTAAATCGTATTTATAGATGATCGTTATGCTGCCTTAGCTGATCTGGATATGGCTTTAAGACAACAAAACATGAAAAATATGGGTTAGTAAATTAATTTAATTTTAATGTTTATTATATGCGGTTTATTTTGATATAATATTTTTTGCAGAGGACGGCAATAACATGGACAAAAATCCATTTCAAACGTCATCTAGTAATGATGTATTTGCAAATAAAAACCCATTTTTTAATGGGGCTTGGAGTACAACCCCAGCGCCCACACCAATTAATCCATTTATGGTAAGTAGAATAGCAATATATAAATAAAATATAACATTACAAACAAAACAATAGATAGATAGGGTCTCAACTACATTGTTGTAACAGGAAACAGTACAGAATGATACAAAAATTTCTATTTCCTTATTATTTAAATGTGTAACAGTTCATGGAACTCCTTATCTTGTTTGATATGGGTTATACCAATGAATCATGAATGAAAATTATTGAGTGTTTAAGCATATCTCTAATAAACATATTGCTTCTAGCCGGCAAACAATGGGGCCTTCATAAATTCTAAGAATCCTTTCCTCTGATGCCGTCCACATAACCTTTTGAAGCCAGTAAGGAACAAAGAGATAGTAGTGTAATTAAAGCACAAACAATGCTACAAATTTAATATTGTTTATACAGTGAAATAACAGAGTATCTTATATAGATATTTACATAATGCCATACATTTAATATTATGTGCTTACATAACGGTTGATAACTTAAGTGCCTCGATATGCCTTAAATTTTTTAAAATAAAATCTCATACTATATTCTTATATGCGCTGTTAATATTGTAAAATGAAAGTATTTAATTGAATGGTAAATTTAGTGAAATTATTGTGGATGTATGAATATTTGTTGTTAATGATGCTGGTCTTAGCTTTATTAATTATAATAACATTTTGTATAGTATTTAATTGTAGCCTTGGCCGAGTCCTATTGTATTTTTGGCATGACAATATGTAATTATTTCATTATATTTGGCATAATTAAATATAGCACCTTACAAAGGTAACTGGGATTATGTCGAGTGAGTCAATGGCCAGGTGATGTCATTGCATAGTTTTGCGTCATATTGTTTTAAAATTGTAACTTATCACAAGTTTGAATCGGCACACTACATTTTTTTTGCATTCATTCAAAACTATGTTGATAATTGATGAATGAAAAACTGGAAACAGTGTGTTAGTAGTGTGACAAAGCAAACATATGATGAGTATATTGATGTAGGTATACAAACTATTTTCTAATCATGACATTAGTCCAAAAGAGCACAACTAAGCACTAATAAGAGAGGCTAAGTATTATTTTTTAACTTTAAAAATATTAATGCTTTACTTTTGTTGAATTTTTTATTATAATTGTCATTTTATATTACAGTGATTTGTACATTATATGCTTTACATACAATTCTGAATAGAAATTGTTTTGCATTTGGCCTTTATTATAATATAGATGTTTTGTTTTGAGCTCTTTAAATTTTGCGCTTCATCTGTGATTTAACTAGTAGTTTTAATTCATTTACATGCTTCACCTCGATCAATGCACATGACTATTTATTTATGTTAATGTAATTATTTTTTAATTTTTGAGCACTGAGATCTGTTAATTTCTATAAAATGTGTAAAAAATAAAATTATATTTTTATTTTACACCATGTTTTCCTTAATCCCTTGTCCGAACGAAAACAAAAAGGAGTAAATGAGATGATGTTTAGTGATTTATTCATAAGTCTTTATTTTGTCTTTAAAAATTAAGAGAATGTTTTTATATGAATTAAAGGTAATGCATCTGTTTCAAGTTGGCAATTATCTTATAAAGTACAATTCTTCGAAATGTACGATCAGTAGTATTTCAAATGAATTTTAGTTTCGTTTTTGTAAATTAAAGCTAATCATTCATAAAAGAGTACTTTGTTAAGCATTTTTCGCTTCGATTTAGTAATTAGAATACTTAGTTTAACTTAAGAAACTGAAGAACAGTAATTTGATCAAGGTTTTACTTAACAATGTTATTAAAAAAATATCTAGTTTTAATATAATTTGACATGAATGCATTTGTCTATATAACAAAAAGTTTAACTGTCAAAACTCTCCACTTAAATTACAGTTTTCTGTTTGTGAGAAACATTTTACTTTAATAAAATATGAGACTTCGTAAACACTTTGTTATTGTACAGTTATTTTTATCTTTTACCAACTTTAATAGCATTGCTATGAAGATCAATAAATTACACCTCACCACACCATTATTGTGATCAAGAAATATTTTTTTAATAATATATATTTTAGACTAACTAAATATGTACCTACGTGTTTTAGACTTAAATTGTTTAACAACATTTTAATATCTATCTGATTTTATTGATTTACATATGCGTCTGTAACTTTTAATATTATGTATAACATTAACATACAAATTAATTTTGTCACATTTTGTATTTACTACTTTTTCTTGTAAACATCGGCGTTGAAAAGTTGTCTGGAGTGACGTTGGGGCTTGGGAATGGAGTTTTTGGTGTATCTTGGGTTAATGAAGCGGAAATGTTCTTGATCGCTTCCGGTAGGTCTTCAGGTAAAGATGGCGGCTGAGATGAAGTTGATGCTGCGAGACGTTTCTCTGATATTGTCTTGAGTATGTTTTTACCGGCTTCTTTGGTCTGTAACGATAAAAAAATATTCCGTTATAAAAATGAAAATGATGTAAATCAAAGATGTTAACGAAAATTGTTTTTGTCAAATACGTAATTTGAATGTAGCAACAATTTAGATTAATATTTTGAAATACATTATTAATAAATCTCTATTTGAAAAAAAATCTATATGAAAAACAAATTTGAACATTGCCAGTTTAATAAATAAAAAAATCCTCGATATTAAAATGTATATTATGATTATTTATGATAACGAATTAGTAAGTTATGATCCTTGAAATGGTAAATATTACTAAGATATTATTTACACTCACACTTTCGTGTTCAAGACATTTGTACGCGTAATGTGATGCGTGGTCCAATAATGAAAACCGTAGATAGTACTGCGCTAGATATCGTTGAGCTGCCGGTAATTCCTTGCTACCAGCGTTGGCCGGCTCTTGGCAAGCAGCTGTGTACGCAGCGGCTGCACTATTCGGCATATTCGACTTCTCATATAACCTGGATAGAGTTATTCATACAATTATCTTCTTTGCAAATGTTCCACAAAAGGCAAGTTTAATGCATTCTGGTTAAAAGCCCAGTTAAATCAACATAATATACTTGTAGAGACAATTTGATATACCTTTTAGAGCATTGTAAAGTTTGAGTAACAATAATACAAAACTAAGTTAATATGAACAATGGTATAAGTGTAGTAAAAAGAATTTCTATGAACAGAAATGACTATTAAAACCATATTGTTATACTCTGTTAACACCTAATGTTTATTAAATGTGGGTTTATGTAATATTTGTTATACATTAGGACTTAGGTGTTGCTAATTGACTTCCAATGAATGAACAATGAAAGTAGTTTGATAGCAATGAATCATTTAAGGGTGAATAGAATTCCGCAGTCAATGAATAAATTATTATTGTTATTTCTAACATATTGATAAAATGTAGTATTCATACATTTTATTGTTAGAATTAGTCAATTACCAATTACCTATTTTTTTATGGAATTATTATTATCCTTAGAAATATAGAAGAAATAAATAGGGCTGTACTAAACACATAAAGATCAATATAAACTTATCTAGTGTAATCTAAATAAAAGTAATTAGTTGTTATACTAGATGAAATGATTTGAATACAGAGATTTGAATACAGAAAAATTAAGATTTTTATATCTCTAAGAAATACATAGCAATATTTAATATTCAATCAATATCTTAATGGGAGTTTTTTATATATTGACAAATTATGATCTTACTGATTATTTGATAGTTCTTTTATATTTTAAATTTATAATGAATGATGCATTAAACAAATAAGTGTATGAGTGGTAAATTATTTAGTCTAACACCTTATCTGCTATATTCCTAACTATGGTAACACCACTCACCAGATACTTTATAGTATGTATAGAAGTTATATTTACATTAAGTTTATTTAAAATGCTATTTATGAGACTATGGTCTTAAATAGGAAATTATGTTCTAAAAACTGTGTCAACCCACTTAACTGCGTTATCAGTATCGAAAATGGACCACAATCAAACAACTTAAAATTACAAACTCTTCAATAAAAATAATAAAATTAAATATTAAATGATTATTATATACTATGTACTTTCACATTTTTGAAAATATCGATATTTAAAAAATCATAACAATAAATAAATATTTAATATTCATATTATTTCTCTACTTTTTGTGATATATCAAACATTAGTATTATTTTTGATTGTAAAACACCATTTTTAACAGAAATAGAATAACGATTTATCCTAATAATACAACATAGTTAATTTACCTGAAGAAGTTCCAAAATATAATATTGATTAATAATATTTATTATTTATAAAAGTTATTTTAAATGAAATTATTTTAATGTGAAAAGCATAACTATTTATAGCAATATTGAAAATATCTATAGAATATTTATCGATATACCAAATTTTTAAACTTGCAAATCTCTATTCGATCTAACAAAATAGTAATAATAACGCCGGCGGCCCGGCGCCTGCGGTCAATGGCCGCGCATGCGCCGTCGCGACTTTACGGTGTCTTGACCGTGTATGGGTCAGATGTTTGGAACATTTTTTCAAATAATGTCAATTTAAAACTTATTTAACCTATGCACTGTAACTGAACTCTGCTTGATATTTTTAAAGTTATACTATCTTCTATATATATAAAAATGGATTGCTGTTCCTTAGTCTCGCTAAAACTCGAGAACGGCTGAACCGATTTAGCTAATTTTAGTCTTGAAATACTCCTGGAAGTCCAGGGAAGGTTTAAAAGGTGAGAAAAATTGGAAGAATTCCCGGAAAACCCTTAAAACAGCCCTTTTCTATTTCCCATACAAACGTTTTTTTTTGACATTAGATTTGACAACTAACTAATATGTCAATCATTGTGTTTGATTGAAACAGGAAAAACCTGATTATTTATGGCCTCTAAGACGGAATAGAGTCAGTCAGCTATACCTACATATATTACTCTTGACCAAACTAACGCGGACGAAGTCGCGGGCAAAAACTAGTTTTTTATAATAAGCTTATACTTATATGTATACATGCCTTCAAGGGTTAACACAGTTTTTAGAGCACCCTGTATATAAATAAATATTATGTTCAAATATAAGTGGATTTTAATATGAAGGACCGTAAAAAATGCTACCACTGTTAATATAATACTAATTATTATAACACATAAGTTTTATCAATATAAATTTAAAACAAAAAATATTTTTCTTACTTTGCCAATTTGAATAACGCCATTCCTTCAATATCGCCAGTGCTGTGAGCTTTATAATAACATTTTAGTGCATTTGGTATTTTATCCATCTTCTCATAAGCTTCTCCAAGTGAGACTAACATCCTCGAATCATCAGGTTTGAGTTGTGCAGCTCTTGAATAATAATATATACAATAGCCATTGAGACCTAATATCTCATAGGCTTGACCTAGACCATTCCATGCTCTATAATCATTTCTATTTACATCTGAAATAAATACAAACATATTTATTATAAATTAAATTGCATATAGTAATTTTTTTGCTATCAAAATCTAAGGGTAATATCTAAATGCTGTCTTAAAGAGTTACAATACATTTAATAATGTTTCCACAAGGTATGTTCAAACTATAATATGTAAGCTTAGAAAATCAACCAAAAGACGAAAAGAAGACCATTTGGTAATGTCAAGAGATTTAGATGATTAATCAGAAGAATCTAACTTGGTTTTATTCTTTCTTTAATTAGTGTAAGAAAACAATTTTAAACTAATATATATTTATATATAAGGAACCAGAATCCTTCAAAGCATGGAAATTTAATTAATAGTCTTAAAGAGTTTGTTTACAAACTCTTTAAGACTACTCTTTAAGTACTCTTTAAGTACTCTTTAAGACTCAGCTACAAAGTACATAATATTTAAGAAAGTGGTTATAAAAATTTACCGATTGCTTGTCTGTAACACTGGATTGCAGCGTTGGAGTTTTGCAATTCAATAAATTCATGGCCCATAAGAATCCATGCAGATAAATACTGTGGATCCAATGATAATGCTCTTTGAAAATATATCACTGCTTTCTGATGTTCACTTCTTAAACTGTAATAGTTACCTATTTAGATAATAAAAGATAAGTAAATACAATAATAAAGTTATTGAGATGTCAAAATAAAATGGTACAATATTATTTTCTTATATTCTCATTATTTTAGCACTAACAATAAATATTTTGTTATTTTTATGTCTCAAATATGATTAATAGTTTGGTAAAATTTATAATAGTGTATTGTTAATGAAGAGTAAATCTTTTTTTGGTCATACAAATATGCAAAAGTATCACTCAATGTGTTAAATGACCTTATTTTACATTAAAAAATAATAATTAAAAATAATCCTCATATTACCTATAACACAGCATGTTTCAACTCTGTACTTGTCTATCGACACTGCTTTCTGTGCTAAGTTAGCTAGTTCCATTCGTTTCTCTTTTAAATATAATAGATGTGAGTAAACATCCCAGTTGTCCAAACGAAATGGATCGCTTTGGTATAAATCTCTAAACAGAGCTAAAGATGAATCAACATCTGTAAAATTAGGAAAAATTTTATAAAGACAAATTTTTTATAAAAATAGAAATTATTTTCTATGTCCAATATGAGGATTGTATTAGTGTCTGTAAACAAACCTCTTCTGTCATGATGTGCGATAGCCATTTGTGCTGTTATGTAAGTGCTCTTATCAAACCCAGCTGTAGCAAGCACCATATAAGCTTCAAGAGCTTGTTCAGATAATTTCAATTCTACAAATGCATGAGCAGCAAAGAAATACATCATCCAATGTTTTGGTAACTGTAATGAGTCCAATGCTTCATACTCATTAGCTAGCCCGGCCAGTTCCACCCATGCTGACCAAAGGGTTGGAGTTGCCGCTACCGAGGCTTGCAACACTGTCACTGCTTGACTCCTTAAATCTAATTTTTTCAATACAACCCCTTCTAAATATAAAAGATATCCATCTAAATTATTTCGGTTAGCCTGAAATGATAAAAAAAAATATAATCATTAAGTTTAGTAGTTAAATATGATTTGGATGGTATATAATGTATACAGAATAGTTAATATTACCTTAAAAAACGATAATAAATCTAGTAATACTTGAGTGGATTCCGAATTTTCATTTCCTGTATCAGTGGCATTATCCAAGCGTTTTTTCTCACTTGACATGTATTGTGAATATCGAAGTAAAAACACGCATTTAGGACTAGTGCAGTTCTCTAAAAAATACGCTGCTCTATCAAATTCTTGGCAGTCAAATAAACTTTTTGCAAGAGTGTACGCCTCTTTTTCTTCTGTCACAATGTCGTCTTCTGCTTTATTCGGAACATCAGAAGTAATTTTGTGATCTTTTAAGGCGAAATTTAATTCCGATAGCCATTTAGCGGTTTGTATTAATCCACGATCATTACATTCTTTTATTCCATGTAAAATATCTATTCTAACCTGATTTAGATCAATTTGAATATCCCCTTTTGTATTAAGTAAAGGCTGCATGATCACGTAGTATGATTTAAAAATAAATATTTCTTCTATTTATTTTATAACAACCTTTAATGTTGACAAACTGTTTAAAACATCAAAATATCAACTAAATTACTATCATCGGGTTGAAGTTTAGAAATTGAAATATGTATTGAGTACTGAGAGAGGGAGTTAATTAAAATTATTTATTTAACAATATATAAAGTAACTTATTATATAAACATTGAGATTTGAAGATATTTTATTTGTTTTATAAATAGAACGAAAAGAATTCTGAACAATTACCAAAATACATATGGTATTTGCTAAAAGGGAGATATTTTGACTCTGTGAACTCCGAAGTTAAGACTGTCAAAAAATAAGTGACATGACTGTAGTCTCAGCAATGGCATTTGTTGAAGCATGAATAGAACCGAAGACGGATTTTAATAATAGATCAATCTAAGATACAAAGCTATTTGCTAAGCTTTACCGGCTGAAGAAGGTCGTGTATACTTTATATTGTAAATAGAAGTTGAATACATTATAATGGCTGATCAGAGTACAGATATCAAAGTTTCTGAAATTGAAAACAATTATAGTACTCCAGCTAATGATCCTAAAAATATGCAAGAGATCACGCAGTATGTGAGTATTATTATAAAAAGTCTTTAAAACAACACAATTAAGTGAAATATAGATTTTTTATTAATATGTTTTCGTACACTATGTATAGGTCCAATCGCTCATGCAAAATATGCAAGACAAATTCCAAAGCATGTCAGATCAAATAATTAACAGGATGGATGAGATGGGTACGAGGGTTGACGAGCTCGAGAAGAATATCACCGATTTGATGACACAGGCAGGAATTGAAAACGAAAAGTAGTGAATAGAAAACTTTAAAACAAAGAAATATCAGTTGGTAATGCACACATTATTATTTGTAATGTCATAAAACCTAATTTTCTATATAATGATTTTTTGTTTTTTATCTAGCTCCTTTTATTTTATTTGTACTGTTCAGATATATTTAATGAAGTTTAAAGTCAACACATAATTCATTCAATACTTAATAAGATTCCGGTATGGTTAATTTAGATATTTTTAACACTTATCTTAATATAGAGTAATGGTGCTTTGAATTCCATTGTTTGTATTAGTCAAGTAAATTTTTAATATCTTTATTAAATGTAATTACCTGAATATCTTTTGTAACACCAAAAAATATCATTAAACATGTATGTTATCTAATGGAAAAATACAATACTCAAGCAATATGAAGTTTTAAGACCCATGTGCTACTTGCTTGTATTTGCTGTACATAATATGCATATATTATGGAATGTGTATGCATAGAAGTAATAACCAAGTCTATAATTTATCGGTGCATTGCTTCTATATGACTAACAATCTAAGAAGGGAAATTAATGAATAACAAAATTGTATTCACCAGATTCCAAACTTGGCTGTATGAAAGTATATTTTAAATTGTGACACACAGCATGAATAACTAACAAGAAATTTTTATTTAAATAATGGATTAAAATGTTACTAACATTACACAAACATATTTTTTTTTATTATGAACTTCAATAGAAAGAGATGAAACCTCTTAGAATCCAATGAATTTACCATGCAGGTGTCGGGTCCATTGCATTGCAGGGAGAGGAGCTTCAACAGTGTCTGGGACTTGTGACCCAGGTGTAGGTTTAAAGGGCCCCTATCTATCGCTCATTAAATACTCACCACCATTGTCCAAGCCCCTCTCTCTACCTAAATTGTCTGAAAACTTATGAAATAGCAAAGTACTTTAAACAGTTTATCTATAACTCTTATGATTATAGATATATGTAATTACTAGCTATATGTAAGACATTAGTATAGAAAATATTGTTAATGGCTGATGGCTACCAAATGTAATCCTCTCCTAAAATTTAGAATGTTACAGATTCAAAAGCTGGTACATAATGGAATGTTAAGTGTATGCACATTGCCTTATATTGTATGAAAATCGAATAAAAAATGTATTTTAGTATACACACATACCCTTAAACAATTTTTTATGCACAGTCAATAAATATGCAAAAGCTTTGTACAAAAATCTAAATTGTTTTTTCATTTAGTGTATATAAAAGTGTATGTGTAATGGCATTGTCATATAATAAATGATGATAAGATTTTTCTTTGTAATTTCCTATAATTTATAATAAACTTTTTTTGTAATGTTATTGATTTTTTTCGTGTACGATACAATATAAAATGATGTTGTTCCTGGCACTGTCTGGTACTACGATCATTGTTCAATTATACATCCCTTCGACGAAAAACTTTTGTAGTATGGCAATAAATCATTCATGAATCAAAATTAAGGAGGGAAAAATGATATTCAATAGTCCCATGTGTAATCTTTATATTTTTGTTCAGAAATCATAGCAAAAATATTAATGGCAATTAATTTAATGCTTAAATAACACTACTACATTTACACACACTAAGTTATATTTTATGACATGCAGAGGACCATCTGTTATTTAGAGACTGTATTATGTAGACTGTATACATTAATAAACTTAATAAAGGTCTATATTTTGTGAATAAAAACCAGTACATAACTGGATTTACGTTTACCAGTCACAAATTTTTTACGATATTTTTATGCTTACTAATATAATACTTTGTCGACCTAAAAGTGACACCACTTCAAAGAGATCCAATTATGAATTAAAATGAATTTTAACTATGCCGTTTTTAAAGTTGTAAAGTTTTAATCTACTAGGTTCTAACTATAAACTACCTTATAGTAAGGACAATAGATAAAATAACAATAGATAAGGACGTCTCGTGTAACAATTTCATCAATACCCTTGATCAAAAAGTGTGCCCAGAAAATAGTAACTATGTAAGTATAACAAAATTCAATTTAAGCGCCGTTTTCTAGCTAGATAAGTTAATGGAATAAATTAGGTTTCTTTTTCCATCTAGCTTTAGTCAGTATATTTTAAGTATTGGAAAATTAATCGTGCTTAGATTAGTGTACGTATTTATAATAGGGGTTACATAAGAAATTAATAACTCGAATAAGTACCTATACTATGAAATTATCAGGTACACAACGTCACATCACTGGGTTCTTTAATGGGAATAAAATTATCTTACATGAGCTCACAACAAGTGTGGTGAATATAATGTAGTAATTTTAAATCCAGTCATTAGAAAGACCCTTTAGTCTCATCAAAAGTCATATAATTTTTGCGTTTTATGGTAACATTTATAGTCTCGTTGATTTCTTCCCGCTAGTTGTAAATATTTGATTTCGATACAATTTTAATAACATGTATTTTTGTTAGCTTGGCCTGTTTACTCAGATGTTTAATTTGATACTTTAAAACATACAGTATAAAAATATTTGTCTGTGCCTTATTTACGCTACATTACAAAACGATTTCACAAGATTCTGTTGTTATTCTCTAGTTCAGACATAATAAAATCCATCCTAGAAAGTACACATAATATTTACTTTCTTTGACATTTACGATTCTCAAGCGGTCGTTATTTCACCCCAATGATAATTGTTTGAACTTTGAAAGTACGTATATAAAATACAAGAAAACTTGTATAACTGCCACACAATTTTCTATTTATATTCATACATATGTCTTTAGAAGAGCCAAAAATAAATAAAGATAAAAGTAAATAGCGATAAAATAATAATTGTGTACGTAATAATTTACTGTTTAAAATATTAGTCGTTGAGGTGGCGTGGAGGTTAATGGCCCGCCTCTTGTGCAGGAGGGTGCGGGTTCGAACCCTGTGTAATGTGATTTTTTCCTAGTCATATATACTTTTTAAGAGTATTTATCTACCGCTGACAAGAGGTGTAGGAAAACATCGTGCGGAAACCTGGACTTATAATTTTAAATAATGAATTCGCCAATTCGCCTTGATCATGCGTAATGATTAATGCTCTAATCTCTCAAATTACATCTCCCTCTGAAGACGACTTTGTTCATCAGTGGGCACCAATAGGCTGAATGTGGAGACTGTTCTACTTTTGTGACACGGCTAATACTTTTTTTTTACTTTTCGCATTGTTTGAAATCAGTATGAATTACGTAATATAGGGTCAACGAGTTGAATGAAAAGTTCACTGCACAATACACTACACTTTTTATTTATCGAATATTCTAGAAATAAAACAATAAATGAAATTAGGTCTTATTAAATAAAACAATAATTAAATTTTATTGTAATCTTATAATAACATACTTATATGTAAATAAATTATGTTAAGTATCTAACGGGATTCCGTTTCTTCTGAGCTTGTATGATCTTCTGAGTCGTCAGAGTTCTGTAAGTAAGTTTAATAAACAGATAAGCCTTTTGTTGTTATTAAAGTAAATCCTTAGCATTTATTCGCTGGGAAACTAGATTCCAAATAAAAAAAACATAATAAAAATACGTGTATCCGTTTGAGAGCTACGACATCACAGACGGGAACACACACACACACACACACATCGACTTAACACTTGTAACTACCCTCATTTTTGAGTTAAGTCAATGCAAAATTTTTATTTACCGTTGTCTCATCTTCGTCATCGTCATCTCTAGAAACATTCATGAGAGCCGCCAAAGAACTGGATCTGGCTCGCAAACCCTTATCGGGGGATCGCATTCTTCCAAGACTCTATAAAACAAATAACTTATTTTAGTTCCTTTACTCTATATGCATTATTTCTATTATTCAAGTCTAATTACCGTAGAATCTTCCTCGTCCTTCGCGAACGAAGATTGTGGCTTCATTAAAGATGCCAAAGACGATGACCTCGCTGAAATTCCGGAATTAACTTGTTTTTCCGGAGATCGTAGTTTTCGTTTGAAGTTCTAAATTAATACATTTTTATTAGATGTTAAATTAAATTATATCTCTACAATTACTATTTCGTATTGTTTATTTTATAATTGATATTTACCGAATTGTCCTCATCAGACAGACCTGTGAGTAATAGCTTGACAGAAACAAAAATTAGTTAGATACATTCAAAAATTGAACGTTTTAACTAACTAGATAACGTGTCACATTAGACACTAAAAATTCTCAAGGATTTACGAAAGTTGTATGTTGTTTTATTCATATTTAAAATGAAATCATAGTACAGTCAAACCTGGATAAGTGAAAACTGGATAAGTGAGAAAACTCTATAAGTGAGAGTAATAGCCAGGACCCGTCAATTTAAGCTCCCAAAACCTCTATAAGCGAGAAACAGAAACCTCTGTAAGAGAGAGAGTCGTTTTTCCCTCATAGACCTCCGTAAGTGAGACTGCTACTAATCTATACCTCTATAAGCGACAGTCGAGCTTTATTTACAAATTTAACATGTGCTATTTTATGACTCATTCTTAACTTTCGTGGAACTTCCTACCATTATTTTTGTATTATCGTCAATATTGTTCCTATTCTATTTCGTGGAAATAAATAACTTTATTGTTGTTATTTTATCGCATTCTTTTCAAATGGACTAGTGTGCCTGTGTACCGTCCTGTTTGTCAGACTTACTCAGTTTATAGTTTTCAATTGCGAAGGAAAGTTCTGTTCTGCATCATGTCAAAACCAAAAATTAAAGTACTGTCGTTAAGTGATAAACTTAAAATATTTACTACATTCGTACTTGCTGTGACTTGTTATTGCTGCGTACCCCTTTAAGAGAGAAACGCTACCCATGTACCTGCATTAGCGAGAAACTCGGGTTAGTGAGAAACCTCTATAAGCGAGATTGAGATTGTGCTCCCTTGAACTCTCGCTTATCCAGGTTTGACTGTAATTATAATGAATTACTCACTTCTAAATCAGCTTTGTCGTTTATATCAGCTATTTGTTGGAAAGCAACAGAAAGCAGTTCCAGTGCTTTAGCGTGGAACGTCATTTCTATAGTCACAAAGTCCGACAGAAGAGTCTTAAGTTGTTGAAGTTTACGCCTTTCGAAAAATTCAGTTTGTTCGCTTAACCCTTTTGCAGTACGAGACATTTCTGCAGAGGCTTTTAATAATTCTGATTCTGCATACGTCTAAAAGCGATATATTTCTTTATGCGTATGTTGTAAAAAGGGTAAAACATTTATATAATTACCTAATGATATTAATTATGTCAAATGAATGTAAATTTCAAAGTGCAAATAAAAGATTAATTATTAATAGTCTTCTAGTCTAATCATTGCGCCTTGTCATGTTTCAAATGGAAGTATGAATAGGGCAATTATTGAGAACAAATAAATGAGGTTCTTATCATATATAAGTATAATTTATAACATACTACTTGTTGTCTATTAAATGGTTGTCGTTCTCTAGCTTTGTCGAGAACTTTCTTCCTTGACATTTCTTTTTCCCTTACATTCATCGTATGTTTGAGTTCCTCCCTTGCGTGTTTGCAGATATTTTCGTATTGACATAGCTCCCCTATAACCTGCCAACAAGTCATTGTCTTGATCGTACCATGACGTACCATGCGTGATTATTTATAAACGTTACCAACTTGTAGATAGATATAGACTTTCTACTGTTTAAGTGTAAAAAAAACCCTAAAAATATTTGTCTACACATTCGTTTTATTTGCCAATTGAATATTCTTGATTTGTCCGTATCTTCTTGTTGGTTTCAAGTTGAAAAAGCTATTTTGAATCAGTTATATGTATATAATAAGTAAGATTGTTATAGACTCTCAAAAAACGAACAGGATTCTCAACATTTCTGGGTCTATCCAGTAGTCCAGGAGGCTGAGCGATAATTTATTGACAGTGGTATGTTTATATTAATAGCCGTTCGGAATACCAAATGAGAACCATGAAGACAGTATGCCATCAGGCTCGAAGAACGAATTATATTTTTCAGGAAAAGTTCCTCAATATTGAAATGAAATCTGTAGTTTTAATAAATAGATAGTTAAACTAATTTATTGAGAATAGATTCTTTATGTGAGCAATTCTGATTTTTGCTAGATGGCTCTTTAATTTATCTTGCGTATTTGCTACGTTCAAGTGAATCACGAAACCAATTTTAGAATAATTAACTATACCGTAGCACATTTTAAAGTTTTTCTAATCTTTAGATTAAATTAAGTCAGTTTTTATCGTATTTTGTTTACTATTTAAGAAATATACAAAATAACTCACTTTAGCCTCTAGACGTTGAATTTCGCAATTTCTATATTCCTCAATTGCTGTCAGAGTTAAAGATAAATTGTCCAAGCCAGCACTGAGTGACTTGTTTACAATTTCGTTGTTGGCGTAGTCTTTTAAAATTTTAGACAGCTCATCTCCCATATCTCTAAGTCTAAAAAAATGCTATACTTAAAATAATGCGGCTATAATACCAAATATCATAGGTGCATATACATATACACACCTATATAACTTTAGTTCTAAAATCTGTCCTATCATATCTATGACGTACATTTCTTAATAAATTCATAAAGTTGCGGCAATAAGCAAAAAAAGTTACCTATAAAAGACTGTTTTTTGAGGTATAATTAATAGCCCTATTGTCTGCCAGTATACATTTTTAATTAGACTTTAGTAGAATGTAAAAATAATTGTAGAAGTTGCTGATTGGTCTGCTTCGTTATATTCTATGAATCTTTTTTGCGCTTGCAAAGAACTTTTGAAAACCTGAATAATTGTTTGAAGCTTAAAAGATAATAAAGAACAATTATGCGGTATAACTTACCTTGCAGTTTTTCTGGTGTAATCGCCGAATCCTACACATAATTCTCCGAAGTTCTTTTCGACATTTGTGATTCGATCTTGAATAAATTTGGCCTGCTGTTCATAGCTTAAAGAATGAGAATTATCTCCTCTAAACATTTTGTTCTGATATTATAATTTTAGAACTTAGATTTTGTTTTATAGAATTCTTAAAAGCGTTTTGTTTATTTAGGTAACGTTACCATGGTAACCTTAATTTCATAGCCGATAACTATACACATCAGCCATAGCAAAAAAAAAATATATATATACATATTTTATTATATAACTTTACTACTATAGTCGTATAAGTAAGAAAATTAAATTGTTATAAGTTTCTTCTAGGGGTATATCTTATACAAATTTTTCTGTTCATCTACACCTACTTTCTTATAAAATATTATTGATATCCTAATGATGGTTTGAAAGTATGTTTGCATTTAGAGATGGTATTATTTGAATATTATTATATGCCATTAATGTTTATAATCAATGTATGTTTTTCTAGTATACTGTTTGAACATTTATTCTGTGGCAATTGCCTAATTGTCAGCTGTCAATCATTAATGCCATAAACAGCTGTTAGTACTTGGTCAATGTATGTAGATTGGTAAATAATACACAAAGCATATAAAATAACAGTCACAATGAATGAAGAAATAGATGAGTATGAAATTTACCATCAAGATTTTACAACAGCGTCAGAGTGGGAAGTATTAATTGCACGTTTGGAAGAAGTTATTGTTGAATGGCATTTGGCTAAATCCAAAATAACAAAAAAGTGTTCAGAGTTTACAAAGAAATGGACTGTTAAATCTGAGGAAATCAGGTTTCGTTCTTTAAATTTTACACTCTCATACTGTTATCAAGAACCGGTTAAAATACTGGACACTGATATAAATTCAGATGAACAGTCGTTATTGACAGACTTGCATGAAAGTCTTTGGAACTCCACAACAAACTTTATGGGAGATACTGAATGTACACCTTATCCGGTATCAAATTGGTTTGGTTTGAAAAGATATCTGATGCTATGTCCTAAAACGCCTCTAACTGATGGAAGTATCATTAAACTTGTAATGAGTTCCGTTAATATAGCCTTTGCAAATGTTGATTGTGGTGTGCCCTTCTTCGTTAAGATAAGAGAGCATTGGCAGCAAACTTTTTTAGGTATTTACGAAGATAATGACTATAAAATTAGTTTTGATACAATACATTTGAAAAGAATATCAAACCAGTGTTCTTATCTGAGCGGGCTTGTAAGTTTATTCAAGTCCAAAATATCATCACCAGTACCTCTTGATGCTGTTGTTATATCAACAAAATTTTCTTATGAATTGAAAGACTCCGATGCTTTTGCTTGGAGGAAAAGAACTCAATCAAATGAGTTTTTATCTATCGATGGATTTGATGTTAGGAAATTGACTGAACTGCCATTTGGTTCGGAAAAGAATCCTCTGCATAGTGCTTTACTTAACGCAATATGGCCACATTTTAGGGAAAGTGCTATTGTTGATTCATCTACATTTTCTGATATTGATCCCTTAATGGCACCTACTTGGACTATTACTCTGAAACTTAGGAATAACATAAACTGTCAATTATCAGATATTATAGGAAAAGTGATGGATTTATTAGACAATAATACTCTAATGATGGATATTCTGGGTTTGAGTAAGAGTTTGGGCTTGGTTAACCCATTGAACAGGATAACCGAGGCACCTATCACAATTTCTAAATTGGTGAAAGCAGCAGTGGGACGCAATAGTCATATTTCTGAGTTTAAGGGCCCGATAACTGATGACCTTTTGATGCCTTTACTGTATTATGTGTTCCCCGATGCTGTGGAAGACCATACATTCCCATATTCTAAAGGATTGGATATAGAAACCAGAAGGGTTTGTTTTTATTTGGAAATTATGAAGTATCTTTAAACAAATTTTATATAAGTTTTAAAGTATTATTAAACAACTAAGTTCTTTTATATTCTCTTCATTAAAACTAACTATAAAAACTGATACAATTGTATAAATGTATTTTTAGAAAGTAATTAAGTTCGCTTGGTACTATAAATACTTATTTTATTATTTTGTGATAATATCAACTATTATTTTATATAAAAGCTAAAAACAAATGAACATTAATGATATTTTTATCCAAAAGTATATAACAAAGAATTGGCATTGTTTGTTACAAAAAAATCTAACTAACATTTTTTATGTGAATTACAGGATAGTACCGACTCAAAATTATGCAGCTATGTTAAAACAAGTCCTGAAGATGGTTTGGTTTGGAGACTATCAGTTACTTCGGCTCGTTTAATGGAGGCCGGTGGATTGCCTTACGTTGCACATTTCTGGTATGAGTTCACCCAAGAACTGCAGTATCGATGGGAGCATAGAATTCTATTATCGGGGTAAGCTTTTACTGATTATTGAAAAACTATATACCTGTTTGTAGTTATTTTAAAATTTTCAGCTTATATAGATCACCCCTAAAATATATAAATTGGATTTCAAAATTTTCTGAGACATTAATATAGATTAGATTACATTTTGGGTGAATAGACTACATTTATATGATTTTTTACAAATATTTGTAGTTAAATTTTATTGGTTTATGTTAACATTATTATAGAATATCTGTCCTCAATTACTCTATCTGCTTGATTTTAATATAAAAATATCCTCTTTGTTACCTATCAATAATTACACTTATATGTTTTTATAATAGTTTATTTTTACACTAATTATTCTATATACACAAAAACATATTTAGTATATACTTATTTATTAGCACCATTTGGATTGCGCTTCAATAGATCTCTTATAATATATAAACTATCTTATAACATTAAACATTTACTATGTACATTTTTAATACCTAAAATAATAAAATATAATTTACACATATAACCTGAGAATTAACTTACAATTCTCAGAACAAAGTTTGTGTAAAATTTGTGAGTAAATAACTATATGATCTTGCATATAGTGAATCTATGACATTTATTGGCAAATCTGAGATTTTTCATGGTTGTGACGATCCTGTTGAAGATGAGTGTGGTTATGGCGTTTGCACCAGAAAGTGCACGCTTTCTCACTGTTCAGGGGCTGCGAGCAGTGTTCGCACAAAATAACTTTCCACACTTCATCTCTTTTCCACTATAAGGGCACTAAACCACCTCTGGCAGTTGCATTACGGGTCATGTATATATCCATATCGTGATCAGTCCAATTATCTGAAGTATCACAGTAACCCATTCCAATAGAACCAACGCTATAGCGACTGGCTGGTCGTGAGCGAGATCTTGGTCTCCGTCTAGACCCTGATGTACCGCTTGTAGCTCCACCCGCTGCTCCGCTTAAGGATAAACGGGACGCCCTTTCAGAAGCTCCTCCTAAAGACTGTCGTGATTGGCGTAGATCTAGAAGAAAAATATTTAATTTAGAACGGTTTATATTTAAATAAAACAAATACTTTTTATACAAACTCACCAGTTCGTGATCCTAATAAACTCGTTGGGTATCCTGAAGCTCCATAGCGGGCAGAGTAGCTGTGTTGTGACTGACCATCTGCAAGAGATCTGGCCCTTCCAGGCCTACCCGGTAGTGTTTCTGGAGGTGGAGGTTCGGTGTAAGATCGTGCACGAGGTATTGATCGCGCGCTATACGCTGACACTTGATCCCATTCGCGCTGTTTACCAAAAGCACCTATTGTAGCAAGAGAAGATAACGGGCCACTTGGACTCGGAGTGCCAGCGAGTCCACCACAGCATGAGTTTGGTACTTTTTCGGGAAGTTGTGAGTGTAAGCGGTGAACGGTTCTTGAACGACGACGTGATGCAGCCGCGAAGACAAGAACAGCTACAACGATGGTGCCACATATTGCTGCACTGGCTGCTATAGTGATTTTATCCATATTTGTAGCAGCTGCAGATACCGTGCGCACTTCTCTACACTGTGTGTAAGGCACAGTCTCTGGGCTTATGTGTATTTCTTCTAAAGAAATAACGCAAACAACAATGCATTCCTGAAATTAGAAAATATATATTTTTATCTATTTTTATTGTAGAGAATCATTGACCAATATAATATGTACACGATAATATCTATGTGTGTAATATTTACCTGAGATGGAACATTTTTAATTTTGAATTCTCTTTCGCTAGCTTCAAGTGGTGGTCCTTGTTTGAAACTTTTATCTCCAAATAAACGATACACAACCCGAAATCCGAGAATATTTGCAACATCTGAATCCCATTGAATTATAACAGAGTTATCCTGTCTGTAAGCATTTTTTACTTTAACTTCGTTAGAGTCATCTATAATTGGTTTCTGTTGTGGGAAATTCATGACCAATGGTGGTCTTTGATTTGGTGCATGTCTCCAATTTGGCCCAGCCGGGCGTACTGCTGGGTTGCGACTAGGTTTACTCGAAGTAGTAGTTACTGGAGTTGTGCTAGAAGATTTAATTGTTGATGACTCATGAATTTCACTGTTCGAAGGCACATTAAAGGTAGTTGATGCAGGAGTAGTTGCTTGTGCTGTTGTAACCGGCGACGTTGTCGTGTAACTTATATCATGCTTGAAAGTTGTTGGAACTATTTCAGTTACATCATGATCACATACTAACTCATTCGGCTCAAAACTATAGAAACCACGATCTCGGAATGCTGGTGGATTCCCACAGAATTGGGGATTTCTCTCGCGTGAAGTCACTTGTAGTTCGCCATTCCGAATCCATTCTATAATCCATCGTAATTTGCAATCACAGTTCAAGAATCTGCCCCCAAGACTAAGACCTCTCAATGTAGAATTGAGGTGAGCCAAAGCCTTTTCTGGTACAGTCGGTAGTGGATTGCCATCTAATGCCAGTAAGGTTATTGACGGATTCCTTAAAAAGGCATCTGAAGGTATCTTGTTAAGTAAATTAAATCCTATATCAAGCACTCTCAACTCTGATAAGACGGATATTGCTTCTGTCGGATATTCTGGTAAAAGGTTATTTAGTAAACTTAAAGAGCTCAGCGTGTTTTTGATTTGTAAAAATGCTCCATGTTTTAAATTTACAAGTAAATTTCGTTCCAAATTGAGAGCCGTAAGAGAATCTAATCCTTCAAAAGTTTGAGGGCCGTCGGGGCCTGGTAATTCTCGAATACTGTTCTGTGACAGGTCAAGAAAGGCAAGACTTCGTAGACCTCGTATACATTCCGGAACAGTTTTCTGTCTGGTTCCTTTTAAATTAAGATTCTTAAGAGAATTTTCCAAACCAGCCAAGGCTTGCGGTGCTAGTGTTACATTATTATCGGATAATTTTAAAGTTGTTAATTCTTGAAGGGTAGAAAACGAGTAGTTTTCTATTAAAGTTATCTTGTTTTTTGATAGATCTAACAGAGATAAGTTTGTCAATATTCTAAGTGCTTTTACAGGCACCTCCGATAATTCATTGTCTTGTAGATTCAAATTCTTTAAGTACTGGCCTTGACCGTTAAAGGCATTGCTTTCAATCTTCCTCAGCTTGCAGCCTGATATTTGTAGATTGTAAATGGCTAAATTTCTAAACATATCACTAGTTAGTGATGATATTGTCGCATTGTTTATGTATAGCAAGTCTATAGAAATTTTTCCAGCGCTAGAATTTAATGCTGATAGTAGCATCGGAAAATCTACCTGTAAAAATGATAGGTAATGATAAGAATCTGAGAAGTCATACTTTGATGTTTTATATCATTTCAATTTTGTTTCAAAGGATTATTTACCTGGTCACATTGCACTGAGAGTTGTCTGGCTAAATTGAAAGCACACACACAGGTCGCTTGTAAATCTGGGTTTTCCATCCATGGGCACTGACCACGTGTGCCTTGAACAATAGTCACTATCAGGACTGTTGGTAGCCACCACTGAGCACGAAGACGGGATCGCACGACCTATAACGAAAAATGTACAATGTGAACACGAAGGTTGCTTAAATTATACTATTATCATTGCTTATAAATCATTTGACTAAGTGACGAACCGCAATCATGCAGTGCACGGACCGTTGAAGAAATAAGTGCATAGTCGCTTCGAGCTACTAGCCCGGAAAACTGGCTTTCCCTACACGAGAAATGCTAAATACGTGACTATTGTTTACTAGACCATGCCTTAAACCGCTGTCTCTGATTGTTTTTAGTCAAGCTACCATTAAATATACAGTTTAAAATATAATTAATATTATCAAAACCAATTGCAAAATCAATTATTAGGTATATGACAGTTAATAGTATCTACATATGCAATATTATTGTCTTTTTTAGCCTTAATAATGTTAGGCGTATGAAGTTAAACTAAATAAAAATGTTCCAACAAAGCCATAGCGTAAAATTATTCATTATTCACCTTTTTGTGAGATATATATCTTTAATTTGCGTTCGAATTACTCAAGTGTAGTGTTAGCGCCTCTGACTGGGCAGTGAGGTTTTTATTTAAAGATTGTAACAGTAGCCTATATAGGTGAGTCAACTACACAGTCTCATTTCGCCGATAACGGTACATTACTCAGAGTTGATACGTGAGAGTTGTATCTGCCGGATTCACTTTCTTGTCTTTTGTTAATTTTTGTTCGTCATTCTTTTGATTGACATCACATATACTATTTAGATTGAATATTTGTTATGGTTGAAATTTTAAATACGAATACTTAAATAATACTTGTTGCAAATAAATAGAGAATTTAAATATCAATTGAAAAATTTCTTGTTACTACTTTCTGCTGAGTATAGCTACACTTTATATACATATATATGACAACAATATATTAATTTTTATCGTTTCTTAGTCTTATTTTGAGGTAGTAGTACATAGTATTTTAATTATTGGTATTAACTTTCGCTTATTGTTGGTTTTGCGTGTTATAATTGGAATGGTAAATGCATTTCCTAGTAATACATTGTTGTTGAACATGTCTTTGTAGACTTTATACCTAGTTTAACACCCAAATCAAACGTTGAGATGTTTGTAAACTTAGCAGCAATAATAATTTCGTTTATGTGTAACATGGTGAATAAGCGGAAAATCTTATCGATATATTAATGTCATTTAATAATAAAGGATTAAATATTAATAATAATTCAAATGTTTTATCAAATCTTTACAAATTAAATTATCGTATGAAAACAATATACTCAAGCTGCATTAAATTTTTTTATTCGACAACAGATGGCGTTAGTAGTCTTCTGAATCACGCTATCGTGTCGTACACTTGTAAAGTATAGGTGCCAGCTGAATTTTTCAACAGTTGATCTTTCTAAAGGTTTTAAACGGGGAATGATGATTGGGTTATTCACACGTCTGTGTGATGTCCGCTGACCATTGTTACGCAATGGCGGGCTAAAATCCTTCTGACCCCTAATTTATGAAAGATCCAATTATAATACCTTATAATTCCATTTAACTTTGAAGTATTAATAGTCTCATCCAAGTACATATGTAGAGTTGTGGCCTGTGGGGTGTTAAAAGTTTTTGCGGGAATTAAATGAGACTTTTTTTATTAAAAATCCCTACTAATATTATAAATGCGAAAGTAACTCTGTCTGTCTGTCTGTCTGTCTGTCTGTCTGTCTGCTACGCTTTCACGCCTAAACCACTGAACTGATTTTAATGAAATTCGGTACAGAGATAGAGTTGACCTTGAGAAAGAACATAGGATAGTTTTTATCCCAGACTTTTGAAAGGTTCTCTTGGAAACGCGATATAACCGAACTCCACGCGGCGAAGCTGCGGGCGGAAAGCTAGTTTGTTTATAAAACTGTGAACTAAATTTAAGAGCAGTTAATGTTTAACAGTACATTGCTAATAATATTTATCATTATTTAATTTGAATACTTTTAACTATTCCAAATGAAATCCTCTTCACACTTTATCCCCTATGAACACTGCTAAATGCAAGTAATATGACATTTATTAACACATCTACATATGGATAATTTCAAATTTCCGAATATTTGCATTATTTTCAACCGAAGCTAGTCGTAACGCTGTAATATTTGATTAGAAATAAACTATTCCAATGATTTGAATTTCCTTTATGTAAGAACACGTGGGAGGGAAGCGAAAAAAGATTGTGAAGGGACTTTTCATACTTCTCCACTAAGATTGGTTATTCGTTGACAGTCAATAGTCGATACATGTCATTTCTCATTCGACTGGATTACAGTTTGAGAATAAACAATTAAACAAGTCTATTCTTTTGTCATATAAAAAGTTCGCTGAAACAACGAGCTCCGCCCATTTTCAAGTAATGCATTACTCCAATAAAAAATACTTATAATTGAATTCAGATGCAATTAATTCGTATTTTTAAATTCTTATCAGGAACCCTATGACCATAATGATTCACGTTTCGTATTTAAAGCAGGTGGATTTAAATTGAAGATTTGAACACATTGCTTTTATGGCGTTTTATAATATTAACCTACAAAAATAAAGGCACCTAACGGTATATATGGCTAGTGTATTAGTTCCGTTAGAATGATAATTTAAGTTAGCACGACGAATTATACCTTTAATACAAGTTTGAAAATTCAAACTACATACAGATAGTTTCACGTATTTCATTCGTAAAACTTTGCTCATGTCTGTATCGAAGTAGATCTATGAATGGAAAATCGGAAACCCTTTACATTTAGTTGGAATTCCCAATTATTTATCGATGTATTAAGCAATATTGGTTCAATGTATATTACTCGTAATTATGAGTTTTATAATAACTTTGTTTATTAAATCGATTTAAATACGGCAATTGTTTTTTAGAAACCAATAAAATGTTTGTTCCCTTTAGTATTTAGGTTATATAGTATTATAATTCGTACAGGAATTTATCATATATATGCATATGTATATGCATAATAGTTCCAAGTAGATACACGAGAAAAAAATCGTTTAAACTATGTACTTTTTGTACGTTAATCTTTACATAACAATGTTTATATGTTGAAATTTATTTAACTTAGTTTTGTTTCTAACAAAATATAAATTACATTTAAGTATCACGCTATTATTTATTGTTTTTTTTCTTATGAAGTTAATAACAACTATCTTGTGCATTTCACAACTGTATAATCTAATATATCGCCATATACATACATATGTATATTTATATGTGTGTGTGTGTGTGTGTTTACATGAATATGAGAGTTCATAGATATTATAAATGTAAACATTTCAGTGAGGTCATCAGAAAGCGATGTAATGCCTATTTATATGAACTTGAATGTCTACTTTCACCGCTTACGAACGAAAAATAAATTCGTTTATTTATATTTACCCCAGTGGCAATAATATTAATTGAGAAATACACAAAATGGGTCATATATATATATATAATCGCGTTTTGTATATGAAAGTTTTTTGTAGTGTACTTTAAATTGGATGTTTTGCTAGCGTTACTAATTATCGACTTCTCACGTTCGTACAGTTACTATAATACTGTGTACGTTTCTAACAAATCATAGCTAACGACATTTCGGTTTGTCTTTAAAATTATAACGATACTGTTTAGAAAGCGCGTCTCGGTTACAACGGGATAAAAAAAAAAATATAACCGAGATACGATTGCTACGGTTCAATGGTTAATTTTGCTTCAAATTATTAATAAATTATGTTAATTAGTGTACAAAAAATACTCGTGTTAACAGTTGAATAGATATAAGTGATTGATTATATTGTTTGAGAGTGTTTTATGCAATACTTCCGACAATAACCTAGGTCGTCCGGACACCGTTAATTTTAATTTTGTAATATCCGTAACAAATTTCTAGATTTTATAACATTTATTTAATTAATATGTATAAAGGTGCGGTTGTTCGATTGAAGTCTTTTTTTCTATTAATTCGTTATCATTGTAAGAAACTTTGGTCCTTATCAATTTAAATATATTTTATATATGAATATGTTTTCTGTATATTTTCTTTTTTTAGATAGTTTTTATTAAGGCTACAAGTAACTCATAACTTCGAATACGAAGAGACATAAATTCTTTACATACATTTATAAGCATTGCATCAAAGCAAAACTGGTTTTAACCACATTAAAAGGGTATCGATTTGATTTTTCTCTGCATTGCCTCAACCAAATCTAGAAGTATTAACTAGTCATACTAAAAGAGGTCGCTTGTAAAATAATATATATGTACATATTAAAACCGTCTGTTGAAAAAAATTCTGAGATATAGTTTTGAGCAAAAAGAAAAAAATGGAATAGAATCAAAATAATAAAGTCGAGTTAATATAAAAAAATACTTTTTTCTCTTTCTTTAAGAGACTAAAACTCCATGTAATACTTGACAGTGAGTAATTAAAAATTATATAATTTTTGTTTTAATTGATTATATCGTTGTTTAATTTTGAACATAGAGCGTTTATAAAAAAGAAATGTTTTTACCTTTGACATAAACACGAAACACGTAAATAAATAAGTATATGAATATAGAACGTATCTTCATTTCCAACCGGTAACTTTAGAGAACGAAGTATATTAATGAAAACGGTATCCGCGTTGGAATGCGAGAAAAAACGTCACTATGCGGTGATGCGTTGATGCTTAGATGATTCGTAGTCGGCGGGAGCCACGCGACCACTATAACATACAGTACACCACTGCTAATACATTAATTTACATATATATTACATATAAAGACTATTAAACTTGCTGTAACGTACATCTCGATGTAGGTTTGAGTTCGGATATATGCATACTAGAATTAATATGGGAAGTCATGTATATATATAAGCTAAGTCAAAAATATTTTCAATATATTCATATTATTTTCGTGTCCTACAACGGTTTCATAATTAAGTTGACACACAGCAACGGTGCTGAGCAAAACCTGTCATAAACATGACACAAATAATAAAGTCTCTGTCATTTTTATCATGTAGTACAAATATTTTTCTCAACGTGCTATTCTGTTATGCTTTAAAAGATTATCTTATTAGAATATTTTTTTAATATTTACTTTGTTTTTAATTTCTACATATTTTCGAATTGCATTATAGACCCACTTACAAGTGGGACAACCAACTAATGTACCATGAACATTTCATTTGCATACATAATCATTAGTTTCTAAATGATATATTACGAATATATGATTATAAATCTTAATGTAATTATTCCAAATTGGTTATTAGGAAATATGTATCTTTTACATTAATTAGTCGTGTGATATGAAGATTATAGTGAGAAATAAAAATAGAATTTTCTTCAAAATGTTTGTTTATACTTCATAGAGAATATATTATTTAAATATTATTAAATAGTTTAAGAATGCTGTTTTGAGAGCATAACGGATTTTTGTAAAGACATACGAGAGTGAGCTTTGTAATTAAGTAAACTTTCTATGTCCTATTTTTTCTCGTCGAAACGTGTTTTCGTCAAATCTTCGGAACACTTAGAAATAGTTTCTATAGACAAATTGTGAGTGAATTGTTAAGTTTCTTGCAGTTATTAAGATATATCAATTTTAAATGGAAATTTAATAAAATTTAAAAAGTTCTCTGCAATGTCTTAAAAATTTATGATATAATTTTTTTCGATTCAGGATTTTCGTTATAAGAATAATAATACACAGAAAAGCTTCAAACGAACGGTTTCAAACTTAACAATGCTAAACTTGAACTAGTGACGCGATAATTGAAATAGCTAACCAACTTTTTAACATATTCCGAGCTGTTATGAACTATTCTTCTTTTAATAAAAATAATTAGGAATAAATATGGCATACCAGAACGAATGAAATTCTAGGAGGCAGAAATACAAGAAAATAAAACATGACGTTTTGTTTAAAATCCAAAATAAGCATTCGATTATTTCTATTTCACGATCGATAAATAGAGATGTACTTAGTCATTTTTATTTGCAGATGGATGAATTTCATAAAAAAGGAAAGTTAACCAAACATGAATAGATATCAAATTAAACATTTATATTTTTAAACAACTTGCATTGTAATGCAAGCGGTAATGTAATTCAAATTACGATTATGACTGTTCTTATTCAACCAAATTATTTTATATTTAGAAGTTTTTCAAGAATAGATGTATTATGAATTCAGAATATTTTTTTCGCGATTAAAACGGTGCTCGTAATATGACATATATGAAGTATCCTATAATTGAAAACTTCTACCGTGAAAACAGAAGAGTTTATAGTAATTTAACTTAATATTTATTAGATCGTAAAATCATTAAATAATGAACACTTCATTTAAATATATTAAGAATCAGATTATTAGGAATTATTATATTAATAATTAATGAAGAATATATGTAACTTTATGTAACTATTTAATCGATGTTTCTTTTATACTATTAGTATGATAGTAGACTCGGATTATATACTAGTTACCATTGTATTAAATTATAATAAACTGTCTTATTTTTGGTGGAATTGAATAGTAATGAAGTTGTTATATAATAATATTAAAACATGATATATTAAAATTGCAAAATATTTTCTCAATAAACAACTAAGTATAACACAGTTTTTATTATACTTGATTTGAAATTTGTAAAGTTTTGGCTTATCTAATATTATCAATTAATTAATAAATTTTAACGCCGCTATCTCATTCGGATGTTACTTTGCATTTATTTTTGATAAGTATAAGTAATTATTGTATAATATTATACAAGTAGATATTGGTTACATCAGGGCACAGATTTAATTTATTTTAATAGGTTCGTATAATTCGTTCAATATATTATATAATTTGATATCTTTTCGGTTTCGAATTTTGTAACTTTTAATGCGATTTCGTTTAAATTTCCTTATTATCTGTATATATAATTTTTATTTAAATATATTAAAACGGGAACGTTGTCATTATTGTGAGGAGGAGTGAGTGATTGATGGACCTGCACAGATAGTCTATTTAAGTTTTATACAACATTCCTCATTGATGTCATATTACGGTTCTGTATAATATATACATTATACATTCGGAATATAAGATGTTTGATCTGATAATAATAATTTCATTTATTTTCATACATTTTGTTTAGCACTATAAAATTTAAATAATATGAATTTTATGACTAGATGATGTATCATAACTATATTTGTACTTTTTATTAGAAAAATTTTGTTTTTTAACCAGATAAAGAAGACGTAAAAAATATTTTTACATACTAGTTGAGAAAAAGAAATGTTTAAATTATTACTTTAAAATTCATTTTAGATTGAAAAAAATACATTTTTTAGCTTTATATTCAAATTGGATTATCTAAAGCAACGATGTTTTAAATTATATATTTTTATATACATGTTTTTGAAATACCATGTCCGAAAAGTGAATTAGTGATACTAGTATATATGTAAGGAGGGCACAAAACCGCTTTTTGTATATAACTTGTATGTCTTGGAGTAGTTTGAGCGACTCCCACGGTTGCTGGTGAGCTCAGCACAGTTAACCTGTCCATTGTCTCAGTTCGATGCCATATGGTTTTTGCACATTCTAAGATATCAAGTGAAATTTTGCGGAAATAACACTGACACGAATGAATGGTTTCAATGCTTTTATTATGAGGAATCACACATTAACTTCATTGACTGATGATTTCTATTTACAAAAAAACTTAATTTATTTGAAGATTTCTTTGCTATTTCATAAAAAATTGAACAAAGTCGATTTGTCGAAATATACATGAGAATATAATTCATATATAAGTTATAATATATGTTATATGTGAAATTAATGTTATATGGTCAGAATTCATCTTAACAAATCATCTGGAATTTGGTTTAACTTAACAGATTGTGTGAGAATTACTCTTAAAAGTTCTTAGTGATAAGTTTTCGTTTATACAATACACGTAGCATTATTATACATATATAGGTTTATTAAAATATATTATGTTTCAAACAGTTTTGAAAGCGTAGTAAAGTTAATACAATTAAACATTTCTCATAAAATATCTTAAAGACGAATACAAAATATATTAAAAATATACTAATTATTTTTCTTTTGTAGGTTAATATATTTTATTATCATATTCTTAATAAAATTATTCAAATTCCAAAAGTTGGCTAGTCGTCAATAATAAGTCGGTCGTATTGCGGTACTATGTATTTAAATCCAAATCCGTTATATCGTATTATATATTTTATTGATTAAAAATATTTTATCGTCTCACCATATTGTATCGGAAATCCTTTTCTAGGTGAAATCCTTAAAATTTGACCACTTTTTGCTAGCACTGTCAAACTAAACATCAATGATATACAACATAGTTAATCACAACAGTGGTAAAATGGTCACAATCGTGTTTAACAGTTTTATGTTTTAATATTTATCCATGGCTGCGCGTGCGTCTTCCGTTAGAGACGTAGTAAGACTGAAGCGTGCAGCAGAGTGCAGGTTTTCGCTAAGCCCCTGACCTACACTGCTCGGGCCCGGTAAACAAACGGTTCACAGACCGATTAGCTATAATACATTAGAAAAAAGCTGCTACACCACTGCCCACATTTAAGTCTCGAGTATTTGTGATTCAATGAGATAACGGTATGCCCAAGCTAATCTCATTCTAGGTCGTGGGTCGAACTGCATCTCGTGAATATGTATAATTATAGAAATTATTTTAATATTCGTGCGTTACTATTTGTTGCTATATGTTCTAGAGTCAACTATTTGCATACGCGGAAGAGAAAATGTACCATGTATGATGTTAGCTGTTGATTTATTCACTTTCTTTTCGAGGTCATGTATGTATTTGTCTCTTGAAAATAAGTTTTAGTGAAAGTTGAATGCAATTTGTTCAAAGCGATAGCTGTCACTTTAATATATATAAAAAGTTTCCTTTTGTTTGTCTTTTCAAAACTTATGTTACATACGAAACTTATTTATTGTGCTATTAGGCTTTTGTGATAGACCTTTGAGGTTTTTGTTTTGTAATACTTAATGTTTTCTTTTATTACATTCGTTGGGAATGCAATTATTTTTCGAAAGTAATTTGACTTATATATTACAATGACACGATAGAAACCTTTATTCCGTTTTATAAGTATCAGCCACGTGAGGTTAGTGTGTACTGTGGGAAAGAAAATGGATATCCATGTGTTTCAGTCTTACGTGAATGGAATTGCACATATTTACCCACAGTGCACACTTGCCCCACATTACTTAATCAATGAAATAGTAATATCGAGGACCAAACGCTTTTTAAATAAAATTAATTTCTTCATTTAATTAATATCCTTAATTTCAATTATTTATCGAAATATTTTCCACTTTTTAATTAGGTTTTATATAAAAGCGTGTTCTTTTTAGTCTTTTTAAAATATTTTATTCAAAATAATAACAATCTCACACAAAAATATATTTTTTATATAAATCTATTATACGAATTTAGTGTAAATTAACTAGTCTAATGTTACTGTTCTTTGTAGTCATGGAGTTTATAGCAAGTAGGTTTCAGAATTGGTTTCTCTCTAATTGATATTAAGCGACATATTTCTTTAACAGGGTTATAGATGGTGCACCGAACGCTAGAACATGTCTTTTGCATCAAAAGCTACAATTATTAAATTGTTGCATCAAAAGAGCTCAAGAGGGTGACGTGAATGCCAACGGTAATTCTTCTGAAGAGGAATTCTTCGACTGCTCAGAAGGTGAAGGTGCAGAAGATCAGTTGCCATGGGACAGGCCCGTGGGTCGTCTTAATCGTCTCGAAAATGCTACACTCAAAAGTGGCGTCCCTCTCTATGTTCCTCGTACACAGGTAGATATGATATTATCAAGGAAAAGGCGGCAATACTTTGTTTTTAATAGTGTTAGATATAAAGAACTAGATAAAAAATATATATATCTATTCAATGACTTCTAAAATATTATTTCCTTTTAGGATCCAGCACCAAAAACTGAGGATCAATTAGAAGAAGACGCCGAATTAATGGTAAGAATGGGAGACAATGCTAAAGCTTCTGAACTACGTGCGAAAATGATGAGCGCTTCCCTCCTCTCTGATATGGAAGCATTTAAGGCTGCCAACCCTGGGGCAGAACTGTGTGATTTCGTTCGTTGGTATTCGCCTCGAGATTGGAAGCCTGATGACGGTGGCTCGTTAGGGGATCGTATGTTGTTACCTGGAAATCCTTGGGTAGAAGCTTGGACAGTTGCTCGCCCGGTACCGGCAGCGCGACAACGAAGACTTTTTGATGAGACTCGAGAAGCAGAACAAGTGTTACATTTCCTGAAATCACGGACCGTTGGAGGTGTAGCTGAACTGTTGCTGCCCGCTATATTAAGAGCAGGTGCAAATAAAGCGATCTCAGAAGGAGCTCCAGCAACTAGTTCGAGTATTGGAGGCGTGGACAAAAGACGCACTTTCGAAATTGCCGCTAGAGAGTTGTATGAAGCTGAGAAAGAAGCGTGTAGGGCTATCTGTGTGCGTAAGGTTTTAGGCAACAGTGCGGAAGGACAGCCGTTAGATGTGGCGGGTAGGTCCAGAGTATTGAACGCCATGGGCGGTGGTTTGCCAGCACCCACACGCAGAGAATTCACATTGAGAGTAAAAGATGAAGTTGGCCCTCAAATAATGCGAGCAGCCCTCGGTAGTGATATGACCATCATTGGAGCGTTTACGGAACGAATAGTTTGTTTGTAGTATATAAGTGTTAATTATTACAATTTTATTCCAAAAGAAGCGACATTGTTAAGTAAATATTTGTCAATTTTATATTATTTCTAGTAATATGATATTGTTCTAAAGTAATATATTAATCTGGCCTTTTCCCGTAATCTACAGGTGCTTTTTTTCTCATGCCTGTATTAAATATACAGATTTGATTGTTAAGATAGTGGAGGTCTTGTTTATTAGAGAAGGTTTGTACATGGTTTAGTCATCACGATTTCATGTAAATTGACTGAATCGTTGAAATATTTCAAAAGTAAGGTAATAGTTGATAATTTCTACAAGATAGATTTGCTAGTTTCAAATGACAAATCATAAGCTTTAATCAAATTAAAATCGTTGCGTTTTATTACAGTACAATTGACATGCAAAAACATTTATTACTAATTTTGTTTGAGGAAATTTAATTTTTATGTATAAAAAATATCGGTAATACGTCATTGGATTATATCGTACGAAGTGTTGTTGATGATATGTAAATTTTATACAGAATAGGTAAATAAACTATGATTACAGTTAGTGTGTTTCATTTGGCCGAGTGCCGTGTATCGGCGAAGGCAGAATAATTGAATCCTGGTTTTATTTATTTACCCATCTCGTTTCAGAACCACTTAATAAATGCATCGTAAACAATCCCCTATTATAATTAACGATCAAGATAAAATTAATTATAAGACATTTGTCTTGGCTCATTACTATTAAGCAATAGTTAGTCTACAGTTGTGCGACTTAGAATTTTAGACAAGTTCACAAATTAAGAATTTAAATTAACACATATATGTATGTATTTGTAGATAAAAAAAAAATTATAAAAATAAAAATAAAAATGTATATGTGAGGTACGTTTCAACTGAGAAAAAATATAATAAAGTTTGTCTTAGGATAAAGATTTTTGTTATATATCTACGTACATATACATTCATTAATATTACTAAAACTCTTGCGTATTGGTTTATAAAACCGAAGAGGACCGAGGTGTATCATGTAGCTATCTGATTTGCTTGAACCTTTAAAATACTGTTAGGTGTATCTATTTCAATCTACACCACGACATGAATTCGAAAAAATAATTTAATTTCATGGGACATTTCAATCACATGTTTTGTATTTCATTTTTTTATAGTAGTAGCTCGCATCTCCATGTAGAGAAGGTTATACCAAGGTATACGTAGATTGTTGTTATCAATGTGTGTATGAATTACCAGGTTAGTTGAAAGAAATGAAAGGAGCTATCAGACTAATTTATACACAATGCGGGTGTCATCTACGCATGCGCGCGCCTCGGCTGGCTCATATCCCCGTACCGCCCGTTCAGTGGCGCGCCGGACTGGCCGGTCGATTCCGTGAATTTACAAACACTATCATATGTTTGAACATATTTCATTAAATAGTATGATGATAAACAATTCATTTTCAATGTTCTAGCTGTTGCGCTGAGTGAGTGTTTCGTGTTTAGTTTGAAGGTCGTTTAAGATCTTATAGGATCTCGATTATTTAGACATGGACCATCCCTAGGCAGTTTATCATCGAGTGTTAGTAGCATAGATAGGAACTGCCCATAGTTGAAGTGAATGAGATATTGTGTTATTATCATTTATAATGTTCATCAGTGATTGAGTTGATAACATATATACTGTGGGCTTGATACAGGCCTACATAACGGAATAATCTTTGGGAGCTGTTGGATAATCTGTGCCATCTAAACCCAGATAATGAAATTTAAATATCGGCTGACCAAGGTAAGTCTAATATTTTACATGCTCAAAATTTTTGATTGGTTGAAATAATTTGAAATATGATTTTCGATTTGATATTCTTCATATTATGTATGTATTGATTTAATTCCATACTCTTAAATTATCAATATCTTTAATTGTTTTTTTCCTGAAAGAGAATGAATAATGATCAAAATTATTACCATCAATTCCATTTCTATTGTGAAACAGATAAGGTATTCTGTTTCAATATCGTTTTAAAAAGTTATAAACAAGTGTTATTTATTGTAACTTGTCAATCGGAATAATAGTTATATATGTACGTTAATGCAGAGTTAAAGCTGTTGTTTACTGTTATAAAAACGAAAAGTATTTTATTATTTTCTTTTCAAATTATATTACGAATTAGGTTTTTAGGGACAACCTATTCTTAAAGGAAAGAAGAAGAAAGACGAATTTATGTAAGACATTAAAAAAAGAATCCCCCTAAATATTAGTTAAAAAACAATGAAACCAACATAAGAACAGTGCGTCATCACTTTTCGTTTTGTGGTCCAATCGTCTTTTAAACGTTTTAAGATCTTTTGATACAAAAAAAATTCCTCCAAATAAATTTTTATATGACTTATATAATGCCCGCGTTTGTCTTAATGTTCTTTTCATTACAATTCATTCAATGCTTCTTTTTTAGCAGTTTCTTTATTCTATATTAAGATTTAAGTAAGAGATAAAAGTAAAACATATACATACATATATTAATGTTCAATTAATATTTCTATATTATTATTATTTTTATCGAGTAACACCTGATACTGAATTATTATATCGTATATTTTATTTATTTTTTGGCTATATTAACAAATCCGTGGTAAAATTTTCTGTAATTAAGTTTCATACATAAATTGCATAAAAGAAGAGCTGCACACTTGTGCTTCATATTGGAAATAACTATAAAATTTGTTTCATATTTTTCAGACATTACGTCGAAACTCCAATTACAGTCCGCTATTTTTTTGTAAAATTTATATTAATGTAAGAACATTTTTTGCGTTTAAAGTAATTGGCGATATATCTTGAAATATTAATATCTTAAACTAGGATCTCGCTAGCTATGATAGAGTTAGTGGACCGAAGCTGGACCTTTGTGCCCATTCAATGATTTTCATAGTATAAATAGCCTCTCTTTGAGCGCTAGTCTTCACAATAGAGAATGGTCCCAATCGTCTTCAAGGGTGATCGAATATATGGGTTATATTTTGCCATGTACTACAATCAAAAGTATTTTGCAAAGTTATTGATGAATAGAATATTTATTTAGGCTTTTGGTTTGTATATAGAATATGCAAATCAATATAGATTACTTTTATATATATGTATATGTTATAAATTCCTATATCTTTGGTATATTGTGAATAATAAGATTTGCATCTCTTTGTTTTTAGTCTTAATTGGAATGATATGAAGTATGTAAGTTAGATGAGTGACCTTTATTATAGTTTATCTCTAAGTAAACTTTTATCGATCAATTGGTGAAGATTTAAGTTAATTGAAGTAAGAGGGAGTTAGATCGTTAATTTTAGATGAAAACATTCATTTGAAATTGTTTCTCCATTATGGTGTCACTTCAGCGATATATGTTTAATTTCAATGTAAATGAAATTTATACGTACTTTTTAGGGATTAATAATATACTTAGCACTGAAATTACGGTTTATACTGATCTGTATACAACATTATTTTATGAAAATATAGAAGGAAACAAAATAATATAAAGCATAGGAACAAATATTGTTAATGTTAATATATCGAGGTAAAATTAGTTTTGTTTACCCTGGCGTGTTTCGTGCCGGCTGAAATATATCTGTTTTTGATATCTTGTAAACATGCACTGACAAATATTGCTCTGTACCTACATACGAACCGGTCTAGTAAACAGAATAATGAGACATAAATTTCACATGAACTTAGAAGTAAGCTATAAATTAATGGCTATTTTCAGTAGCAGAAATTATGGGGAATGTTTAGATTTCACCATGGTTCATGCACAGTTTATAATTTAAATTCTTAATAAATGACTTATAACTGTGATAGAAAAATAAAATTTAAGGAATAAAAATTATTCCTTTAGTCATTTACAGCATGTCTATTAATTCCCAAAAAAGTAAATTTTATTTCGTTATTAGGGGATCTATAAATCTTAATTAATAGCTAAAATATGGAATGATATATAAGTCAAACGTATATAAGATATCCAAGTAAAATATGATTTAAATATGCCCAAGATATTAAAATAAAAAAATTGTTGCATTGTCAGTTCTTGACAAATAACTAAAGTATTGCCAGAAAACTATCACTTCATACTTACTACACTTCCAGTTCTAATGTAACATGTTATAGATAGGTGAAAAAATCATAAACTCATAATAAAATAAATATTTTAGTTTAAAAGAGTTCATGAATTATTTTACGTCCTTATAAATATTGACAAAAAATAGAAAACTAAAAGGTCATTTAAATTTTTAATCGCTGTGACCATAAAATCAAAAATCTAGCCATAACCATATCCTGCCTTCTCAAATTTTAAAACAGAATATATAAAAATGTATGCAAGATACTTAAACACGCATAAATTTAGTGAGCGTTATGCTGTTTTCGACTGTTATCTAGGTATTCGTTTTTATACTGAAAAGTTGAAAGCTAGCTCCGATTCCCAAAAAGAATTATATTATCATATATTAGGATTCAAGCCGATGTCGAAAGCTTCATTAAAAAAATTAAAAACCACTGACTGACGTATGTAAAAACTTCTATAAGATTATAGTAGAAAGTTATTTTATAGGTTTTAAAAGGAAATTTAGTAATTGAATTTTACAGTGGGAAAATAATTTGGGGGAAACCAAAACATGCTTGGTTTTTAGGCAATTTAAAATTGTCCGTTCCTTAATAGGGAATTTAGGTCAAAAGTTGTCAAACAATTTAATAGTGTTGGTTAAATTCAGGTTTTCGCGATAATTTAAATAAAATAGCAGTAAAAAAACAAAATTAATAGTTAAATATATAGAGGTGGATTACAAATCTTCATAGCAGTAGTTACTTATATAATACTCTTTTTTTGTACAAAAGATTTATTTAGCTCATCGCAAATTAGATTTAAAATTGTGTTTTCTTTGAGAGTATTTTAAGTATGTTGGGATATATAGGTATATGAAACTAATATTTTTCGGATTTTACTATTTTACTATTATAATATTTTTCGGATATTTTTTTTGATTTTTAATCAAAAATAAAACGCGAAGTAAAATCCGAAAAATATTAGTTTCATTTAAATGAGTACTCTCGAAAATCTTAGATCTCATTATATAGGTATATATTATTTTATTCTACTTATATCGATAACTGTTTTTACTTACATTATATATGTATATTTTTAAAGAGTATGTTACTTAAAACAACTTACGAAGAAAACGATAAGTCTCTTTGTCAACTAAACTTTGTCGATCTCTAATATCTTTTTAGTACAATTCTGTTGATCAATACTCTAAACTCAATTTAAAACTTTACCTTACGTCTTGAGAGCTGTCACTTTCTTATTCATAAACAGCAGTTGATACTATCGATTACTATAAACGCCACGTTTGTAGTGTGACGATACAAAAAGTAGCAATAGTACAGATATTATATAAAAATAAGTCACCTATTAATCAAACTATAACAGAGGAAAGGGTCAAGTTGTATTGATCCAACACTGATCTGACAACGATAATTTATTTGGTGTTTTAATTTACTCAAAGATTTAATAAAACACTACAGTGCTAAATTTAAATGTAGTACGTATCAATGTAGTTTAACTTTTTTTAATACTTCTTAAAACCTATGTTTTTTTTTATTCACAATGAAGTACTCTTAACCAACAACATATTGATTTGTTTATATGAATAAAGATTAATATTATTATGTTGATACAACTTAAACAAATTATTTCGACCAAATTAGGTACCATAGAAACGGTTTTTGTGAGTTAATCTTAAAAGATAGACATATACTGTCCCGGAGTGTTTTTTAGATCATCAAAAGAGCTATCATTCTTTAACACATATTTTTTGTGTATCTTGAACCGTTTTCACGGCGCACGCAACGGAAGGCTTCAAAGATGAAATAATTTCTCCCGTTTTTTACACATTTACCACTATATCTTTGCTCCTATTGCTCCTATTGGTAGCGTGATGTTATATAACCTACAGCCTTCCTCGATAACTGGACTATCCAACACAAAAAGAATTATTCAATTCAAACCAGTAGTTTCGGAGATTAGCGCTTTCAAACAAACAAACAAACAAACAAACTCTTCAGCTTTATAATATTAGTATAGATTTAAACACAGTGTTCATAATTATTTCATACTAATACCAATACAATATACCTATTTTGTTTACAATTCCTTTTTGTCAATTCAAATAACCATATTGTTTAATAAAGCCATTAATACTAATGGAGTGAATTCAGGGAAGCTACATTAATCATAGTGATTTGATTCTCGAGTAATCAAGAAGCATGATATGAAACTTAATTGCAATTCAATTTACCAAACGCAAAAAATATTAAAGCTTCACAAATCTAATACATTTGGCTCAAACTGATTAAGTGTTATGTTACACAAGTTCAACATATCTCATAAGGATACCACTTTTTGCAAGTCTTGAAGATATAGGTACAGTAATTAAAATAGGGAAAAAATTAAATACATGTCTTTTTTTAATGTCAGCAGCCAAGGTTAAGCTACTAACTAATTCAATAAATACTGATAATAAATTCTATTAATTAAATCAATAAAGAAGCTAATGCAAAAGTACTAAAGTATACTCAAATATGTATAAAATATTCCCTCTATTCATAAAAAAATGTTTTTTTCTTCATATCTACGCAATGTTGGTCTCAATACTTAGATAACAACTCAAACAGAAATAATGGAATAAGAAATTTATTGACACAAGCAGAATTCTAATTCTGCATTTTGTGAAATGTACGAACGGAAATGTTAATACGATATTCCTGATTTTGTAGGTTAATCTTATAGTTTACTAACATTCTCTTTGAGATCTGTCACTGTTACTAATGCAGATAATATTACGATAATACATCTAATCTTATCACTTGAGAATCACAATATTCTGAGAATTATTATCTTACGATACTTAGTTACTAACGACACTTATTCCCAAGCTCATATCAGGTTCATAATGATAGTCCAGTGTTCGTGTGCGCAGCATCTCCTTGTAGAAGTAAGCAGACTTGCGAGGAGTGCGGGTGCGTTCAGGACTCTCGTAGTCCACCTCGTATAGTCCCAAACGTTCACTAAAATAATGAACAGTGTTATGCACGTTCACGTAACGTAACGTAACGTAACAGTTTAACATACGTATATCCAAGCGCCCATTCAAAGTTGTCCATTAAACTCCAAGCAGTGTAAGCCCTCACGTCACATCCATCGTCAATAGCATCGAGCACAGCATTAATGTATGTCCTGAAGTAATGTATGCGGTCATCGTCAATTAGACCGCCTTGATTTGAAAAACCATTCTCAGAAATAATGATTGCAGGGTTGTTGTACTCCTCTCTTATTTTTCTTAAAATCTTATATAACCCCCAAGGTGCCTAGAAGAGTTAATTATTCGACGTAACAAAATTGTTTTAAAAAATTTACGTTGCACGACAAATATGGTACCTTTATACGGCTCGATTGGTCAGGGGTAATCCCTACATCATCGTAGTAAAATGGTGAATTGGAATTTTCAGACATAGATTCATTTCTATTAGTTATGACGGTAGAGTAATGATTCAAACCAAAGAAGTCAGAACTTCCTTTAATAAAAGCAACTTCTTCAGGAGTGAGTTCTGGCAGCCTAGATCTTAAAAATCCTTGAGCCTGACTCCTCGCTGCTATTCTTTCTTTTACTACTGATGGATAATTTCCAGCTTCAGAAAATATTGGATTGGCAAAGATTCCCACCTGAAATTTAAAATTTATTGAACACTTTCAATTTTATTTCAATCTTTTTTTTAATAGAATCAATGAAATGAGTTTTAACTTAAAAAAACTGTGGTGTACGATATTCTTTAGTTAAAGTAACTAATATTGTAAAAATGGGCTAAAATTCCTTGGGGGAGGCCTATGTCCTGCAGTGGACGTCTTTTGGCTGATGATGATGATGATGGGCTAAAATTTCTAAAAAATTGTTTTGCTATATACCTAAAACAAAACTTAAGGTATTCTTTAATTCTTGAGTAGGAGTATTTATGAAATTACCTCGAATTGTATAAGATTTTCTGCAGCTTCAACATCGTCTTTTGTTTGGGGTTCATACCATTCAGCACTGAGACTTATACCAATCTGACCACCTTGATCTTTACGAAATTCATTATTATACAAATGATACACGCTCGCATGAGCTATTAGAATATTTTTAGCACACATGTAATCAGCATATCCAGACATATTAACGAAAGGCGCAAAAAATTCACCTCCGTATCCATGAACACAGAGCTCTCGAGGTTCGTTAACAGTTATCCAATACTTAACCCTATCACCAAATAACTTAAATACTATTTTTGCATAATCGGTAAACCAATCAACTATATAAGGGTTGGCCCAACCTCCCAGATCTTGCAACTTCTGAGGTAAATCCCAGTGATAAAGAGTCACCATGGGTTGTATGTTGTGTTTGAGCATTTCGTTAATCAAGTTATTATAATATTGCACTCCTTTTTCATTAATTTGGTCTGGGAAGCTCGTTGGTAATATTCTTGTCCAGGAGATAGAGAACCTGTAAAAGTCGAGTCCTAGTTCCCGCATCATTTCCACGTCACGCTTGTATTGATGATACGAATCGTCAGCGACGTCACCCGTGTCACAGTTACTTATAATACAAGGTTTCCTGTGTGATGCGTTATCCCATATATTTTCTGCTTTACCTATAAGATAGAGTCATAAATACATACACAAAGGCTCGTAAATATATTTCAAAACCTTATTGAACTTTATTTTCTGTTTGAACGCATATTTTTGTACATATAGAAAAGGAAAGTTATTATGATATTAATTATGTATTTTGGTATTTTGCTTTAAAATAAAATAGGAATTATGTTTCACTATGTAACTGGTTTGAAAAGTATATTCATATAATAATTTATTCATTTATTTCAAATTTCCTAAATCACAGTATTAACTGATATAACTTTTATTGAATTTATAAGACTTTATACATGTTATTTTCCAATATTTTAGTATTTACCGTCTTCGTTCCACGCTCCTTCAACTTGATACGACGCTGTAGCAGCTCCGAAAAGTAAGTTATCGGGTAATTTTCTGTTTCCATTTCGAGAGGTTTGTTTACTATTGACAAAAGTGGCCAAAATGAAGACCAAGAAACTGTTAGAAGAAACCAACAAATATTTTAATTTTATATTACCCAACACTAATTTCAATATGTAGATAAATTTATATCTTAAATCTTAAAATTATATTTATTGGACATAGTCACCATTTTATTAATTAGGTTAATTAGGTTAACTCTGCAAAGAAGGTTAATGTTTTCTGTAAAATATGTTCCTGAAAGAACACTATCACTATCAGTTATCATAAGATTCGGCTGCAGTAATACTACGCTCTTTGAATGTTGTTAAAAAACTTTTTTTGCGAATGTCTATGTTTAATAGAATATTATCTATCGGGATACCAATTGAGATGTGTTTATTACTTTTGTTGATAGTATCATTTTTATTTTATTTCATTTTAACCTATAGGTTATAATTTATTTCAAATAAAATTGTGAAGTTTTCTTTATCCACATCTTCAAATTAAAATTTTGTATAAAGTTGAGCACAACAGACTGTAAGTTATCTATTTTATTTGAGGATACATTTTTAATTTCTCTTTGAATCTGATTAAAATGTTGTGATTCCAAAAATTTCGTGGGATATATAATAATAATAAACTTGAAAAATATATTTTTTATCGTTCCCTTTATATTCTTTAAATCAGCTCTACTTTTACGGCGTTAATTAAACATTGTAGAATAATAAATTTTATTCAGATATGTAACAACTTGGTGATTATGACATTATTGTCATGCTTTATATTCTGTTAAATAATGATAATTCTGACTTTCATGTCTAAACATCTAGCAAAGTCACAATCACTTGTCATATATTGTACAAGCAAAGCGAAGTTTTGATAGAAGGGTTAAAGAACATACATATGTTAGAAATAAACGTTTGTCGTAGTCAGTAGAAGCAGTTTGCTAATATGAAATGGACAAGCCATGCCATTTCCTCTGTTTTGACATACCATTCACCCTCGCGTGTGAGGATAGACACTATATACCGAGAAAATTATAACTATAAACCGAGAAATTGAAATTAATAAACACTATCATTTAAATAGAAAAGACAACATTGATCTTGCTCCTGGGATATCAATATCAGAAATAATAAACCTCAAGTCTTTGATAATAGTAACAGATTTCATAATATATATATAGGTAAGAGCTACCTAGTATACGTAAAAGAGCTACCTCCTCCTGCATAAATCCAATTCTGTTTGCGAGAAAAATATTAAAGAATTGGTGGTAGATGACGAGAGCATGTCTTACTTAAAGTGAATATAATCTTGACCCTGATCACTTTCACTAAAAGATTTATCTTAATTGAAGGAAAAATCTAGATTTTTTTTTTATATTTTATAAACTCTTGGTGAAAAGTTGTACAGAATATAACTTTATCAACGAACGCTTAACTATTAGTGATATTTCCTGGAAATTAATCTACGATATATATCGCTCTCATGCCTTCAATCGTTAGCAACTAACATAGGAAATGATAAGATAGACTTGATATATCTCATAGTAACTTTTTTATGAGAAAGACCGTGTTATTTTTGGATACATCAAGATAGATGATTATTATTATTTAAAGCTATAGCACTGAAGGTCGATTGAAATCAGGAGTAAGATGATCTACGAAAGATTTTCATTATTTTAGTAATAATTTTATTATTGTTTTGAAACCGTTTATAATTTTACATCATCTGTTTCTGATCATACTGTGTAAAAAGTACATAATCGTATTGTTTGATATGTTAGATTTCAATAAAATTTGTTTACGTTCCTAATGTCGTATGCATAAGTTTAATAATAACTATATTATTGTTTCTTGTGTGACATTTATATTAATAAATAATATTATAATAAACATTGAAATCTCTTTAGTTTGTAGTCATATGTTATTAATGGAAAAAGGAAACTGGCAACAATTTAAATTAACCGGCTGAAACTGGAAACTGCAAATTGCTTTCATAGCAGAGGATGTTCTTAATTATTTTTTGTTTACTTTGAACTTAAGAGGAGAGATAATCTTTTAAACATTTAAATTAAATTAAAATTAGAGAACCCTCGCCACTTTTTGCTGTTTTGTAATAATGCTGGAAAATTGGTGTTTACTTCCAAAACAAAAAAAAATATTGTTTTTTCCTTATCTAGATGCAGTTTAATCTTTGTCGGTAATTATTTCTTTTATGTGACAGCATGGATCAAATATGAAGGTTATATATTTACAAGTTTTTTTTAAGATCATAGTATATATCTTTAAAATTTTGACATACATATGTCAGAAATTGCGTCTACTCGTTACTTCTAATTATATAATTTATATTATATACCTACAATAATTTTTTTCATGAAACAAATAATTATTTTATATAAAATGTACGTAGCTTCTGAAATATACATTCTAGGCACAAAGGAAATTTCTCAAGTTTGCCTTATCATTTGTATAAAATTAATTGGATATAAAAATAGAAATTAAAATGTCATTTATAAGAATGTGGCAGCTGTTATAACTCGCAAGTAACAAATAGTTTCAATTCACTTATCAGGAACATACAAAAAAAAATCTAAAACTAATCCACTTACATCTATTATATAGTAATTCTATTGCTTATTACGCTAAAATAAAATATAAAAAAGACTCACATATAATCTATTTTTTATCATAGTTTAAAGAATACTCACATAAATCTCAACGCACCTAGCATTTTCGCTTCTCACCTCTTACTAAGTCCGAATAGCATTTAGCTTTTATCTTATACTTAAATACGCTTTTCTATGTCTATCTAGGTTGATATCAGTGGATTTTTTTTGGTTATTTGAATAATGATAAATAGATATTTCTTTCATCATTTCATTTGTTTATCATCCTATCGCAATACGATAAATTAATTAGTTCATAGGAATAATATTTCTTCCCTTGTCTTTCTTTCTATATAAAATATATATTTAAAATAATAAACTATACATTATGGTTATTCGTTATGTGTATTTTGGTCTACTATTTAATATTTATTCTTACTCTGTTCTAGGTGGTCAAAGAATACAACAATTTGTGTACTGTCTATAATCTATAAGACAATATTTAAAAGAGCTTCAGATTAATTGGGTGTTCGGTAGAGAGTTGTTGCTTTACTATAACAATATTTTGTAGGTTTTAGTAGTTTTACTATTCGAAATAAGAATATTTTAATTAAAACTATGTCATTATCGATTAGGTACATAATAATAGCTGACTATATATGAAATGTCTCTCCGGTTTAGTCCAAGATTGCTTTTAATAATTTCGAATCAGAGATGACATCCAGATTAAACCAAATTACTCTCTGCAAAATTACTCTTATGTCTCTCAAAAACATTGTTTACGTAAGTATTTTATGACAAAATTGTATCATCTCTTTCACACTTTATTTTAAAATAGAAAAAGAATGAAAATAACTAACTATTGTGTCATAATAAATAAAAAACTCTTTTCTTACTTTGTTTAACCAAAAAAATACCAATGTGTAATGTAATAATTTAGATATCAGATAAACGAGACAAATTTTCCTGTGTTAATCTGGTATTCTGGTCAATTATCTCAAGTAAGTCTTTAATTATCTCAAGTATGTCTTTTCGCGCCCCACTCTATGACACAGCTTACTCGCCTAAGGAAGTGTCTAGCATTAGCGCAAGGACTACACCAAATACTAAAAGTAAATATGTTTATAGAACTTTTTAAAAATAATAGCTTCATTAACAATTTTATGGATTATATTGAGCTGAATTGCTGTGCATGATATAAGCAATAAAAACCTTAAGCATTAAATTTTTCTAGGAAAAACATAATTCATATGAATTTATAAAAAGTTTTGAAAATTCACTTAAATAAATAAAGCTACGAAGAAAGGATTGGGAGCTAAAAATTAGTTATGGTTTGCAATAAATTGCGAAATGGACTTTTAGAGAAATATTTGGACAGTTTAGCAACTTAAAATAAAAAGAAAACTTGAGCCGTTGTTGAGTCCAATATATAGTTTAAATCAGTGATAAAACAAAATGACAACAGCTCAATCAATTAAAACAGCATGAGGCTCAAAACAGCTTCAATATTTAATGTACTGACGGGTTAAAGTCATGGCATCTTCACAGTGTTTTACGGAACTTGATATATTTAACAAGCGTCTTTTTGTAAAATATTATTAGATCTTGTGTTTTTTTGGGAGTGTGAACAATTATCTTGGAATCTTGGTAAATTATGGCAGTAATGACATAGGACGTAAAGAAATCAGACAATAATAATTTCTAAAAATCTGTTTATTATTCAGTTATATTTTATTTAATTATCATCGACATTCATTCCCAAGCTCATATCAGGTTCATAATGATAGTCCAATGTCCGTGTGCGCAGCATCTCTTTGTAGAAGTAAGCAGACTTGCGAGGAGTGCGGGTGCGTTCAGGACTCTCGTAGTCCACCTCGTACAGTCCGAAACGTCCACTGAAATATTGAACAACACGTTATGCACGTCGATTTAGATGTTAAGTGTTACAGAATTATAGTATAACATACTTATATCCAAGCGTCCATTCAAAGTTGTCCATTAAACTCCAAGCAGTGTAAAGTCTGACGTCACATCCATCATCAATAGCATCGAGCACAGCATCAATGTGAGTTCTGAAGTAATGTATGCGGTCATCGTCAATTAGACCACCTTCAGTTGAAAAACCATTTTCAGCAATAACAACTGTAGGGTTGTTGTACTCGTCTCGTATTTTTATTAACATGTTATATAAACCCCAAGGTACCTAGAAAAATTAAATAATTTCACGTAACAAAACTGTTAAAAGAATATGTCTACATTGCACAACAAATATGATACCTTTATATGATCCGATTGCTCAACGTTTAGTCCGACATCATCGATATAAAGTGGGGAACTAGAATCTTCACGTATAGATTTAGTTTTATTAGTTATGACGGTAGAGTAATGGTTTAAACCAAAGAAGTCGGAACTTCCTTTAATAAAAGCAACTTCTTCAGGAGTGAGTTCCGGCAGCCTAGATCTTAAAAATCCTTGAGCTTGACTCCTAGCTGCTATTCTTTCTTTTACCGCTGATGGGAAATCTCCAGCTTCAGAAAATATTGGATTGGCGTAGATTCCCAGCTAAAATTTTAAATTTATTGAAGACATTTCATTTTATTCTTCATTTTTTTCTTCGTAGATTTTAAAAAATATGATGTGGTTATACTGACGTTTCACAAGAAAAAAATTGTAGTGAACAAGATTCTACAGTTAAGGTAACCAAAAATTTTAAAAGATATTTTACAATAAATAAATCTATAGATATATATTTTTTTGCTATATAAAACACAACTTTATTTAATTTTTCAATTTCCGAAGATTACCTCAAATTGTATAAAATTTTCTGCAGCTTCAACATCGTCTTTTGTTTGGGGTTCATACCATTTGCCATTAAGACCTATACCAATCTGACCACCTTGACCTTTACGGAATTCATTATTATACAAATGATACACGCTGGCATGAGCCATTAGAATATTTTTAGCACACATGTAATCAGCGTATCCAGACATATTGACGAAAGGCGCAAGAAAATCTCCTCCGTATCCAAAGTTACAGAGCTCTCGAGGTTCATTAACAGTTATCCAATACTTAACCCTATCACCAAATAACTTAAATACTATTCTTGAATAATCGGTAAACCAATCAACTATATAAGGGTTGGCCCAACCTCCCAGATCTTGCAACTTTTGAGGTAAATCCCAGTGATAAAGAGTCACCATGGGTTGTATGTTGTGTTTGACCATTTCACTTATCAAATTATTATAATATTGTACTCCTTTTTCATTAATTTGGTCTGGGAAGCTTGTTGGTAATATTCTCTTCCAGGAGAGAGAGAACCTGTAGAAGTCGAGTCCTAGTTCCCGCATCATTTCCACGTCACGCTCGTATTGGTGATAAGAATCGTCAGCGACGTCACCCGTTTCACAGTTACTTATAATACAAGGTTTCCTGTGTGATGCGTTATCCCATATATTTTCTGATTTACCTATCACATAGGAAACATATAAAAACATATAAATGGGTTGTTAGTATGATACAAGACGCTATTTAACTTTATTTCCTATTTGAACTCATATTTCAAACTTATCGTTTAATTTTTTGTAGAGACAGAACATGAAAATAATAATAATATTTATTATGTATTTACATATTTATTTATTTTCATTAATAAGTTAAATATTTGTAATTTTGGAACTTCCTCACTGAAGGCATTAACTGATATAAAAATAATTAATTATATAAAACTCTGCAAACGTTATTTTTCAATATTTTAGTATTTACCGTCTTCGTCCCACGCTCCTTCAATTTGATACGACGCTGTAGCAGCTCCGAAAAGTAAGTTATCGGGTAATTTTCTGTTTCCATTTCGAGAGGTTTGTTTACTATTGACAAAAGTGGTCAAAGTGAAGACCAGGAAACTGTTAAAAGAAACAAACAATTATTTTAATTTAATATTACCCAAAACTTAGTAAAATATAAACATTGTATATATAAATTTATATTTTAATCTTAAAATTATATTTCCTGGAAATTATGTAACCATTTTATTAATAATTTAAAGAAACGTATTCTGCAAATCTGTTCCTGATGGAACTGACATTCAGCTGCAGTGTTGAATGTTGTTAATATAGGCAGTAGGGGCCTGCCCAGGCCGAGCCTCACACATCCCTTCCGGCCCCACCAAGGCCGGTTGGACGGCTCGTAAAAAGAGTTTCCACTACGTCATCAAAAAAAAAAATGTTGTTAATATAAAACAATTTTATAAAACGTAAAACATTGTAGTTTTGATAGTTCCCTTTGACTTCTTCACATCAGATCTATGACTACAATATTTATGTAATAATGTAGTATAATAAAGTCTATTCAGAAAAGTAACGACCTGTTGATTATGACATTATGGTCATACTTTATACTCAAAAGTGTATCTTTTTTTTACATAATGATATTTCAGACTCTCGTGCCTAATCATTTAAAAAAGCCACAACAACTATACATTGTACCATCGAAGCGGAGCTTTGATACAAGTGTTAAAGACAATATATATAATATAAATAAACGTTTGTAGTGGTCAGCAAAAGCAGTTTATTTAATGGACAAGCCATGCCGTTACTTTTATTTTGACTTACCATTGACATGCGATAGCTACTGTTTACCAAGAAAGTTCCGATACGAAATTGACATTTATAAACATTGTCATTTGAATAGACGTGACTGAGAGGCTGTTATCTAGTTTCTGGGAAGTCAATATCAGAAACATTAAATCTCATGTAAATGATAATACTAACAGATTTCATTATATAACTATATGTCAGATATTTTTGAATAAATCTTATTTTCGAAAAAAATATTCGCCATAGATGACGCAAAGCCATTTTAACTGAAAGTCAATTTCATCTAATTTGGACGTAATCACGGTTACTACAAGATTTATCTAAATTATAGGGAAAATGTGAAATCATAGTTAAAGTAAAGTTTAAAATCACTTTTATTTACGGTTGCATTGACATTTAATAACTTCTTGGCGTAAAGTTGTACAGATTTTAGAAGTTTTGTAATGAAAGCTTAACTAGCTATTAGTCATACTTCATAGATAAAATATCTGGTACATAATTATGTACCAGAATTATCACTCTCCTGAATTCAACAGATAGCAACTTAGCAAAACATAGGTAATAATAAAAGAGACTTAATATTGTCTCACAGTGAAGGTAACTTGTAAGTTTGATGGGAAAAATTAGGATGTGGATAATATATCAAGATACGGCAGTGACGTGAAGAGATTTGGGGTAGGGTAAGCAGAATATGTGTGAAAAAAAAAATTACCAATATTCATCAATTCCTTTCTACAACATTGATAATAATGAGATCTTTGCAAAGTATTCATTTAAGTGAAATTAATATTTTTTGATTACTACGCGTAATTTTTTTTTAATGGGCAGACGTGATGTCTACCGTGATCACAATTGCTGCAAAGTTATCGAAACGTTGGGAGTATATAGTTTTTAAACATAATAAAATAAGCGAAGTAATTAGACAATATTATTTTCATTTAAACATTAATCATATTCGCGCATAATGTTACAGCAGATCGATCGGAACGAACATCTATATAGTTTATTAATCTCTCAACTACCTCTGAGCAACGAAAGTACCTTAAAACGATTACGATCTGTTCATCACAGCTTTATTAAAGTTTTTTAAATTGGAATATCCAGTATAGATTCAAACATTTTTATTATTATAATTTGAAAACAACAAACTAGGCAAACAAAATAACTTATTTATGTGTACACAACCTGCTAATTAATTAAAACTATTGTAATACTTTTTATTAAAATGAATAACGTTACCTTTTTTTCAGTTCAATCTCAACTGGTCACACACCTTGACTTTACACTTATTTTAATTTTATTATCAAACGACAATATTGAAAATCTACTCGTTATTAATTTCGATAAACACAAATCACAAGCACAGAACTCATGGCTATAATTTTCCATAATTCATTAATTAACTAATCCATCTTTTACTATTTAACTAATGAAAACTTATCCAATTGCGCTTAGAAAGACAAATGACAATATTCAATAATACTAAAATTGCGAAATAAATACATGAACAGTTTACCGACTAATCAAAGAGTCCTGTTCCATTTGACAATTAACGAACTTTTTACGACATTTTAAATAATATTTCCTGCATACATGTACGAAATTTGTAGATCGTCCTTGAGAATATTTGTTTGAAAAATAAGCAGAAAATGGTTGTGCATATCGCCGCACTGGCTACGTAGCGACGCTAGCACTTGGCAGCGGCCGCTCGAAAATGTTTCTTTTTATGTATGTACTTTATAGATGGCACTTTGAACAAATCATGAATCAAATGTCATTTTAAATATCTGTAAACATTTGTACATATTTCGTAATGTATGATTAAAAGTATGTTAGTAAGAATTAAACAATATAGGTTTAGTTGTTACATTGTTGGACAGGGTATGCAGTGCTTATTTGCATCTATGCTGTGCACGCCACTGAGATACGGTGAGTATTAGTATTATTATTTAAAACTGTAGCACTGAAAATCGATTGAAATCAGAAGTAGGATGACTTACAAAGATTCTTCTGTCTTGATAATATTTTTAGTATTGTTTTGAAATCGTTTCTCATTTTATATCGTTTCTTTCTGATCGCACTGTGTTAGAAGTACATGTCATTTGAGATTTTAGATTTCAAAAAAATTTGTTTACGTACCTTATGTCGTATAGTTATAGTTTAAAAATAATAAAAAAAAACTATAATTTTGGTTCTTGTGTGACATTTATTTTAATGCTAAATTAATTATATTTTAAGAAACATTGAAATCTCTTTTGTTTGTTGGAATATTTTATCGTATTTATGGATTATTATTATGTTATGATTTTCTAGACGTAGTTTATTGTTTGTCGATTACTTATTTCTAATCGGTACTGCGAATTATATAACTTATATTTCATACAACAATTTTTTTTGTAGAACAAATAATTATATCATATAAAATATTATTTCTTCTGCACGTAGTTTTCGAAACTCCTATATAATCATTGCACAAAGGCAATTTCGCAAATTTGTCAACGCATCTGAATTAAAATTAGTTGGATATAAAAATATAAATTTATAAGAATATTATCGATGTTATAATTCGCAACTTACAAATATTTTTGATTCACTTGGTCATGAAAAAAAAAGAAAAATCTAGCACTGGTCCGCTCATTTCTATTTAATAGTATTCGTTTTTGCTAACAACATCACGACAACTTAAAAGATAATACATTAAAAGTTGGTTTGTATTTTATTAAAGTGTAAGGAATACTCACATTAATCTTACTGCACCGAGCATTTTCTCGTCACACCTCCTACTAAATCCGAATAGCATTTTACTTTTATCTTATACTTAAATACTCTTTTCTATGTTTATCTAGTTGTGATATCTGTCGATTTTGTTTTGATTGTTTCAAGAATGAGAGACAGCTAAATTTAAAGTATCACATCATCTGAAATTCCAGTTTGTATTTCAAGTTACAATCTTTACGTAATACAATAAATTTATTAAGCTCATGGGAATATTTTTTCTAAGTCCGTCTTTTTTCCGTATAAAACATATATTTAAAATAATAAACTATATTTTTTGGTTATTCTTACTGTAAACCTAGAGTAAGTACTCTAGGTTTTCAAAGGATACGTAAATTTGTGTACTATCTTTATTTAAAAAAAAAATGTTAAAAGAGCTTCAGATTAATTAGGTGTTCGGTTAAAAGTTGTATTTTACAATAACTAATCAAAAATTAGTAGTTTTACCATTCAAAGTAAGAATATTTTTAAATAAAATTATACAATTATCGATTTTTTACTTAATTCCAGCTGACTATATGAAATGTCTCCCGGTTTAGTCCAATATTACTAATAAACAATTTCAAATCGGATTTAACAGTCCAGTATAAATATATATATATATATATATATATATATATATA